ATATAAATGCAAACCTGGCTTGCACCTTTGTGCTAAATTAATTGGCCAGGCATGGGTGCTCCATTCTTTTTTCCACGAGAAGGAAAATACTAAGCACATGAACTGTGAAACCACCCCCTCCCCAATGCTGTGTTTTCACTATAGATTGAAACCCTGTGGACACAGAGTCCTGCCTGCAACCCACTGAATTCAGCCGGATTTTATCTCATTTACTTGAGACTGGTGTGCTAATAATTCGGTCTACACAAAGTAAAATTCTACACATTGTATTATTATGGTTGGGGAGGAAGGCACATGAGAAAACAGAGCTACACCGTCTCACAAACCAATCTTATAAGTGTACAGTGGTACCTCGGGTTACAGACGCTTCAGGTTACAGACACTTCAGGTTACAGACTCAGCTAACCCAGAAATAGTACCTCGGGTTAAGAACTTTGCTTCAGGATGAGAACAGAAATTGTGGCAGCGGGAGGCCCCATTAGCTAAAGTGGTACCTCAGGTTAAGAACAGTTTCTGGTTAAGAACAGACCTCCAGAACAAATTAAGTTCTTAACCCGAGGTACCACTGTAAAGTGTGTTGTTGGATTCCAAGTCTAAACTCCAGTCCTCCTGTGATTTACAAAGATAGCTCAACAAAGCTATTAATTATCCTCTGCCAAGGGGTGCCCTATATAATTACTTTTTACCCGATGTTAAACTGTTGCTGTGTTTCTCAGAGGCCATAACAACATGGAGCCTGGTATTTAGGAAAAATTAAATGCAAAACAGTAAGCAGGGTGATTTTAAAGCTCAATGAACGTAAGCAAGTGTGAAATAAACTCTGCTGAAAGGTATTCTTCTTGTTTAAAGTCAAAAGGGCATGTGCCCATAGCAGCAATTTGAAACAGTGAAAGCACCACACTCTGCACAGTTGAAATATAATTAAAGCATTATTGAGGAAGGGAGAACGAGAGCCAAGCTCAATAATCGCCAAGTTCATTCATCGCCAATTAAAAAGGTGGGCATTTTGCAGCACAAACCTCAGCAAATGCACGCAAAGGTAACATTTTATGCAGATCAGTAATAGACCTGTTATATGCCTGTTGCCTTTGTCCATGGAGTCCAGTAGTGATGTATGGAAGTGAGAGCTGGACCATAAAGAAGGCTGATTGCCGAAGAATTGATGCTTTTGAATTATGGTGCTGGAGGAGACTCTGGAGAGTCCCATGGACTGCAAGAAGATCAAACCTCTCCATTCTGAATGAAATCAGCCCTGAGTGCTCACTGGAAGGACAGATCCTGAAGCTGAGGCTCCAATACTTTGGCCACCTCATGAGAAGAGAAGACTCCCTGGAAAAGACCCTGATGTTGGGAAAGATGGAGGGCACAAGGAGAAGGGGACGACAGAGGACGAGATGGTTGGACAGTGTTCTTGAAGCTACAAACACGAGTCTGACCAAACTGTGGGAGGCAGTGGAAGACAGGAGTGCCTGGCGTGCTCTAGTCCATGGGGTCACAAAGAGTCAGACACGACTAAATGACTAAACAACAACAATAGACCTGTTGCAACCTACTCACTTTAAATCTGCAAAATATTTAACACATCCTCGCAACAACTCTGATAGGTGGGCCGTTTTTCAGATTCTCTAGAGAGAGAATCTCCGAAAAGCCAGCCAGCCAAGGAACTTAAAACACTACTTGTTACCAGTAAAAACCCAACTGCTTGTCTGGTAGATTGAACCTTGCACTCTAGGACAAGCAAGGCAGTAAATGAGTTCTACATTAAAAAGAAAAACCTTTCCAAAATCGTGAGAAAATATTATGAGAATGGTCTAGTTTACTCGGTTAGAGTAAGGTGCTGATAGCACCAAGGTCAATGGTTTGATCCCCATATGGGACAGTTCCATATTCCTACATTGCAGGGGGTTGGAGTAGAATTCAGGGGTCAGCAAACTTTTTCAGCAGGGGGCCGGTCCACTGTCCCTCAGACCTTGTGGAGGGCTGGACTATGTATTGGAAAGAAAAAAAATGAATGCATTCCTATGCCCCACAAATAACCCAGAGATGCATTTTAAATCAAAGAACACATTCTACTCATGTAAAAACACGTTGATATCCGGACCGTCTACGGGCTGGATTTAGAAGGCGATTGGGCCAGATCCGGCCCCCAGGCCTTAGTTTGCCTACCCATGGACTAGATGAGGTGTCCCTTCCAACTCTACAATTCTGTGATCTCAGCTGTTAATATCCTTGCACTTTTAAATGAGACAGATTCCCATGCCAAATTTCAGGTGGAATGGAGTGTGCCCCAGCAAAAAAGGCAATGCATAAGGTAAAGGTAAAGGGACCCCTGACCATTAGGTCCAGTCATGACCGACTCTGGGGTTGCGGTGCTCATCTCGCTTTACTGACCGAGGGAGCTTCCTGGTCATGTGGCCAGCATGACTAAGCCGCTTCTGGCGAACCAGAGCAGCGCACAGAAACGCCGTTTGCCTTCCCGCCGGAGCGTTACCTATTTATCTACTTGCACTTTGACGTGCTTTCGAACTGCTAGGTTGGCAGGAGCAGGGACTGAGCAACGGGAGCTCACCCCGTCGCGGGGTTTCGAACCGCCAACCTTCTGATCGACAAGTCCTAGGCTCTGTGGTTTAACCCACAGCACCACCCGCGTCCGTAAGGTAATGCATAGAACAGTGTAAAAGCTGTGCAAGACAGGCAGAAATGCAGCAGGTGAAGAAGTGTCTCCCATCACTTTCTATTCTAGGATAAACTACACCAGCTGGCTTCTTGGGCAGCTGTTATAGCAGCCTGGGTGGTTTTTGTGGTGGGTGGGGGAGGAGACACAAGGAGAGGAGGAGGAGGAGAACAACTGCCCCTGATGGATAAATGGTCTGGCACCACATAAAGTATATTTATCTATTAATATAAAATGGCCGCTGTTCTACAGGGATGTAAATCAGGCGGATCTGTCAATCTACAAGACATGAGCAGCCAGCGATTGTTAAGAGTCACCCCATGGATTTGACTTTCCTCCGGAGCGATTTCCTCCTTTCCCCAAGGCAGTCGGGAGCTTTTTTCCATTCTTTCCTTCCAAACAAATGAAAAGGAGGTAAGGGAAAGCTAACAAAACACCACCTAAAGGAGCAACGCGGGAGACAGGCTCAGCCCAGCGTTTGCTCTTTCCTCAACCATCAGATTCATTCAGGACGGCTTCTTCTCGCAGCTCCCGCGTGGCCGCGATCAAGAGTTTGTCGAAGTCACCAGCCGCGCTTCGAACTTTCCCCTTTTGCAGAAGATAGACGCGGGACGCCAGTCAGATGCGCCTAGTCTCCCTCTCCCCGCACCCTCACGCACATTTCCATTTGAAGCACGGCAATGAAACAATGAACGTGGAACAGCAACTGGGCTGGGGCTGGGGCTTACTCTCTGCCTATTTCTTCCAATGACTTGGGATATTTTTTTTTTTAACAATTAAAATTAGATCAGAGGGGAGGGAACAAGTGACGGCACACACAATTACGCGCCGCCCCGTTACACGGCCTGAGGCTGTGCGCGCAAGCAGCTTTTACGCTTTTCTTGGACTCTCAGATTTTGCCATCTCAGTGCATCCCCCCCCCAAAAAATAATAATCCACATCTCACCCACCAGAGCCTTTGCAAAGGGATTTTGATTTTTGATTTATTTAATTTTTTGGTGCGGTGGGGCGCGCGCGTTAATTTGTCCATTAATCACAGGGCAGAGGGTCTTAATCATCATGGCCAGGGCTTAAATTTAACTGGGTTCACATTACAGGGCAGGATGCAGCTGTTTCGGAGTCTTCCTGGGCGTAAGAAAGACTCCTCCTCCTCCCCCCCCCATTTAAAAGGAATATCCGACAGCATCACCGGCGCCAGGGGTAGCGATTAGCAAGATATCCGACCGTATAGCCAGCCCCAAATTCTGTTGATTTCAGCTAAACTTCTGGGCTGTGCCCCTGAATGCCCCGGACTTCTGATTATAGGATCGAAGGCTCCGAATGGTTTTTATTGGGGGGGGGGTGAGTGAGGTGTGTGGAAAAGGAGCAATGGCCTCTTCCTTAGGAAGTTTTGCACCCTCTGATTTCTCTAGGGACCCAGCGTCCGGATTTGAGGACCTGTGCGCGCGTGCGTAATTCAGAAACATTTTGCGCCGGCGTTGCAATGAGAAGTTAGGGGGCGCGGATGAGAAAGTGGTCCGGGTCCATTATGACAATTTGCGCGGTTGCTGTACTTTGGGAATAACAGCAGGGGAGGCCGGAGGGACTTTTCGGAGGAGATAATAGCGCACAGCTACATTGAGGTCATTTAAGCGAACAATTGTGTTCCACATAGTTCTACATAAGCAGTCTGATTCCTTTCTGCAAACGTGCACAAAAGATCGAGGTGCGAAGGCGCCAGTCCCACGCTCGCTTACGAGGGAGCAAGACCCATGGAACGAAGCGAGGACTTTCTCCCGAGTTCAGCATGCACGTGGAGTCCCACGGAGCACGAGTGGGGTTGCTCCCCATGCATCGCGCGTGAGGCTGCAGCGCGACCCCAGAATGGAAGTTGCTCTCGAGTAAGCGCTTTTTGCAGCCTCGGACCATGCACTAGTAACCAAAGAAAGACTGCGGCATTGATTTTATATATATAAATATAAAGCATCCTTGATATTATTAGAGGCAACCTTCTCTTCCGACCGCCCCTCCCCCGCCAGCAAATTTAAACGTCTTTTTTTCTCTCATTACACTGTATTAAAGTTAAGAGCAAAATGCACGTAACAAAGAACGCGGAGACAAAAAAACCAAAAACATCCCGCATGTGAACAGAATGAAGATATGATTTGATTAATTAACAGAAGGTGAAGGCATGCTTTTTAAGGGAGGCAGGACCTTTGGAAGGAGGGTAGAGAAAGTAGCTGCAGGTTTTTCACGTTGGGGGAAAAAAAACAAGAAAGAGAATGAAAACTTTGTCCCAAATCGAGGGACCCTGCTAGAAGAGCCGCGGGTTGTATCGTATGCAAATACGCAAGCTGACGTAAGAGATCATGTGGGTTTTGGCGTAGATCACCACCACCGATCGGAGAGGGTTTTTTTTTAATTTAATTTATTTTTTCCCCCCCAAATTGCTACTGGGTTGTGGGGTTTTTTTTGGTGTGTGCGTGAGTGTTTGTGTGTGTGTGTGCGTGAGTGTGGTGGTGGTTGCTTTTTTTTTCGCGGCGGGGGTGCGGTGGGCCGAGTGTTAAAACCGAGAGTCCCGGACTGTCTCCCCCGCGTTCTAGAACGCGCACCGAGAGTTCCATTCCCGGGGAAAGTTCCGTGTCTCGGCGTTCCAAAGCTTTGATCGCAGGTAAGGAAGGGGAAGGAAGAAAGAAAGCAAAAGAAAACAACGTTCGCCCTCCCTTCCTCCGCCCCTATTATTATCATTAGGCTTTTGGTTTGTTTGTTTTTAAGAAGGAACAAGGAAGTGCGGTTCTTTGCAAAAAAAAAAAAAAAAAAAACCAACAACCCCGCTGCTAAATCTTTTTGCCACATGGACTTAAGATGCTCTTTGCTTTTGCCCTGTAAACCCGACCGATCGGGCAAGCCACTCGGCCCTAACTTTTGCTTCTTCCTCCGGGGGAGGGGAAAAAAAAGCTCCCGTTTTGTTAAGAGGACTTGAGAGCGGGTGGGGAGGGGAGGCAGGGAGGGAGGGGCGTTGAGAGGAAAGATTGCGAGGAAGGTAGCAAAAGATCGGATTAAAAGGAAAACATACACGAGTATTGGAAAGGAGGCCCTTCGCTCTCTCTTCAAGCCGATCTCAAGTTGTTGTTGTTTTAAGGGAGGAGGGGGCTGCATGCCGGGCGGGGGGGGTAGGAGCAAAAAAGGAGAGAAGGCGAAGGGTTTTTTTCTTTAAAAAAATACATTAAAAAATATGTCTACGTTTCCCTATGTCGACATCAGCCACACAAAATATGGCGTCCGCTTTCGAGAAGGCGTTACGTAGAGGCGAGGAAGGCGATCTTGGAAATCCAGGCTTGGAGAAAGAGGGTCACCCCCGCCCCCTCCTTTTCCCCATAACTGCAACGTTGGTGGAGCGGGTGGGGGCCGGACGCCTTTGCCCTCGTGTTCCCAGCGCGCCTCCTGGAAGACGGGGTCAGAGTTTTAAGGTGGGGAGGGGGCGGGAATGGGGAGCGTTAGCCCCTCCAGGCTCCGAACAAGCACAGATTTGGGCTGCAATTCCACGCACACACCAGATTTGTCTTTCATGCAGGCACCATGACGCGTTTGGGCTGCAGTCTCTTTCTTTCCCCGCTGCAAACCCGCAAAAAAAATCTGTAAATTGACAGGAGACGTTGTATCCCCTCCCCCCCCCCATTAATAGGAAATAATGGCTCTGTTTAAGCCACGCTTGCATAGCATAACGCGTCGGGCTAACTCTCCTCCCCACCCCCAAATTTTCCCACCACTACCCCATCTTCTGATAGCGGGTGGGGAGGGGCGATCATCTTCTTGGCGCATCCCCTCTTTTTTTTTTTTTTTTGCTAAGAAATAAAAAAAATATAAATCTTGCCAAACGCCTGGTGTATTCCAACGCCCTGTTGAAAAACCAAAACAAAACCCGAAATGGGGAAAAAAGAAGGTTACTCCTAACCGTTATTGGTTTTACTTCTGATTTGATCCTGTTCCAAAGATCTCCACAATCCTGGGAAATGTTAAGGTGTTCTGGTCATCATTCCACATTTCCTTTGGAGAGACTTCCAGGTCTATCCTTTACCCCACCCAAAAAACCTTCCCCTCCCCCCATCAGTTTTTATTTTCATAGGATTCGAATTGGACTTGCTCCTTTCCTTTCTCACTGGGGAAAGCGAGAGAGAAAAGACAACAGCAAAGGCTGCCCCAACCCCTGAGATAAAGTGCTGTGGGAGAGGCTTGCTTTTTGAGGAAGTGAAGTTTTGATTTGCTGAGAAGTTCCACCTGGTTGATTGACTTCAAAGCCATGTGAGCCGGTTCGGAGCCCTAGACTTGTTTCCCCGATGGTCTTTTGTTTGCCGGCTGGAGGAATTCAGTGCCAAGCTGGGTACATTAGTTGGTTATCTTGTCTTTCCTTTGAAAGGGCACGTTGTACTTCTGGCAGCTTCAGGTTTTGAACCCTAAATTGTGCTGATCCTAATGCACTTGCCAGTTAAGAGCAATAAGAAGCAGGCAGCTTTCAGAGCAGGTGTGATCCTATTGCAGCAACAACAAACAATCTTTTTGCACCCTACAGGAATCTACAGTTCTTACGGCCTGTGCTCTCATAGAATCATAGAATTGTAGAGTTGGAAGGGACCCCGAGGGTCATCTAGTCCAACCCCTGCAATGCGGGAATCTCAAATAAAGCATCTATGGCAGATGGCCATCCAGCCTCTGCTTAAAAACCTCCAAGTTAGGAGAGTCGACAGCCTTTCAAGGGAGACCGTTCCACTGTCAAACAGCTTTCATGGCCTAGACTCCAAATGTATAATGTGTCGTCCTCAGTTGATTGATATATGCATGGGCATAAAGGGTGTGTGTGTAAACAGTGGGGTCAAATAGTGATGGTAAGGTAAAGGGACCCCTAACCATTAGGTCCAGTCGTGGCCGACTCTGGGGTTGCGGCGTTCATCTCGCTTTATTGGCCAAGGGAGCCGGCGTACAGCTTCTGGGTCATGTGGCCACCATGACTAAGCCGCTTCTGGCGAACCAGAGCAGCGCACGGAAACGCCATTTACTTTCCCGCCGGAGTGGTACCTATTTATCTACTTGCACTTGGACGTGCTTTCGAACTGCTAGGTTGGCAGGAGCAGGGACCGAGCAACGGGATCTCACCCCGTCGCAGGGATTCAAACCACAAACCTTCTGATCAGCTCTGTGGTTTAACCCACAGTGCCACTCGCATCCCTACTAAATAGTGATGAGTGACCTGCAAAAAAAATATGGTCCGTGACGATTCAGTTAAATCTTAAATTTGTGTAAAATAAACTCTGTGACCATGCACAGTAGTGGCAATTGGTGCTAATACAATCATTCACCCCAGTTTTGCTATGTTAATTTACCCTTGTAGCTAGATGGGGGCAGTTTCCAGCCCCACAACAAAAAAAGGGGAATAAAAATGTGTGATGGGAAAAATGAGGGGGAGCATTTGGATTAAATGCAATCAAGCTAGCTTTTGAGTTGCACAGGACTTGTCTTTTCTACGTGAACAGCTCTGTACAGTTTGCAGCTATCAAATCCACTTTGCCCAGTTGAAAACTGTACCCGGGTCCTGCTTGCAAGCTTTCAACAGGCTTCTTTTGGGGGACCGTGAGATCAAGGTGCTGGACCTTTGGCCTGATCCAGCAGATCTTTTCTTACATCCTGAAAGCGGAATCGGGAACTTTGCTGGATTTGGTATTCACAGCTCAATCCTGGGCATGTTTATTCAGACGCTAACTTAGGTGTCTAGGGCCAAAGCCTCAGTAAAGCAGGACTCTGCAGATATTGACCCGGTGTGCTGTATGCCAGCCATACATGGCAGGTGATTTTAGACCCCAGCACATTTCTGCTGCCCTTAACAGGCAACAAACCTAGGAGCTTTAGCATTGTCCCATTTATGTCTACTAAACACAGTGTTCTACCTTCATGGTCAGAGGCAGTAAGCCTGTAAATGCCAGCTGTGGCAATCTCGGGTAGAGTGAGTGTTACTGTGTTCAGGGTCCTGCTTGGGGGCTTCTTGTGGTCATCTGACCCTGTGGGCCACTGTGACCCTAGAGTGTTGGACAAGATGGGCTTTTGGTTTGATCCAGCACAGCTGCTCTTGTGATTTTTACACCTTGATGGAGCACGAGTTGTGCAGATCTGTAGTACAGTGGTACCTTGGTTCTCAAACAACTTGGAACCCAAACACTGCAAACCCAGAAGTAAGTGTTCCAGTTTGTGAACTTTTTTCGGAAGCCGAACATGCTCCGTTTTGAGTATTGCACTTCCGATTTGAGTACCACACTTCCGTTTTGAGTGTTACGCTGAGGTCTGTCTGTTTTTGCTATTTATTTTGCATTTTTGTGGCTTTTTTTTTGGTTTGTGACTGTGTGGAACCCAGTTCAGCTACTGATTGATTGTGTACCTACAGTACAGTGGTACCTCGGGTTTCATACGCTTCAGGTTCCATACGCTTCAGGTTACAGACTCCGCTAACCCAGAAATAGTACCTCCGGTTAAGAACTTTGCTTCAGGATGAGAACAGAAATCGCGCAGCAGCGGCGCAGCAGCAGCGAGAGGCCCCATTAGCTAAAGTGGTGCTTCAGGTTAAGAACAGTTTCAGGTTAAGTGCAGACCTCCAGAACGAATTAAGTACTTAACCTGAGGTACCACTGTACATTGTTTATTGCTTTCGTTTGGATCAATGGTCTCGTTAGATAAGTAAATTCATGTTAAATTGCTGTTTTGGGGGGTTGTTTTTAAAAGTCTGGAACAGATTAATCCATTTTGCATTACTTTCTATGGGAAAGCGCGCCAAAACACTTTGGTTTTGGAACGGACTTTCGGAACGGATTAAATTTGAGAACCAAGGTACCACTGTAGAGTTTTTGTGGGCAGGTATGCATTGGGTCCCAAGCAGGCCATATGCTCTGCACGTCCCAAATTCAGTTTCTGTCAACTTGTGTTAAAGGGAATCTCAAGTAGAGAGCTGAGAACCATCTCCGCCTGAGTCTATGGAGGTGCACTACTTGTTGGAGTTGACAGAGCTGAGCTAGATGGAGCAGTGGTTCGCAAGACAGTGGGGACCCATGATTAGTTTCTTTAAATGCCAAGGGGTGGTCAGTAGAGGTCCCTGAATCACATCAGCACTGGAGTAAGTTAACCCTACTATTGCGGTTTCTCACTACACGCTCCAAAGTGGTCATTTGCTCCATTAAGAGAAACGTGTGGGTACCTATAATTGTTCCCTAACAGGACAAAATAGAAAGGAGAGGGAGCAAGTTTCTAGGGAGGAAATGGCTGAAAGGAAAGGACAGCAAAAGAAGAAGTTGTAGTCCCAACTGGGACCACCCCACATACACAAACAAGACAGCTGGGCTATAGAGAAATGCAAAGATACAGGAAATCTGATCATCAACATCATTGTCTGGTTGCTGTTCGTGTAGCACAGTTTCAAATGCTTCTATATAGTCCTAAATTCCAAGTTTCCTATTACTGAGCTATTTTTAATACAGTGTGCTTAAATTCATTGTTGCTCTGGCAATAAGAACAACAACAATAATTTTAAAAAATGGGAAACAGAGGAACTGAGATTTATGAAGCATGGAAGCCATAGCTGATGCGAGAGTGAGGTGTCAGAAGCCAGAGGGTTTTCTTGACCCTTTAAAAAGCCCATAGCCTTAGAAGAAGAGGACACCACCCACTTTGGGTTGTCTTAAACCCCTCTGGTTCGAGCAGGACTGGAACATGTCTAAGAGGGTTCGGCAATTATAGCTTATATTTAATAGAATTGAGGTTTTTTCAGGCATTCTGGAAATCACTATCATATTCTGGAATTTTCCATTTCCTGACCAGAAACAGCTTTCCAACATAGTACTCAACTTTTCTATCATTCTGTGTAAAAGTAGAGAAGAAACCACTCCCTCCCCCATTTTAATTTCTGCCAACAGCTGTGTAAAATCAGGAATTACAATAGACTTTTACTGTTCCAAGCAATTCTTACAAAATTTTAAAAAGTAAACTTTGCCTGAAGTGCTTCAAGAAGCATTTACTTACATCAAACACCGGGGGGGGGGGGTTACAGTGGTACCTTGGTTCTCAAACGCCTTGGTACTCAAACAACTTGGAACCTAAACACTGCAAACCCAGAAGTATGTAAGCATTCCAGTTTGCAAACCTTTTTCGGAAGCCGAACATGCTCCATTTTGAGTTTTATGCTTCTGTTTTGAGTGCCACACTTCCGTTTTGAGTGCTCCACTGAGGTCTGTCTGTTTTTGCTGTTTATTTTGCATTTTTGTTTTTTGCGGCTCTTTTTGTTTTTGTGACTGTGTGGAACCCAGTTCAGCTACTGATGGATTGATTGTGCGACTGCAGTACATTGTTTATCACTTTCATTTTGTGGATCGATGGTCTCGTTAGGTAGTAAAATTCATGTTAAATGGCTGTTTTAGGGGTTTTTGAAAGTCTGGAACAGATTAATCCATTTTGCATTGCTTTCCATGGGAAAGCGCGCCTTGGTTTTGGAACGCTTTGGTTTTGGAACAGACTTCCAGAACGGATTAAGCTTGAGAACCAAGGTACCACTGTAGAAATAAGTGAAGAAGCATCCATATATAATAGCAAGTGGCTTCACACTTTGCTTCCCCTTGTGCTTTCTCTGTGTAGCTAAAGTAGGGGTGGTGAATCTGTGGCCTTCCATATGTTGATGGACTACAACTCCCATCATCCCTGACTATTGGCCATGCTGGTTGGACCTGATTGAAATAGGAGCTCCCCGGAACATCTAGAAGGCAACAGATTCTGTACCCCAAGCTAAAGGGATGAAATGAGGAAACAACATGAATAAGTTTGACCAAATATTATTTCTACAAATGGATATGTTTCAACGTTTATGCCCTGCCTTTCTGTGATCAAAATCAAACTCAAGGCAGCTTTCAAATAAAGCTTTAGGTCACGGGAAAAGTCTTGTGGCCTCTTATAGTATAGACAGTGCTATGGAGAGTTGTGGGGGGACAACCCCAGAAAACCAGGAGGGAGGTAGAATAGAGCTGGAATATTCTCCAGATGTGGACTGCAGCTTCCATCTGATGGAGGTTATAGACCAAAACATCTGGAGGCAACCACATTGGCTGTTCTTGGAACAGAGTGTCTTAGCTGGGTTACTGGAACCCTAAACAAGGCCTCTCCATACCGGGCAATTTGTTGTGTGTCTGACTTGGGTCCCATAATCCAGGAAAAACAGGGTTCCCTGTGGAGATGATTCCATATACCAAGAAGGTTTAAAAACAAATACAAAGAAACTTATAAATGTGTGAGGGCGGGGGGAACCTGCAATCAGTGATTTGCCTAACTTTGTAAAGCAGTTTTTTGTATACTGTTCCAGAGTTGTCTCTCTGATTCTGCCCCCAGCTTCTGAGCTATCAATACATAACTGCGTCTTTGTTGACATAGAAATTAACACCGCCTAGAATTGGTGATATGTAGGCCATGAAGGTTTGCACCTTTTCCATCTGTTTTCAAGGATTGAGGTGATTTAATTAGCGCTTGCCCTAGTTGCTCCCTGACATTTGGTCCAGTCGGAATATTTTGTGTCGTTCTGGGTGGTGGTTTTATGCAGAGATGTGAAATGGCAGAAGAAGGTGTTGGAAAAGTGGAAATGGGTAAGGATAAACAGGGTCTCACCTCACAAGACAGAGCGAGTTGACAAAAATCAGCTCTGTCTGTTATACATACATATTTATATGAAACACGACATGTAGAAAACCAATAATACAGAGGTTAGGCTCAGAACTTTCTTTATGTGACATGGTACTTTTCTAACCAATTTAATCTCCCCCTTTTTTTTGGAATGTTTCAAGTTACAGGCTTCAACTACTGTTTGCTCTGAATGTATCTCCCTCCCCCCCCCCCAGTGCAAGAGACTGGAATATTATATGTTTAAGAAATAAATTTATGTTGTAATTGGGGTCATAATGGCTGAGTTGTAATTGTTATTCCTGTTGGCTTGTTTTTGAGAACAGCTATAATGTAACTTTAAAAACTCTTGTTTTTTTATATAACTGGAAGTATAAAATTGGGCTGTCCTAGTAGGCTATTTGTCTTTGTAACAAGGGGAAACATTCAAATATGCATTCCTGACCTTCAGTCTTAAGTAATACCATTGGGGGCCAGTTTTATCCCATGATCTTCTCTTTGGGAAGATTGGCTGTTATTCAGCTAAACAGTTAGCCTGACTTGGGTGTCATGCTAAACCATAGTTTACTGTGATGACAGTTAGTGTAGGGGAGCCTTAGACTCGTGCTACCCACACCTTCCTATAGTGTGGCTGAGAGGAGATGCTCAAAAGCATTTGTTTCTGTTTTTGATCATCCGAACCTGACAAATTATGGATAATTTTAACTGGAGTCAATGGAAATTGCGGCAGCTTCAAACTGGTTTCTGAACCTGGTTTATTTTAACCAATTGTAGTTAAAACCAACCACAGTTTAGAGTGGGAACAACACACTAAACTGTGTTTAGCCTAAATATTCTGTGGTTTTAAAATGCAGGGCTAATGCCTCTACAGACCAGTCCTAAGCATGTAAGTTTTACTGAGTTCACCGGGGCTTCCTCCCAAGTAACAGAGAAAAGGTTACTTAATTGGAAGCAAATAACGTTTGAGATTGACGGGATTTCCTTCCCCGTCAAGTCTGTTGCACATTTCTTAAGCAGATGAATCTCTCATTAGGCTGCAGGCATTGTCACACTGTGTGCATTTTATCAAGGTCTACGGTATCCTTTTACTGTGTGATACTTTGTAAACAGAGCTCTGGCCTAGATAGGTTTACTGCTTCTTTATTCCTGCCTAGTTAGCAATCGGTTAGCCTCTTTCCTTTGTCCCAAGTTATTTTACCCAACCCTCGCTTTTCAGGAGCCCTTCCTGCAAAAACCACAAAGCTCCAAGAAATCAATTAACAACAGACAGCCGAGGCGAAATGCAATTTAGGTCATCTGCAGCCAGTAGGGAAGAGAGAGACGATGGCATTCTGTGAACACGTCCCGAGTCTGTCCATTGGCCTGTCTAGTCCAGTCCAGTCTGCTCTGATTGACAGTGGCTCTTCTATGTCTCAGAGGGAGGGTCTTCGCTACCACCTGTTACCCAATATCACTTTAATTGAAGGTGCCAGGAATTGAATCTGGAAACTTCTATCTTCTGCCACTTAGCTGCAGCCTAGGGAGTGCTGGAGAAATCGTTGTTCAGCGTTTAATGCAGACTTAAATAGCCACTTACATGGTAATCTGTGGCAAGGAGAAATTCTCTCCAGGTGACAAGACAGGGAAGCTCTACAGAAGTCTGGTGTTTTCACCTATTAAGTTGCATTTGAATAGCCTTGGTATAGATGGGCAGGCGCTGTGAGTTAAACCACAGAGCCTAGGACTTGCCGATCAGAAGGTCAGCAGTTCGAATCCCTGTGACGGGGTGAGCTCCCGTTGCTCAGTCCCTGCTCCTGCCAACCTAGCAGTTCGAAAGCACGTCAAAGTGCAAGTAGATAAATAGGTACTGCTCCGGCGGGAAGGTAAACGGCGTTTCCGTGCGCTGCTCTGGTTCGCCAGAAGCGGCTTAGTCATGCTGGCCACATGACCCGGAAGCTGTACGCCGGCACCCTCAGCCAATAAAGCAAGATGAGCGCCACAACCCGAGTCGGTCACGACTGGACCTAATGGTCAGGGGTTCCTTTACCTTTACAATGGTCACTGGCCACTTTTGTAGACTTGCTTGCAAGGCCAATAAACTGGTGTTTGGGCTAAAGTCTGACTGCGTTTGACTTGCTTTGGCGCGGTGAAAAAGAAATAGCCTCAGATTTCTCGTACCTACGGGACCACCTCTCCCGGTATGCCCCGTGGAGGACCTTAAGGTCCATAAATAGCAACACTCTAGAGGTCCCAGGCCCTAAGGAAGTCAGATTAGCCTCAACCAGAGCCAGGGCCTTTTCAACACTGGCTCCAGCCTGGTGGAACGCTCTTGTCTCATGAGACCAGGGCCCTGCGGGATCTGATTTCTTTCCACAGGGCCTGTAAGACAGAGTTGTTCCGCCTGGCCTTTGGCTTGGAATCGACTTGATCCCCTCCCCCTCTTTCCTTTCTCCTTCTGTGATGGAACTCCTGTTTGGGGACTTCCCTGGCTTTTTGCTGGCCCACGTAGGACCAGTCTGGATAGTTGGCCTTGGTGAAGATTTGACATTTTCATCCCCCAAAAGTTTTTGATTTGAGTTTCTACTGAAAGGAGGCTGCATTTTAATGTTGTATTTTAATCTTGTTTTTAAGTTGTATTTTAATCAATTGTTTTTATACCCCCGAGCCCGGTCTTGGCTGGGGAGGGCTGGGTATAAATAAATAAAAAAGATTATTACTATTATTTGATAGAGAAGCCATTCAGGTTTCTCCATCCAGGAAGTAACTACTCGCTTCCCCCTGCCCAAGTTAAAGGAAAAGGGGAGTGAATTTTTGTTCGAGAATTCAAAGAAGCCTCTTGAAGTGGGCAGGGCTGTGTCAGGCAGATCATGGCATGCGTAATAATCATGGTTTGAAATTAGCAGGGCGCCAGGCGCGTTTTGCACCTAAAGATTCTCTGTTTGCGAGCACCTCAGAAAGTCTGGGTGCCATTTTTATTTTTTTATGTTTTTTGCGCCTGGCTGACACACAATAATTTCTGAAATGTATGTGCTTTGAAGCCTCGAAGTATATGTTAAGGATAGACAATACGTTAAGGAGTTTAACAATAAAGAGTAGAGTGTTTGGAAGACTGAAGTATGGTACCAATAGTTTTTATTGTAAGCACCCAATTAAACATGTATTAACAATTTCTGCTAAGAGCGTGATATTAAGAATGTGTCACTTACGTGAATTGTGTATTAGCTCATGCTTATCAAAATAAGAAATAAAAAGTGTTGCCGACACACACACACACACACCCCAGTGACAACTAGACAATCTTTTTTGGTACCCACAACCCAGGTCCCAAAAGCTATTTGGCTCCTAGCTTTTCTATCCCAGCTTCTAACACTGATAATAAAGGAACAGAGAGGGGGAGCAGATATAATTGCTCCCAGACAACCCGAATGTTTGAAGGGTGGGGTTTTCCCCTGAGACACAGCTTTGAAAAAGGTGGCAATTCAGGAGTGTTGGAGCGTTACTGCTTTTTCTGGGCTGCAGTTTAGCTTGGTGTTTGAGTTATTTTGCATGCAGAAGATCCTGGTTCAGTAAGCAATATCCCCAGTTCAAAACCCAAAAAGCAAGACATCTGCTTAAAATCCTGAAAAGGTGCAGCTTCTCAAAGTAGACATTGCTGGCCTCGATAAACCGATAGTCTGGCTTCAGGCAGCTTCATGTGTTTTCCGACAGTTTTTCAGGAGGGGATGGGAGACTAGGGTGGGCTACAGTTTCCCCTCACCCCTCTTCTAGCAAGCAACTTCTCCCCAAACTGCAAATCTTGTTTTTAAGGGGAAAGACAGCTCTTAATTAGATTCCTGGCCGGCATTTAAATTCTCTTGGTGCTGTACTGTTGGCAGAAATATGCAAGCGCATCTCTTTCAGCTAAAGGAACTGTAGATTGGAAAAGCACTTGAGAGCTAGTTCATTACTTCTTTGCTTTCCGTGGTGAATTAATTAGATTGCTTCTTTCCCCTAAAATCTCCCCCCCCCTTCCTCCGTCTCCCCATCCTCAAAGCTGCCAGCTTCAATTTTTGATTAATTTTACTTTGGACGTTCATATTGCCTTTAGTAGCTTCAGCAGCAGCCTCGTTAATACATCTTAACTCATTATAGTTGTTTGTATCCAACCATAGCTTGCTTTGCACAAGGAACCATGGGTCTGTGGCCCTCTTGATGTTGGGCTGCATGATGTGGGAGTTAAAGATAAAGGGACCCCTGACCATTAGGTCCAGTCGTGGCCGACTCTGGGGTTGTGGCGCTCATCTCGCTTTATTGGCCGAGGGAGCCGGCATACAGCTTCCGGGTCATGTGGCCAGCACGACTAAGCCGCTTCTGGCGAACCAGAGCAGTGCACCGAAACGCCGTTTACCTTCCTGCCGGAGCAGTACCTATTTATCTACTTGCACTTTGACGTGCTTTCGAACTGCTAGGTTGGCAAGAGCAGGGACCGAGCAACGGGAGCTCACCTCGTCACGGGGATTCGAACCGCCGACCTTCTGATCGGCAAGTCCTAGGCTCTGCGGTTTAACCCACAGCGCCACCCGCGTCCCTTGATGTGGGAGTTGAAGACCCACAATTTCCACCCATGCTTTTCCCAAGAGTCACTTTCTCACTGCTGCAATGGCTTACCCGTTTTTGTCTCCCTTTTCACAAATATGTGAATGTGATTAACTAGGGGCTGTGCCCCTGCTCACTCTTCTCCCCAACCACTGCCACTCCCCCCTATTAACCCCCTGGGGTCCCCCCTTCTCACCCCATGCCACTATCTCCGCCCCCACCCCCTCAGCCCAAACACTGAGGTCCAGCACCGCAGGAGGAGCATGTGAAAAATAACAAGGTATACCACAGCTCATTCTAGACTTGGCATCAGCCTTGCAGATTTGCATTGGCTCCCTGTATGATCCCGAGCACAATGCAAAGTGTTGGTGCTGACTTTTAAAGCCCTAAACAGCCTCAGCCCTGTGTACCTGAAGGAGCGTCTCCACCCCCATCATTCAGCCTGGACATTGAGGTCCAGCTCCAAGGGCCTTCTGGTGGTTCCCTCATTGTGAGAAGTGAAGCTACGAGGAACCAGGCAGAGGGCCTTCTTGGCAGTGGCACCCTCCCTGTGGAATGCCCTCCCATCAGGTGTCATATAAAGAACTACAGTGGTACCTGGGTTGTCAAACTTGATCTGTTCCGGGAGTCCGTTCAACTCCTGGAACTGTTCGAAAACCAAGGTGCAGCTTCCGGTTGGCTGCAGGAGTTTCCTGTACTCAATTGGAAGCTGCGTCGCATGTTCGGCTTCCAAAGAACATTCTAAAACCGAAACACTTGCGGGTTTCCGGTGTTTGGGAGCCAAAACATACGAGTACCAAGGCGTTTGTGAACCAAGGTACACAACTTTTAGAAGACATCTGAAGGCAGCCCTGTATCGGGAAGTTTTTAATGTTTGACATTTTATTATGTTTTTATATGTGCTGGAAGCCACCCAGACTGACTGGGGACACATAGCCAGATGGGCGGGGTATAATAATAATAATAATAATAATAATAATATTTCTGCTAGTGGATCTGTCATGGGCACCTATTGGATAGTGTCTGTGCCATCATGGATAATGAGTATTTCTCCCATGCTGCTCCCCAGTTTCTCATTTGGGGCATTTTTCTGGAGGAAAAACAGCCTTCCTCAAAAAGAGTTCTAATGGTTTCAGTGTTTAAAATGGACGCAGTGTGTTTGTAAGTTTCCCTATTCTGTTTCACTTTTATTATTTCCCTTCCTTCTAACATTTCCCTTTCCTTTCATAACAACAGGAGATACGGGAAGGTAGCATCTCAGAGGCGTTCTTGTTGCCACCCTCCTTGCAACAGGTGCCATTCTTTACTTTCATTGGTGCTGGAGAGCTGGGGTTGCTTCTGCTCTGAAACGGATGCACCAATCATTCACATCCACTTTGGCAACCCAGGCCTTTCGTTGATACATAAATCGATAAGGAAATTGGATCATGTAATATAGTTCTAATGTGAACTGCCATCAGATGAAAAATCATGCTGGTGTATTGCAAGCCGGTGTGTACAGAGGGGTGCCCGGGGCATGCATTCCTTGCCCCCATGCTGATTATTTTATTGTGATATTTAATGCACAGGAGTTGTTTTTCAAACCGCATTCCAGAGACCCCTGGGTTTTCTCAGTGAGAAGATGATTGACTGCAGAGATGCTTCCCTGACAAAACAGTCACTACTATTGGCAGAACCTATTTGGTGTTTCGCAACTTTCTGACTAGTTGCAGGACCTTAGCCAGACCTAGCAGAGTACACACAGAATCCACGGAAGCAACTGGTGACTTGGCTGCAGACAGGATAGACAAAGCAGGAACCAGGAAATTGTAGTTAGGTGTTTATTATATACAGTGGACTATTTACAGGAACAGAACACGGATCTTTAGCTAGCTCTCTCTGACACGACTCACAACTCCCACACTGACACACTGAACCACTGAACTACTAGTTAGTAGGCCATTAATTATCACTCCCTTGAGAGAGCTTGACCAGTCAGGGAGCTGTCTCTATGCCTTTGTTATCACCAGGCAGAGTTACTCCTTCAGATTGCCTTCTGGCTGTTTGCCAAACCTTAATTGACTCTGTGTGAGTAGCTGCATGTACACAGTTTCCCAACAACTACTACGGGGTAGCTGCCTTATTTGTGAATCAGATCACGCAAAGCATTGACCATTGAGCAACATTCTTCCTGTTCTTCCTCTGCTGTGTGCAGCTCTGGATAATGTTGGGTAGCTTCTCCTAGGACAGGGGTGCAGGTACCAGGTTTTCATGGCCTACTTTGTTCAGGGCCAGCATCTGGAGTTGGCAGGGATGCTGGGCCTTGGAGAGGCCTGTTGCTGCTGCCTCTGCCACCAAACCCTCCCTTGGCACCATCAGGTACCTCACATGACATAGAATCATAGAACCATAGAGTTGGAAGAGACCACAAGGGCCATCGAGTCCAACCCCCTGCCAAGCAGGAAACACCATCAGAGCACTCCTGACATATGGTTGTCAAGCCTCTGCTTAAAGACCTCCAAAGAAGGAGACTCCACCACACTCCTTGGCAGCAAATTCCACTGTCGAACAGCTCTTACTGTCAGGAAGTTCTTCCTAATGTTTAGGTGGAATCTTCTTCTGTAGTTTGGATCCATTGCTCCGTGTCCGCTTCTCTGGAGCAGCAGAAAACAACCTTTCTCCCTCCTCTATGTGACATCCTTTTATATATTTGAACATGGCTATCATATCACCCCTTAACCACCTCTTCTCCAGGCTAAACATGCCCAGCTCCCTTAGCCATTCCTCATAAGGCATCGTTTCCACTTTGACCATGGATCCTCCTGTTTTCTGCCACTAGTTGCTTACCACCTTCCCCCCTCGATGCATTTACCCAGGCCGCAACACTCCTTCTGGATACAGAGCTGCTCCTTGGTGGGTAGCAGAAAAGTCCCCAAGATGCAATACCCACCAGTGTCAAAGTTAGGCATTGCATCTTGGGAAATCTGCCACAGAGCTATAGTCTTCCCACCACAGAGCCAAGTAATGCTACAGCTGGGGAGACGAGTGACTGGCAACCATTGCCACACTGTTGATGCATGCCAGTGACCTGCCAAAGTCTTCTGTTTCAATCGGAGCCGGATGCCAAATATAGGCTCAGAAGGGCAGACATAGAATTAAGGGTCGAGGTGCCTCAACACATGCTCAACCCAGGATTTGTTCCTTCTATATAAACAATTAGCTTCATCCACTCCTGGGTTCCCCCACCACACGCCCAGTCTAATTTAGGGAGATAAATTATTCCTGTTCTTTATTTGTACCCTGCCTTTTTCCCCTGACAGAAATTCAGGTGGCTTACAGATAAAATAGGAACAACTAAAAACATTGGGGGGTGGACGACAACACAATAATTAAAAAAAATTAAACATCAATAAAACTTTGTTGTTTAGTCGTGTCCGACTCTTTGTGACCCCATGGACCAGAGCACGCCAGGCACTCCTGTCTTCCTCTGCCTCCCGCAGTTTGGTCAAATTCATGCTGGTAGCTTCAAGAACACTGTCCAACCATCTCGTCCTCTGTTGTCCCCTTCTCCTTGTGCCCTCCATCTTTCCCAACATCAGGGTCTCTTCCAGGGAGTCTTCTCTTCTCATGAGGTGGCCAAAGTATTGGAGCCTCAGCTTCAGGATCTGTCCTTCCAGTGAGCACTCAGGGCTGATTTCCTTAAGAATGGAGAGGTTTGATCTTCTTGCAGTCCCTGGGACTCTCAAGAGTCTCCTCCAGCACCATAATTCAAAAGCATCAATTCTTTGGCGATCAGCCTTCTTTATGGTCCAGCTCTCACTTCCATACATCACTACTGGGAAAACCATAGCTTTAACTATACAGACCTTTGTCAGCAAAGGGATGTCTCTGCTTTAATAAAACTAAAACTATTAATAAAAATCAATAAAACTAAAACTATACAAATATTAAAGGTGTATTAAAAACTACATGTAATTACAATCAAAACAGCATGGCACCTCCCTTTTCGTTAAGAGCCTGATGGAGCAAGATACAGTCGTACCTTGGATCTCAAACGCCTTGGCTCCCAAACAAATCAGCTCCCGAACGATCGAAACCTGGAAGTGAGTGTTCCAAATTTCGAATGATTTTCGGAAGCTGAACATCCGGCGCAGCTTCCAGTTGGCTGCAGGAGCTTCCTGCAGCCAATCAGAAGCTGCTTTGGTTTTGAAAGTTGAATGGGCTTCCGGAACAGATTCCATTCAACTTCCAAGGTACGACTGTAGTTGGAGGGACAGCAAGGAGGGAGCCAGTCTAGCTTCTCTAGGGAGGGAGTTCCAACTTTTCGTTGATTGGGATGGGCTGTTTAACCTTTGTATCCAGAAGGCCTCACTTCTCTCCACAAGGACTGAGTTTCCACATCAGTCAAGGTAAAGTTAACAGGGTTCAGTCTTTTCAAACCCTTTGCAAGTCCCAGTTCTGTGTCTGCAATCTGAAACTAAATACTGGGCAGTGTTGCACCAGTCTGTCTCTATTTTGTTATCGCTGCACCGAGAGTTGCTTTTGGCTCTGCAATTCTGATTATTGCTTGAATAATAACTGACAAGTCAATTGCAGTGAACTTTGAGAAAACTCTTTATTAAAAATATTTTTTAGAAAAAAGTGTTCTTCAACCCCAAACCAAGTTTATTAAAGGCTTTTGTTCCCTGAACCAAACACCATTGCATTGCATCAGGGCAGGCGTTGCTTGCGGTTGTCATAGCCCCATGAGTTGAAGCACCCAAATACAGCAACAAGGAGCCATAGCTCGGTTTTCCCCAACTGGGTGCCTGTCGTCCAGCTGTTTCGAACTACAACTTTTCTCCACCCCAGACAGCACAGCTGAATACTGTGAACACTAAATTCTCATTCCGCCACTGACTAGCTGACTCACCGGCATATATTTATTTGTTGTTGTTTTCTCGAAAGACTTACAGCGTATCGCTTCTTTGATTTCATAGGCCCGATGTGGATTTTAATTGCAAAGCATAATTACCTTGTGCTGAAAATGTTTTGACTATCATAAATAAGGGGCTCAACTGTCAGAATAGAGAGCTATAATCTCATTAAGGGTATAAGAAGCAGAGATTACTTTTTAAGGCAACAAGAGGCAGAATTCCTTTTGTTAAGTTGGCATTTGTACCTGGGCGCTTTAGCCCAGGATTAAGGAACCTGTAGCTCTCTAGACGGCTGCTGTAGCATCAGCTGATTGCTTGTACCGTATGGTTTTTATGGATTTGATATATTAATTGTGCAAATTGCCTTGGAACCAGATTTGGTGAAGGGCGATACATTGAGGTTTTAAATGCAACATTCTTGTTTATTCTGTTGGTGAGTTGCCTAACACTGAGCGGTCTCCAGGCAACTCACAACAATTTAGAAACATGCAAAAATCTTAAGGCAACTAATATAAAACGACATTTTAACGTTGCCAAAAACACTACCAACAGCACAAATATGCGGTAATTAGAGCATAGCAACCAGGACATCATATGCCATCTAAAGTAAGCAATAAAGTCTTCTCACAATATCTGGATGGGGGTCCTGTGGCTAGCACTCTCATCATTTATTTTAACCTTTAAATCACGAACTTTGTCAAAAGACCACCAGTTCTAGGTTCTCCGTTTACAACATAATAAACTTGATGTGTCAGTACATAACATAACATCCACAGGATGCAAATTAAAACAGTTATACAAATACAATTCAATAATCTGAACCATACAGCCCAATAAATAATACACAACAGTGCATAATGTATATCGAACCTAATAACTAAATACGAAGCAGCAATGACAAATTATGCACAGTATCATCCCAGCAGTAAATTTTACAACCCCGTGAAATAGAGTCTCATAACATGTTATTACCCACTTAAATTGGATGCAACTATTAAACATAATGCACATGTAATAGCAAAGGCCTCTTGAAAAATGAGGGGGAAATCAGCAGCAGGATATCTGAAATTCAGAAACAGTGCACAAGTGCTTATACGTCTTTCTTCAAAGCTGGGTGAGGGTTGTCGGAGGAACCCTATGCCCCTTCTGAAAACTACAATTCCCAGAGTTCCTTGAGAAGAGGGGTTGATTTGTAGCTCTGTGGGAAGACTAGGCACCTCCTAACAACTCTCAGCACCCTTAACAAGCTACAGTTCCCAGGAATCTTTGGTGAAGCCATAACTGTTGCCAAGGATACCGCTTTGAGCGTGATGGGAGCCTAGATCATAAATGGCCATTGGCCATGCAGCTGATGAGAGTTGGAATTCCAGCAGCATCTGGAGGGCACCAGGTTGGGGAAGACTGTTGTGTAGGGGATTGGGGAACTGTGGGAGAGGAGAAACCCTGCTCCCCTATTGAGTCATTTTGGGCTCACAGCTGTCCATGGAGGCGCAGGTCAATTCTGTATCCAGGGCAGCTGTCTACCAGCTCCACCTGGTACGCAGGCTGAGACCCTACCTGGGGTCTTGCCAGAGTGGCGCATGCTCTAGTTATCTCCCGCTTGGACTACTGCCATGCGCTCTACGTGGAGCTACCTTTGAAGGTGACCCGGAAACTACAACTAATCCAGAATGCGGCAGCTAGACTGGTGACTGGGGGCGGCCGCCAAGACCACATAACACCGTCTTGAAAGACCTACATTGGCTCCCAGCACGTTTCTGAGCACAAATCAAAGTGTTGGTGTTGCCCTTTAAAGCCCTAAACAGTTTCGGTCCAGTATACCTGAAGGATCATCTCCACTCCCATCGTTCTGCCCGGACACTGAGGTCCAGCGCCGAGGGCCTTCTGGCGGTTCCCTCATTGCGAGAAGCAAAGCTACAGGGAACCAGGCAGAGGGCCTTCTTGGTAGTGGCGCCTGCCCTGTGGAACACCCTCCCATCAGATGTCAAAGAGATAAACAACTACCTGACATTCAGAAGACATCTTAAGGCAGCCCTGTTCAGGGAAGTTTTTAATGTGTGACACCTTAATGTATTTTTTGTCTTTGTGGAAGCCGCCCAGAGTGGCTGGGGAGACCCAGCCAGATGGGCAGGGTACAAATAATAAATTATTATTATTATTATTGCTGGAGTAACCCCAAGAGTCTTGCGTTACTTTACAGCTGGGATGGGAGAGCCTTTGGTTCTTGCTAGAACATCTCCCATCACCCTGGACCATTGGCCATCTGGTTCGGGGCTGATGGGTGTTTGCAGTGCATCATACCCAGACGTTCATCTGCATCCCTGTTGCTTTCTTCAACTACCTGCATTCCCAGTGCCCTTCCTGTCTTGATCCAGAGAGTCTGAGAGAGGGAGCGAGATCATCCAGATAGGAGTTGATTGGCAGTTTAACACGCCGTCATGAGTCAGCAGCTCCATCACAGCCACCTGGCGCTAGTTGAGCTTTCCCTGGTTGCCATGGCAATGTTATTTTAACAAACAGCCTCTTAATATTTAACGGAAGCCCTGCCTCTGGCAAGGCCGCACATAGGCGCTGTATCGCTGCTGCATAAGAGCTAGCGGCAAAGAGCGGTTTGGGAGCCAAATTTTTTGGCATCAAACCCTCTGCTCCCCTGACGAATCGCTGCAATTCATTAGCTGTCTGAAAATGTATGCCTGTCCCATAGCCAGAGACCAAATGCAATTTAAAGGAAAACACAAGTACTCCTCAATTGACGGCAGTTACTTTAAAACCCCCCAAAAAACTAATGCATGAATCCTCTGATAGTATTTACTGAGAACAGCTGAAATTCCCATCCTGCCACTTCCTGTTTTCTAAACTCTGAGCTGGGTTTAGTTCAGGCTTGATTTTCTTCGTTTGCCGCATCGATTTTTCTGCTTGAACATAAAGTGTGGGTTGCTGTGCAGTTGGAGAGAGGGGCAGTGGAGGGCAAGAGGGAGAGCCTCAATCGGCGGACGCGATATTTAGGGAAACGAATCTTTTGCAGGAGACTTAAAAACAGCAGAAAGAGGACTTTGGGCTAGTTCTTGCAGATATTCGCGGAGCCTGAATAATTCACTCAGCTTTCATATTTTATGCAGGAACTTTTGCTTCGGAACATTGTGTCTCAGACAATGGGCTCAAAGGCCGCCGGCTCCTTTTCCTCTCCTAGGGGAGTCGTGACTTTTGTTGCGGTCGCTGAGTAACAGAGGTGAAGAGCAACGAGCTTTGGCTGGGGGAAGTGCAGCTTGCGATGGACTCTGCAGTCGTTGCTTTGGGGGCAGGGGTGGGGGGCAAGCCGCTAACGCCTAAGCTTGTTTGGACCCAAGGTGCTTGATACTCGGGTCCAAATAGTTGGGCAGGCAATAATAATAATAATAATAATAATAATATAATATAATTTATTATTTATACACCGCCCCTCTGGCTGGGCTTCCCCAACCACTCTGGGCAGCTTCCAACAGAATGTTAAAATACAATAACCTATTAAACATTAAAAGCTTCCCTAAAGAGGGCTGCCTTCTGATGTCTTCTAAAAGTCTGGTAGTTGTTTTTCTCTTTGACATCTGGTGGGAGGGCATTCCACAGGGCGGGTGCCACCACCGAGAAGGCCCTCTGCCTGGTTCCCTGTAACTTGGCTTCTCGCAGTGAGGGAACCACCACAAGGCCCTCGGCACTGGACCTCAGTGTCCGGGCTGAACGATGGGGGTGGAGACACTTCTTCAGGTATACTGGACCGAGGCCGTTTAGGGCTTTAAAGGTCAGCACGGAGTGTGTTACTTCCGGGTTTCGCCACTCGCGCATGTGCAGATGGTCAAAATTATGTCATGTGCATGCGCAGAAGCTGCGAAACGCAACGCACTGTCGCGTCTTACGTTCTGTTCAGGATGCGAACAGGGCTTCGGAACAGATCCCGTTCGCATCCTGAGGTACCAGGATTTGCAAAACGGACTAGAAATCTATACCTCTCTCCTAAATCGCAAGGAGAAATAGACTTCTTCCAGATGGTTGGTTTGGAGAGTTTCAAGACAAGGCTGTCCTCTGTCTGCATTGGTACTTGATTTATGTTTCGAACCACTGGCATGCACAGTGTGACAGAATAGGTGAATTAGTGGTTTTGTTCACGAGCAAGTAGAATTTAAACAAGCCTTGTATGTGGATGATTTACTGTAAGTGCTTAGTAGACCCGAGGCATTTGTACCAGAGTTAATAAAAAAATAATTAATAGTTTGGGTAGAATTTTGTGGTATACAATTAATTGGTCAAAATGGGTAATAATGCCAGTGGGCAATAGATTATTTGTATACAAAGAGGTGGTTTGTTGGTGCCCAGAGCTCCTGACAAACTTAGGTGCTTTGATTCCAAGAGATATTTCTCAAAGGATTAAACTGAACCGAAACAAGTTGATAAAGGAGGTTTCTAGCGATTTAGAACAATGCACATTACTTAAATTTAGCATTTGGGGTAAGGTTAACATACTACAGATTAATATTGCCACGGATAATATTAGTGGTATTTTGTTATCTATTCCCCAGATATATTCCCCCCCCCCAAAAAAAATTGGTTATTTGGGAAGTTAATTCAGGACAATAAGATAATGCCAGTAACTGAAGGTGGTTTTAATTTTCCAGATATTAGTATGCATCTTAAGGTGTGTCAGCGTGTACAAATGATTGACAAGTTTCTCCTCCTATCAGTGCCCCAGCTTGAGTGATTCTAGAGATGGTTTATTTCACGCTTGTTCTTGGATGGCTAATAATAGTGTCTAAATATGGTAAAAGGACCTGTAGCACCTTTGAGAGAGAGGGAGGGAGATGGCGTATGTTGGCCTGTCAACTACAATATGATCCACACGCTCACGCTAAATTAACTTTATGTGGTAATCTAGTTCTGAAGATAGGCAGGCAGTCTTTTTTTTTTTTTTTTTGCGAAAGGAATGGGTGGCATGTGGAATACATATATTAGACCAGCTGATAGACTCAGATACAGGATGTTTATCATTTCTTGTTTTACAGCTTAAGTGTCAATTATCAATGAGTGCGAGAGTGGCAATATTTTCAATTACAACATCTGCTGGTATCTATTTATGGCCCATCTGCTTTGAGTACTTTGGCATTTCCTAAACTGTTAGAGGGAATTATTGACTACTTACAGAAAACCAAACCCATAACCACTGTTTATGAACTCTTAATGGATTTTGGTAAGGTAGACGTTCCGGAACTTAGAGAAGCGTGGAAAAGGGAATTGGAAGATAAGCAATGGGAAATTGCTTTAGAATCCATACAGAATGGTTTCCTTGGACCTGAAATTGAGATTGATACAGCACAAATTGATATTTCTAGTACATTGGACTTTATGGCATTTGTATAGGAACGCTTTGTCTAATGCAGATAGATGTTGGAAGGTGTAATGCTGAGAAATGCGCCTTTGAGATATAAGATCCAGGTTTGTCCAGTGATACATTTCTTTTGGACTGAGGTGGTTATTTACATCAATTTTGTGCTGAAAAACTTCTTGATATTTGCAGGAGCTCATGTGCTTTTAAACTATATCCCTGTGGGATGGGAACTATCAGACAGACAACAAAAGTGGGGTTTGTGAACCCTTATGGTGGATAAGAGACTTCAATTTTGAGCCTGGAAAAATAAATACCCACCATCTATTACACAACAGTCTGAGCACCTGACAGCCCTGGCAACATATTTCATATAAGCATCTATCTCATGTGGAATCTAGGGGGCTTATGTTTGCTTTTAAGATTTGTGTACTGATTGTCATTGTATCCACAATGTGAGCTGGTGGTGGTCTACAGTTATTAGTATTATTCGGATACAGTGGTACCTTGGGTTAAGAACTTAATTCGTCCTGGAGGTCCGTTCTTAACCTGAAACTGTTCTTAACCTGAGGTACCACTTTAGCTAATGGGGCCTCCCACTGCCGCCGCACAATTTCTGTTCTCATCCTGAAGCAAATTTCTTAACCTGAGGTACTATTTCTGGGTTAGCGGAGTCTGTAACCTGAAGTGTCTGTAACCTGAGGTACCACGGTATTATTATTTGAGTGTTTTTGTTTTATTTTTTCCTTACCTTGTTGGATTTGCAAATAAAAAGTAATAACCTGTTCGGAAAACTGAGGAGTTACCGTATTTTTCGCTCTATAACACGCACCAGACCATAACACGCCCGTAGTTTTTAGAGGAGGAAAACAAGAAAAAAAATATTCTAAACGAAATAGTGGATATATGATTTTTGTGGTTCATGCTGTGGCCACAGACATGTGATCTGACAGTGAGTTTGGAGTAGCCCAATGCAAAAATCCTGAGGATCCATGCTTTGTAACCACGGAGGAGGGAAGGAAGGGGATCCATGGATCCTCTGCGCACGACTGCAGCAGATCCCCCCCTCCCCGGCCACCCACAAGCATTCACTCCATAACACGCACAGACATTTCCCCTTACTTTCTAGGAGGAAAAAAGTGAGTGTTATGGTGCAAAAAATACGGTACTTTCTTTACTGTCCCGTCCCCCCCATATGTGCCCTGGAGTCTGTTGTGGACCTTTTGTATGAAAGCTATTAGACCTAGCATTCGCTGCGCACGTTTTGACTTTCAACTGTGCATCTCTGTGCCTAGCCAAGGAGACTGTCATCCTCCATGTTTCTCGGGTCTGTTTAAGCCTGGAGATATCCTGCAAGACCTGGACGTGACCCAGTTCCAGAAATGAGGTTCAGTGCACTTCTGATCTCCCGGGAAGCGGGTGGTGGTGGTGATTTTCACAGAGACTGAACTGGAAGGAGAGAAACTCTCGCCCTGTCATATCGGCCGTGCTTCAACTCCGCCAGTTCAGACCGTGGCCTAATTTGGTGATTTCATTCTGCCTCATTAGCTGTCGCTGCCGTAGCAAGAGGGGACACTTTTTCCTGAAACATTTCCTTCATGCATGTCTTTCAAAGGTTTCATTGTTTCATGGGTTCAGCGCAAGGGTGGGGAGACACGTGCCCCCTCCCCAATATTGCTGGAATGTAATTCCTATCATCCCTGGCTGTTAGCTGTACTGGCTGAGGCTTATGGGAGTTGGAGTCCCAATTGCATCTTCATGGCCACAGATCCCACATCTCTGGTTTTGTGGAAGAACCACTCCTAATACAGTGGTACCTCAGGTTAAGAACTTAATTTGTTCTGGAAGCTAAGGGGCCTCCCGCTGCTGCCGCGCCACCGCCGCATGATTTCTGTTCTCATCCTGAAGCAAAGTTCTTAACCTGAGGTACTATTTCTGGGTTAGCGGAGTCTGTAACCTGAAGCGTCTGTAACCCGAGGTACCACTGTAAGCAGATCTGTAGCAATATAGTGTTCTACTCCTGGTTTCTCATATTTCTCCAGGTCGCTCAGATACCTGCATTGGAAGACTATGGAATTAATAGTATTGCGTTTCCATTCCTTTTTAGATGGCAATGTGTATTACTTAAGTTAACTTCAAAATGGTAGCCATGGGTGTTCGATGCAGTAGGGGATAAGTCTCTCGCCCAGAATGAACCATAACCTCCAGATTCCCAGTTTTCATTTTAAAAATAAGACCTAAGTTTCTAGCTTTTGTAGAACCTGAAATATGACGCAAAAGGCACAGGCAAAATTCTGTGTGTGAGAGAGAAACTAGCTTGTGTACTGCAGCCACCCATTGCTGTGTTTTAATTTACCCCCTGCTGGAAAAATCTCTGGAAAATGATCTTGCTGTTTTTTGGGGGTGCTCCTACTCATCTTCCTAAGCAAGGCCTTGATATTGTTCCCTTGCCTTGATAGTGCCCTTACCAGAATGTATCACGGCAGTGTGTGCATTTGTAAATCTCTTTTATTAGTTATTGTTTCTAGTTCAGCTGAGCTACATGTAGTGAAATTAATTTTGAATCTGATACGAATGCCCAAGTGATAACATGTTGTGAAAGTGGAAAGAAATTGATTTTTTATATATGTTGTAGCTGCAAAAGGAAGCTTGTAAACTGAACTAAATTACAGTTTCAATCTTGTACACTCTTATTTTGGGAGCACGTGCTGCTGATCCCAGTGGCACTTACTTGTCAGTAAACATGCAGAGGATTGAGTAGCGTAGTTTATACGCTAGAAGGGTATTCAGGCTTTTTGTAATTTCTTGCATTAAAATAGTTTTGAAGGTCTTTAAAAGTCCGCTGCCCAGGAGCATCATTTAAATTAGTCAATTGTTTATTTATCTCCTGCCTTCCAAGAGCCTAAGTTGGCATACATGGTCCTAAAGGTAAAGGTAAAGGGACCCCTGACCATTAGGTCCATTCGTGGCTGACGCTGGGGTTTCGGCACTCATCTCGATTTATTGGCCGAGGGAGCCGGCGTACAGCTTCCAGGTCATGTGGCCAGCATGACTAAGCCACTTCTGGTGAACCAGAGCAGTGCACGGAACCGCCGTTTACCGGTACCTTCCCGCTGGAGCGGTACCTATTTATCTACTTGCACTTTGATGTGCTTTCGAACTGCTAGGTTGGCAGGAGCAGGGTCCGAGCAATGGGAGCTCACCCCGTTGCGGGGATTCGAAGCACCAACCTTCTGATCAGCAAGTCCTAGGCTCTGTGGTTTAACCCACAGCACCACCCACGTCCCTACATGGTCCTAACCTCCAGTAAAATTACAGTATAGCAATCTTTTATAGCACCAATAATTTCTCATCCCTGATAAGACCACTTAACAGACTGAACATTTTGTGCATTGCAATGCAATGCAAGGGGTTGGATCCCTGAAATCTCTTCCAGGTCTGTTTGCAAAACCTGCACGTGTGATGATGTTGTTATTGTGCCAAGAGGAAAGGGAATGCAGCTCTCAGACTGAGAAAGGCTCCCTTCTTCTTGCCATAAAACAAATGAAAACACAGTCGGAAGCTTTTGTGATTTGGATGGCTTCCAGGTAAAGTCTAAAGGATGTCTGTTTATGTTGTATGAGACCATGATGGTTCTGTTACAAAGCAGAGATGGAGAACTTGTGACCTTCAGGATGTAGTGGTACTGTCGGTTCCCAAACCCAGCCAGCGTGGCCAGTGGTCAGGCATAATGGGAGATACAACCCACCAACACCAGGAAGGCTACAAGATCTTCATCCCTTGTCTTAAGGGTAATCAGGCATCAAGCTGTGCTGAATCATAAGAACAGTTTTGCTGAATTAAATCAAGGTCCATTTGGCCCTAGGTTCTGTTTCCAACAGCAGACTCCAAAACTTTATAGATCATAGGGTTGCATCCAACACTCATCGTCCTCAGAGTAGACTCATTGAAATTATGAGCATGACTACCTGAGATCCATTAATTTCAGTGGCTTTACTGTGAGTAAAACATAGCTGGATACATCCCGGAAAAGGGTTTTCTGACTCTAATGACTCGCTCCCAAAGACCCACCATCACCAGAGTCTTCTCCTCAAGATTAATGGGGCATATTGAGAATCTGCTGACTGGCGAATGACTCGTTGGCACTTCTGCCTTCATGGCAACTTGTAACTAATAAAGCTTTTGACATTGCTGTGAGAACAGATAATTATAAATCTCCTTTTAGGGGTAGGGATTATTGAGGCTAGTCATATGTTCATTGGTACAATGTGGTCACATCTCATTGACATTACCGTATTAGTTCTACCAGAGTCCAGCCAGGGAGTCTTTGACACATCTTTTTTCCCCCATAACCTGCAATTGGGGTACAGTGGTACCTCTGGTTACTTACTTAACTCGTTCCGGAGGTCCGTTCTTAACCTGAAACTGTTCTTAACCTGAAGCACCACTTTAGCTAATGGGGCCTCCTGCTGCTGTTGCGCTGCTGCTGCGCGATTTCTGTTCTCATCCTGAAGCAAAGTTCTTAACCCGAGGTACTATTTCTGGGTTAGCGGAGCCTGTAACCTGAAGCGTATGTAACCTGAGGTACCACTGTATATGCATTTTTTGCTGGCCTTGGTAGCCAGCCAAAATTTGTGCTTCCCATGGCCGCCTGGTCAGGTCCTATACTAAATACAGTGGCTCAAGGGTTTGGTCAGTAGGCCTGAGACTGCCATTTACGTGAAGGAGGAAATGTTTCGTATCGGTAAAAAAAGAGTGCACAGATTTGCATGTCCTAAACTGTGGCCAGTTCCACAGTTCCTTCTCGTGGTTCTATGTCTTCAACCCTTGCAAACTGAAAATGGTCTCCTTTAAATTAGGACATGTGGACACCCGAGGGTAGGCCTCGCAGGAAGAGAAATACTGGTGTCACACGATGGAGACAGACTGAAGGTCCCTGCTAGGATAATTTTATTAGGAATTGGAAAAGTATCCTCTGGTCCGCAACAATACCGAGGTTCTGATGAAAGTCTGTAGATAAAAGTGCAGAAATTGCATCAATCTTTTTTTCTGAAAAGGAAAGGGGGCAAGGTTTCGCTCTCTCTCTCTCTCCCTTCTGTTTAAATAACAGCTCTTTGTTCCTCTCCATTTTATTTTATTTTTTTCAAGCGCTTGCCGCTGCGGTACATACAGATCCAAGAGTCTTTCATCCCCAAATTCCCCACCTTTACCTTCTTCTTTTTAACAAGCCCCAATTACAAGCCATTGATTTTCTTCTGGCTTGCCCACTGAGAAAGATTGACCTGCTGTGGCGCGTCTTCAGAGAGCAGCCCTCTTTGAGCTGCTCTGAGGTCAGCAGCAAAAGCAGGAGGCCAAGTTAAAAGATCGTCTCTTCTTCTTCTTCGCTTCATCCTTCACTTCCCTCCTGCTTGGGGGCTGCGCCTTTTGGAAACGACGATCAGAGGCACTATTATTAGACACCTTCATTTCAACGTTTCTTTTTAACAACCTTGAGGAGCCAAGGGGGCAGCAAGATTCCTTTTGTGAGAAGCCTTTACAATTCCTCACTTTGGGCCTAGAGGAAATCATGTCCTCCTTGTTCACCTTTCTTTGGTTTAAAATCCTCTGTGTCCTCCTGTTTGCCTGCCCCATCCTTTCCTCAGTTTCCTGTGATGGGGCCAAAATCACAGGTGTTTTCATGTCTTGCGGTGGTCCTCCAGGTATTGCTATCGAAGATCCTCCCATGAATGATGTTGTCTTTGGGTTCAAGGAGTCAAGGAAGGGTTGTTGCTCAGGGCTAAAGCCTCTGTCCTGCATGCAGAAGGTTCCAGGTTTGAATCTCAGCATCTTCAGGTAGGGCTTGGAAAAACCTCAGTCTGAAATCCTGGAGAGCTCTTTCCATTTTTTAAAAAACTGTGTTAGATGAGCCAATGGTTTGACTTGGTAGAAGGCAGTATCTGGGACTGGGTGGATAAAAATCAATGATTTTATTTTTTTAAAGGATTTTTTAAAAAAATTGGATTTTAAAAATAGAATGCTTTTGGAGGAAAATCTTTCTAAAGATCGTTTTCTATTTAAGTTACATTCTAGTCCAAAGACTATTCATCAGTAAATAAGGATTTGTTTTAGGTTTTTCATGTGTGCTAAAATTCAGTCTTAAGGATTTTTGTTTTGATTTTTAAATGTTTAACCACATCAAGTTAACAAACATGGATACATATGCTATAATGTTATTCTTTTACTTAAATAAATTGTTTAAATTGTTATTAAGGAAAATATTGTTTTTCTCCTTCCAACAAAGTACAGCAGAAAAGTTGCCCAATATAAACAGTTAACTTATTAAACCTCACAACAATTTCATAATTATTTGTATGTATAACCAAATCAGTAATTTTTGATATAACTGTAAAAACTACTCTGAAAATTTATTATTCCAAAAATGAAACCTTCATCTGGTTGTAAATATTAAGATTATACCAGCAAGAATGAGTCTTTCTGTAAAAAAAATTTGATTTCAATCAAGTCTTACTGACTAGTGATTTAAATCGTGATTTAAATCAAATCCACCCTGGTCTGGGAGTTGCTTCTTTTTGTTCCCCCATCTATTACTTATCAATAAAACAATTTGGTGTGGCATGAAAGTGTGGCCCAGAGAAAAAAGTTGAAGAACCACTGAGATAAGGAAAAACCTTGGAGCAGAACAGACAGGTGCTCGTTCTGAGGCAAAACCTGAGCATATCCGGTCAGGCTTGCAGGCCTCTTTTTCTTCATTAGTGCCAACTCTCTGGCGCTTTACTTTCGGATTTTATCATTCCCACCAGGGCTCTTTGGCAGATCATTAATTTCTCATTCTCTTCAAAGAGAGATGCCCTTTCAGCACACTCTGCAAAAGTGAGTAGTTCGGGTTTTTTTGCAGGCATATCCCCTGTGGTTTTCCCTTCCAAAACTCTATTTAGCTGGTCCAATGCAGGCTTGTCATTTAAAAAAAAAACAAAAAAACAGAATTCCAAGTATGCTGCATTGAGGAAGATCTTGAAATGCAGGGAAAAAATCCTTTTGTTTATATTTTCACACCAGGCTACACCCCTTCACAGTCCACCCTTCACTGTATTTTCAACATGGGGGAATTAAAAAGGTATCCCGTCTTGTCTGGAACAGGGGGGCTGTTGGAGTGAAAATGTCAACAGAACCATTGTGCTTGAGTTGGGTTGCAGACGCTCTCGGCCGTTGGTTTTTTGAGAGCTAGCGGTTTATCATGTTGGATTTCAAACTGTTTGTTTATTTGCTCATGATTTATATCCCACTTTTCCTCCTAGGAAGGCAAGGCGGAGTACACAGTTTTCCACCTCCCCATTTCATTCTCACAACAGTCCTGTGAGGTAGGGCAGGCTGAGAGGGGGGATTTGAACCCTGATCTCACCTCAGAGATTCCATGTTAGGTGCAATTTTATGGTACGAGGTAAAAAAACACCAGCAGCTGCCACAAGTCTTGTATTGTTAATGTTTCAAAATGTGAAAGCCAGCCTGTCCTATAAAGCATCTTTTACCAAAGTGATTAATGATTCAAAATCGCTAACACGAGGCCAAGATGTAACTTTAAATATGTACAACTAGCAACAGGAGAGGACTTTCCAATTATGTTTTATGTGACCTCCATCCCACCCTTACCCCTACCCCAATAGTGCCAGTCAGAAATAAGGTGATTTTTTTAAAAAGGGGTTTAGAACATTACATTGTACCAATCAGAGGCTTTGAACTCAATGATGTGATTTTTATTTTTATTTTAAGCACAATTTTTACACCTGCTTCGGTGGAGATGGTGACTTTTGTACAGCTTTGAAATTTAAGTTTGTTTATGATTCTTTCATTTTGTTTCCTCTTAAGTTGCTAGGCTAGCAGTTTGCCAGGCTTGTTTGCAAACTCGAAGCTCCACTTGATTTTCCATTCAATCTCTTGATTTATAATCATCGAGAATTGTGTCTGTAACATTTTTATGTTCTGTTTAATTAATTCGCTATCCAGATTATTAAATAATTCTTTTTCATTTCTTCCCATATCTCCTTCTTTTTCTTCTCCCTGATTTTCTTTGGGTATGCATTCTGTTGTATAAAGAACCCTCTTATAACAGCTTTACTCGCATCCCATGCAGTTTTAATGTCAGTCCCTTGGTTCAGGTTAAGTTCAAAGAATTCTTTTAGTGTCGACTTTGCTTTTTGTAGGACAGTTTCATCATTTAACAGACTCATTTAGTTGCCATCTTCTTGCTTTTCTTCTCATCTCCTTTCAGCCATGCCCATACCGGGTTATGGTCTGAGATTGTTCTTGGTCGGATTTCGACCTTATTTACCTGAATTAGAAGTTCTTTTGAGGCCCAAATGGGGGCTTTGAAATTTAAGTTAGGGGCCACTGCTGCTATCTACTTGCTGTAAAGTGCTTCATGATCATAGAGTTGGGTCACCTAGTCCAACCCCCTGCAGTGCAGGAATCTCAACTAAAGCATCCATGACAAGTGGCCATCCAACCTCTACTTAAGAACTTCCAATGAAGGAGAGTCCACAACCTCTGAAGCGAGTCCGCTCCACTGTCAAACAGCTCTGACACTCAGAAAGTTCTTCCTGAGTTTAATCAGAATCTCCTTTCTTGTAACTTGAATCCATAGCAGGAGAAAACAAGCTTGCTCCATCTTCATGTGACAGCCCATATGAGTATACATGGGCAATGTTCGAAATTAGCCAGGCACCAGGTGCATTTTGTATCTGGATTTCAACTACAGTGGTACCTCAGGTTAAGAACTTAATTTGTTCTGGAGGTCCGTTCTTAACCTGAAACTGTTCTTAACCTGAGGTACCACTTTAGCTAATGGGGCCTCCCACTGCCGCTGTGCCGCCGCTGCACAATTTCTGTTCTCATCCCGAAGCAAAGTTCTTAACCCGAAGTACTATTTCTGGGTTAGCGGAATCTGTAACCTGAAGCGTCTGTAACACAAGGTACCACTGTACATTATTATTATTATTATTATTATTATTATTATTATTATTATTTATAACTCGCCCATCTGGCTGGGTTTCCCTAGCCACTCTGGGCAGCTTCCAACAAAATATTAGAATACAAAAGTCCGTCAAACATTAAAAGCTTCCCTAAACAGGACTGCCTTCAGATGTCTTCTAAAAGTCTGGTAGTTGTTTTTCTCTTCGACCTCTGGTGGGAAGGCGTTCCGCAAGGCGGGCGCCACTACCAAGAAGGCCCTCTGCCTGGTTCCCTGTAGCTTTGCTTCTTGCAGCGAGGGATCCGCCAGAAGGCCCTTGGCACTGGACCTCAGTGTCCGGGTAGAACGGTGGGGGTGGAGACGCTCCTTCAGGTGCGACCCTACAGCCAACCCAAGTACAGATGTCTGGCTGCCAGGATGGTGCCTGACTTAAAAATAATAATAATAATAATAATAATTTATTTATACCCCGCCCACCTGACTGGGTTTCCCCAGCCACTCTGGGTGGCTTCCAACCGAATATTAAAATACAATAGTCTATTAAACATTAAAAGCTTCCCTAAACAGGGAGCATTGCGTTTGGACTGTTTTCACACATGAACGCCCCATCCTGTAGAATTCTGTCAGTTATATTTTATCTGCACAATTGGAATGAAAATGCTTTTTTCTGTGCAGCCTGAGCAGAAGCAGTTGCCATTAAGGAAAAAGGGGTTGGAATAGGCCAATATCTATGAAGACTTTCCCTGGACCAAGTGACTTTCCTTCTTTAAGTTCTCAAAGTCATTAACCGAGCTCAAGGTTGTCATCTGAACTGGCCAGATGTTTAACTGAGAATCAATCACAGTCAATCCATCATTTGAAAAATAAGACACTAGAGCTGTCTTGCCCCCAAATGGCAACTATATATTTTGTTTTTGCGACTGCAGCCTTGGTTTAAGGAGCCATTTGGCACCTAGCTTAAATACCTGAGATTCTAACATTGTAGTCAGGCCTTCAGAATTTCAGTTGAATTTGCCTGTTCATTCAGGCCCCTTTTCATTCATGCCTTGCTGAGTCTTACTTTTGCCACGGCCCCAGCCACCACTGGTATATGGCCCTCAAGACGTGGCCCAGAAGCGAATGTGGCCCTTACTGCTGAAAAGCATTCCCTACCTCTGAGATTAGGGTCTGTATTAAGCCCCTTTGTCTAAGCACTGAAGCTGTTCCAACGGGTATGATTTAAGCAAGTGTTTTGAAATCTAACACTTGCTTTTTCATTCTGCTGGATGCCAGGGAGAAAAATGTGCTTTCATGAAAGCTTTCTGCCAATTCAGACATATATTGGGACATACAACAAGGAACAAAGATGTTCAGATGTACATCTGAAATATATGTGGGTGTAGCACAGGGAGAAGTGAGATTCCTACTGCTTTGTAAACAGCTGACAAATGTTGAAGTGTTATTACAGACTCTTAAAGATGATACATTAAGTGAATGAAATTTTTAGATTTTTTTTTTAAATGCTCTTAGTCTTACAGTTATTTTGTCTCTTTCCATTAAGTGCTCTAAACGACATTAGATCTGAACACAAAGGTTCAGGGAGTTGGGCACCAAAATAATTTATTGCTCTTTAATGACAAGAGCTTTAAAAAAAGGCAAGTAGAATCAATGAACTCTCTTCATTCTTCATGAGTGTCAGGGAACTGACATCGGAGCTAGAGGCGGAGGGAAGGCTCTCAAATGATGCTGGAGAAGGGCCCAGCAGGGAGAGAGGCAGCTCAGCAGATGGGGAAGCAAATCAGCGCAACACCAGGAATAAAGGGGGGCAGATGGGGGAATCGGCGAGAGGGCTCCCAGACTCTTCACCGGACACCAGCGGGGAGAGCACGGGTCCTCCGCTACCCACGCCCTCCCTGCGCAGAAGACTTCCGCGCAGAGAGATTAGGAGGAGACTGGGTGTCAAACAACTTTTATGTTGGAAAAGGTTTAAGAAACGCCCACTGACGGATGCTGCTAGCGACTGAGGCAGTCACGAAGTGAAGGGCTGTCCAGACTGAGAGGTTTAACAAGGCAACAAAGCCAGGAGAGGCGGCAACTTACACACGAGCAACCCATACTCATTACAATGAGCTTAGCATACAAGTTTAATGTTTTTGTGTGTGTTTGTAATGTATTGTACAACTGTGTCACTAAGTTTGTAGTGAACTCAGGAAATTGTGTACCAGTTTTTCTTACGACTAATCTACAGTGACAAGGAGCTGGAAACTTGATAATCAACTTCTGGTTAGAATTTCTGTCATATTTCATTACAAAAATGCGGGTGGTATATCTGCCCCTCTCTGTTTGTGCCACAACCCAAAGTATGTGCAGCTTTAAGGCATGGGTAGGCAAACTAAAGGACTAAAGGGACTAAACTAAAGGGACGCGGGTGGCGCTGTGGGTTAAACCACAGAGCCTGGGACTTGCCGATCAGAAGGTCAGCGGTTCGAATCCCCGCGATGGGGTGAGCTCCCGCTGCTCAGTCCCTGCTCCTGCCAACCTAGCAGTTCGAAAGCATGTCAGAGTGCAAGTAGATAAATAGGTACCGCTCCGGCGGGAAGGTAAACGGCGTTTCCGTGCGCTGCTCTGGTTCGCCAGAAGTGGCTTAGTCATGCTGGCCACATGACCCGGAAGCTGTACGCCGGCTCCCTCAGCCAATAAAGCGAGATGAGCGCCGCAACCCCAGAGTCAGCCACGACTGGACCTAATGGTCAGGGGTCCCTTTACCTTTACCTAGGCAAACTAAGGCCCGGGGGCCGGATTCGACCCAATTGCCTTCTAAATCCGGCCCACAGACGGTCCGGGAATCAGCGTGTTTTTACATGTGTAGAATGTGTGCTTTTATTTAAAAATGCGTCTTTGGGTTATTTGTGGTGAATAGGAATTTGTTCATTATTATTTTTCAAAATATAGTCCAGCCCCCCACAAGGTCTGAGGGACAGTGGACCGGCCCCCTGCTGAAAAAGTTTGCTGACCCCTGCTTTAAGGAGTCAACATCGGCTGCATACATACCATATATTTCAAGCACATTTCCCCTCCTCCCCAAAAATAATATTCCTGGGAACTGTAGTTTGTTAAGGGTGCTGGGAAATGGAGCTTTGTGAAGGGTAAACTACGGTTCCCGTGATTATTTGGAGGGGAGAATGCTTTAGATGCATAGTGTGCACATGGCCATTGCCTTACATAGGGGATGGATTTGAATGGGGTAGTCACTCTTGAGTAGCTGAAGAGCTGTGAGCAACAACCTGAGGACTGGCTCATCCTAAAGCAGGGGTGATCCTCTAAATTTTGTTGGACGCCAGGTTCCATCAGCATGGCCAGTGGTCAGGAATGATGGGAGCTGTAGTCCAGCAATGTCTACAGAGCCTCAAGGTCCCTACCCCTTGCTGTGTAACGCTGTAAAGGAAGTTAAGTGGTGAAATAGTGGGAGCAGAGTGGGAAATGGCAACGGAGGAAACCCAGAGTGCTGTGGCTTTTCTTGCCATTTCAAAAAGCCCAAGGATTCAGAGAGATTTCATTCTGTGAAATTTGAACATACATCAGAAAAGCCCTACTGGACCGGACCAAAGACCTGTCTAATCCAATGTCCTGTTTCCCATAGTGGGTAACCAGATATCCAGCCCTCTCCCACTTGTCATCTCCTGCCAAGTGGAATTCAGAAATGGCAGGTAATATAGGCATCGTGAGTCGTCGTGATCACTTGATGGCTCTTCACTTGGTGACTCACAAGCCACCTTGGATTCCTTTTTGAAGTACGGCTGGATATGATTTTCAAAGGTTGGTGACTCATCAGCTGATGACTCGGCACTGAATGTCTGAACCAGCTCCTTTGGGAAGCAGTCTTTGATGTGAGAGGTTGGGTGAGAGTTCTGTTGAACGTTTAATCCACGGGTGGGCAACCTAAGGCCCGTCTTCTCAATCGGCCCACGGACGATCTGGGAATCAGCGTGTTTTTACATGAGTAGAATGTGTGCTTTTATTTAAAAATGCATCTCTGGGTTATTTGTGGGGCATAGGAATTCAGTCATATATTTTTTTCAAAATATAGTCCAGCCCACCACATGGTCTGAGGGATGGTGGACCGGCCCACGGCTGAAAAAGGTTGCTGACCCCTGGTTTAATCTGTAATGGCTCACCTCAGGCATATAGGTCACGCAGCTGTTAAGTGACGCATGTCCATCTATGCTAGCAGGTGGGGCACCTGTGGCCCTACAGACTTTACTGGACTGCTGTTCCCACTATCCCTGACCTTTGGCCAATGCCATCTAAAAGGCCACAGATTCCCCGCTCCCGAGTTCACCTTTTCCGCTGTTATTGGCATTCATCTGTTTCAGGAGACAATGGGGGTTTGCATCTGAGGTGAAGTCCAGTTGCTGCAATAGCAGCACCAATGTGACCTCCCCAGGGCATAAGCCTGGGCAGTGTAACAGTATGGGGGTCCTGGGCTGCCCAGATGACAACAAAATCCATTTCAGCCTCACTGATGTGGTCCAAAGGAAAGCAGAACAAGATGGCGGGCACCAGCTTGGCTGCAGGAGTTGCTGGAAGGAGGTGTACAAGGTGCTATCCAATCACTTTAGGGTTTACTCCTTAGCCTTTTCTTCTCCTGAAGATATCCCACAAGGCAGCAGAGGTTTAGAGTCAAGAGTTCTCCTTCTCTAGATGGGCTGCCTTCCCAGGTGGATGAGCCCCATCTGCCCCTCACTTCCCTCCATAGCAGAAACCACCTTCTTGACTGTTGGACCCACTATTGGTCTCATCTGTTCAATCCATCAGAGCCTGTCTATTCAGTACCCCACGGAAATACAAAAACTGACAATCTGGGGACATGGTGTATGTAACAGTTTGCTCATTGTTTTCCGGATGCTGTTGACACTGTATGCTTAGGCTGGTGTTTATTGATATATCCCATATTTATTGATATATCTTATTTGTATCCCCTTTTCCTCTCGCCCCAAAAACCCCACCTCAAGGTGCCCTGACTGTTATTGTATTCCACTCCATTTAATAATAATAATAAATAATTTCCCTAAGATGCACGTCAGTGGCAGTCCCCATGCATCTTTAGGAAGATAGGAAGCTGTGTTATACTGAGTCATAATACCATTGGCCTCTGACCCCATTGTTTCTTGAGATGGACAGATGCCAATGACCATTGGCCCGCCTGACAGGCAGCAGCTTTCCCATGTTTCAGGCATCATTTCTCTTCCAGCTCTCATCTGGAGGTGCCCAGGACTGCACCTGGGACTTCCTGAGTGCACAGCAAATGCTGCCGTGCCACTGAGCTGCAGCCGTTCCCCAATAAAGGAAGCTTTATTTGGGAAAGCCAGGCCTCAATTTAATTAATTATAAAGAAATGTATCATTGGTACTTCTCCAAGTACCTTCTGGGTCATAATTAACTAGTGTGGCTTGCGTAAAAGCCACAGTTCAATATTATTATTATTATTATTATTATTATTATTATTATTATATGAATTTTTATACCACCTTTCATCTGAAGACCACTGGGTAGTTTACAATATAAGACTTCTTGCACTACTGCAGGCAGCAGTTTTAACCAGCCCTCGGGGGTTTGTTTGTTTTTTTAATGTACATCATTTTATTACAAAATTGTTTAAAAAGTAATACAATGCAATAGCATGCAAGACAAGGTTGACTACCAATTTTACTACCGTTTTTTTAAACTCTGCTCAAAATCAGGCTGTCACTAAATCCAAAGAACCATTAAATATGCCTGAACATTTGACAATATCAGCTTTTAAAAATCTAACAGTAGTGGCATTCAGCTGCTACTTACATTAGAATACAGGTCTCCCTACAATCACATTACCTATACACAATTCTGTACAGTTTTTATACTGAAGCTAACAATGAGCTGCACTCGACTTCACATTCTTAGCTAAATCATTGACTTTTGGGTACAAAATCTTTACAGCAGCTTTATAACTTCACTCTTCATCTTCATCTTCCTCCTCTTCTTAGTCTTCTTCCTCTTCATCATCACCTTCAGGTTCTACTTATTTCAAATGGGGTGGCTTCACCTCCAGGCTCTTGTTAATGCCCTCCAAAAACAAAAGCCCTGCTTCTCAAAGTCAGGTGGAGCTCAGATCCTCCATTTGTCTTTTTTTCACAAATCGTTAAGCCAAGCAGCAGGCGGTGTGTGGTGCCTCATGCTAATAAGCTGGCATCCTTCTTTGCCCCATTTTGCGGGTGACTTTGAAACCTGGGAAGTGCAGCCCTCTCCTGTGGCAAAGGCTCTTTTTCTCCTGATGAAGCTGCCCTTCTCAGGCTTTGATGCCTTGAGAGGATGCTTCCATCTCTAAGAGAGAGAGAGAGAGAGAGAGAGAGAATGCTGATACAGTGGTGCCTCTCAAGACGAAATTAATTCGTTCCGCGAGTTTTGTCGTCTTGCGATTTTTTTCATCTTGCGAAGCACGGTGTCGGAAAAGTTTTGGAAAAGCTTCAAAAATCACCAAAGTCTTCAAAAACCTCAAAAAAGGCTACCACACCGCGTGCTATGAGTTGCTCCTCGAAGTCAAGTCGCAACTGTATTAACGGTGTTAAGAAAAAGGAAACAAACTTGCAAGACGTTTCCGTCTTGCGAAGCAAGCCCATAGGGAAAGTCGTCTTGCAAAGCAGCTCAAAAAACAAAAAACCCTTTCGTTTTGCGAGTTTTCCGTCTTGCGAGGCATTCGTCTTGCGAGGTACCACTGTATTCTGATATTCACTGGCACCCCCTGCAGAGAGCTCTGGGATTAAATGTGGCATCCACTCCCTAGCCATAAGGTGATTTTCTGGAGATTTGGCATACGGCCCCTTTATCCTTGCTGCCAGCACTGACTGGCACCTTCAGGGCAGCTTGCAAGAGCCACCTTTTTACCATCTTGATATACGTTTGCCCTGATAAGATGTGAACTGCAGTATCCCAAAGCTTGACACCTTGACGATCTGGGCATTGGGACTTCTGTAGGCCTTGCAGGGATATGTTTGTGGTGAGGAGGTCAGAAGCACTAGTTTGGTTGCACATCCACTGACAGATTAGTGATGCTTTGAAATGCACATCTCCGGAGGCCATAAAGACCTTGTGTGCTATTTATCCCTTCCTCTTGCCAGCAGGAGTCCAGCCAGGCCTGAAAGGATGCAGAGAGGGAAATCCCTTTGTTTTGCAGCGCTACTAAGGCAAGTTCCTTGGCAGCTGTAGAGAAACGTATTTGTGTCTCAATGTATGAAGAGGCAGCCTCCAAGATGTTGCTGGGCTCTGCTCCCATCAGCTGTAGGTGGCATGGCCAGTGGTCAGGGTTCTCCATCACGAATGTCTGTTTCCAGGCACTGTGATCATCTGCAAGGGATTCCCACACAGCAGGGCTGAGGTTGCCAGGCTTCATGTGACGTTTGCAGACATCTTTGTAGCGCAGAGTTGGCCTGCCAACGGGTTCCTGAAGCCAGCTCCCTTGGGGATTCGGTCGTGGAAACGGATCCTGGGATATCTACAGCTTTATGCGTTTCCACAGTGGGACGCGGGTGGAGCTGTGGGTTAAACCACAGAGCCTAGGACTTGCCGATCAGAAGGTCGGCGGTTCGAATCCCCGCGATGGGGTGAGCTCCCATTGCTGGGTCCCTGCTCCTGCCAACCTAGCAGTTCAAAAAACGTCAAAGTGCAAGTAGATAAATAGGTACCGCTCTAGCAGGAAGGTAAATAGTGTTTCTGTGCACTGCTCTGGTTCGCCAGAAGTGGCTTAGTCATGCTGGCCACATGACGTGGAAGCTGTACACAGGCTCCCTTGGCCAGTAAAGCGAGATGAGCACAGCAACCCCATAGTCAGTCACAACTGGACCTAATGGTCAGGGGTCCCTTTACTTTTTTATGCATTTCCACAAGAGTCTGACGAACACAGTTCCAGCGAATTGCTTCGCTCATCAGCAGAAAGCCTTTTGGGATTTCCTCAGAAGCCCTCAGCACAAGAGAGAACTCCGTAGGTGGCCCAATTATTTTGAGCTCTCTGGGCTCCTCCAGGGAAGTAGCAAACATCTTGTTTCTTTAATATGCAAAGTTAATTAATCCAAAACTGCTACTGTGCAGAACTTTTTGACCAATTACAGTTCTCAATACGTTTCCACAAAGCTGAAAAAAGCAAGTAAAGAAATCACTGGACCGTCCTTAAAGAATTCTTTCTAGGAGTTGGGGAGTTTTCCTTGAGGACTTGTTCTCTCTTAAGCAGCAATTTCTATCTCACTGATTAGTACGTTGAGGAAAACTACTTAAAACATCATCTGATCATCATCTTTGCTGAATTGGTTTTTGGCAGCTAACTTCAAAGTAGTAGCCGACCGTGCCGTGTTGTTAAAACCCTTAACCACCTTGCACAATTGAAATACTGTAAATAAAACCACCTTTCAGCTGTGCTAAACTCCAATGGACTGTCCTTGGAGACAGCTCACTATAAAAGTGAAGCTCAGCCAGGCGATACCGTTTGATATGTTTTGGTGGCCTCCTAAGAAAAAAAAATTTTTTTAGATCATAGAATCATAGAATCATAGAGTTGGAAGAGACCACAAGGGCCATCGAGTCCAACCCCCTGCCAAGCAGGAAACACCACAGATCCCTGTGATAAATGAAACTAAAGAATACCACAAGAAGCAAATCACCTTTTAGATCCAACACATTAAGCTAAGAATATGGTTTTATCAGAAAGTGTCAAAATGGTGGTACATTGATTGACTGCTGCTCGACCATCCCTCAGTTACAAATTGGGAGGAGGGTGGGTGTCCAGAGTATGGGAAATGTTGGTTTTACTCATTAATATTTATTTAAAAGGGACGTGGGTGGCACTGTGGGTTAAACCACAGAGCCTAAGACTTGCTGATCAGAAGGTCGGCGGTTGAAATCCCTGCGACAAGGTGAGCTCCTGTTGCTCAGTCCTTGCTCCTGCCAACCTAGCAGTTCGAAAACACGTCAAAGTGCAAGTAGATAAATAAGTACTGCTCCAGCGGGAAGGTAAACAGCATTTCCGTGCGCTGCTCTGGTTCTCCAGAAGCGGCTTAGTCATGCTGGCCACGTGACCCTGAACTGTACGCCAGCTCCCTCAGCCAATAAAGCGAGATGAGCGCCGCAACCCCAGAGTCGGCCACGACTGGACCTAATGATCAGGGGTCCCTTTACCTTTACCTTTAACAGGCTTTGTATACCAGTTAAGCATCAAAACATCTTAGTCAGGGGAGCTTTAAATCAGAAAACTTATGGAGAATGGAAAATGTTTAAGGAATATATAAGATTATATTGTAAAAATAATACCATCTTAGCAGAACTTGAATGATACTTGTGAACAAAAAGGAATGAAACAAATACTTTAGTGGAATGAATGAAAAAGGATATAGAGTAAAGCTGTGCGACAAAACCATGACAATAGAAACAGTATAATGAGAACAATTGGAAGTTTTATGCAGAAATTTTATTTGATGGATATGATTTTGTATAAATCTTTGATTTTTTTTCCTTTTCTTCCTTTTCTTCATTTTTTTTTAATTTTTATGTCTTGATGGTTTCTTTTTCAGTATTTAACTTTTCTATACTTACCTTCGTTGTACATTTGTATTTTAAAACTAATAAAGATTTACCATGAAAAAACAAAACAACAAAACAAAACATCTTAGCGTTTGATATAAAATATACATTAAAAGTACCAACAAAACCAGATGTTTAAAACAACTTAGCCTACTAACAGAAAGAATTGAAACCCAAACAAGTCACCCTGCTTCATTTTGGAAATAAAATCAGCAGATTTAAAAATACGTACTATAATATGACATATTTAAAATACCTGTCTGGGTAATAATAATAATAATAGTTGTTTATTCATTATACTCCACACATTCAACTGGGTTGACCCAGTCACTCTGTGCAGCTTCCAGCATAATATAAAAACACAAAATGGTTTTATTGTGCAGCAGAAACAGGCAGTTTAGTTGCTGCCACATGGAAGGGTCAATGATTACTTGAAGGTACAGAACAAACACGATGTGGCACTTGTGAAAGTTTGTCAGATTGATGATTATAATATGAGATAACCATGTGTCCAGGCAGACATTTTCAGTAAGGGGCAAAGAGTAGAATTCCTTTCCCCCAAAGCTGTGTTTGACTCCTTGCTTCCTTTAAGACAAGCCTGAAATAATTTTCCTTTCCAATTGTGCTTGGCTGAGATAAGCTGGAGTGGCTGGTATTCTGTGCCAGAAATGAGGGTGATGGCTCCGTTGGTGCTTTTATATGGTTTTCTTATCTGCTTGACTTGTCTAGTTAATCGGCTAAATTATGTATAGAGTTTTAACTCTTGATTTTGTTGTTCTATTGCAGTCCTTTTACTGTAAGCCAGTTTGGCAGGATCTATGATCCAGAAGAGCAGCATTAAAAACCACTTTAAGTCTATTTACTTAACTAGCATAAAAGACATTTAACTAAATAAGCTTATTTAACGCAGTCTGAGCCAAGAGAAGGGAAATACCCCCTTTACATTAATTTGATTTGAATATGCTAGCAGCCTGTTACGTACTGAAGTTCTCACCCTGGGCCAGCAGGGGGATACTGTAGATAGTTTTCACTCAGGTCCACATATGCAGATAAGGAATTGAAAGTGATGTTCAGTGATTGGATAGTTACAGAAAGTTGTTACTGTTGCCTTGTAGTTGAGCTCTATATAAGCAGGCTGGCTGAACCCTTCAGCTCCGTTCTGTTCAGGCCTGTGAATGAACAAGAGCTGTTTGAAGAATCGCTGTGTCGTCTGATATGTTCACCCACAACTTAACACAACCGTACATAATGGTAGGAATTTTGTAAGAAAGATCATTTTAAGAATGGTGACAGGTGCAAAGCAGGTTTGCTTAACTTGATTTTAACACGCAAAGAGGTAATTTATTCCTTTCTTATTATGCTTGGGATTGAAGATTGGAGAAGATTTGGGCAGGACCCGGGGCATGCATGGGAAGAGGGGAGAGCAAAAATTTTCATGTGCAAGTTGAAATACTTGTGCTTACATAATGTTCAGTGGGCACTTCACTTGCATTTTTGTGTCCTAAAATGAGAAACGTTTCCAATAAATAGCCAGTGTTTAAGCAATGAATGGTTGATCCTCTGTAATAAAAGTTTTTAATGACACAGGGTTCGGGGCCGGCTTTCCTTGGGGAAGAGTTTTGAACAAATCACCGTTTCTAGATTGTATCCAAACTAGAGTATATTTCTTTAGGTTACTGACATCCATTCCAACAAAATTTTAGCTGGCAAATAATCGAGTTAATCCAGTTTATTAGATTTGTATGCACTTGCATAGGAACTAAATGTCAGTTTGCATTTATTGGTGCAGAAAGTATTGATCTGATGTGTAGAGATCTTTCCTATTCTAATTAATTCAAGAGGGTTCTGGAAGCTTCGCTGTGTGAAAGAAACAAGCAGAAGGTTCATGATGTTTGGGTTATTCCTTCAGAGAAGCTGAGTACAGCTGGTTTAAACTGGTTCTCTTTCTGTCAAGGTCATGCTGCCTATAAAAGAAGGCCTAGAAGGAGCCTGGGATTCACTTTCTCTATCTCTGTGGTGTTCTGTACATAGTATGCTTAGTGTTAAGGTTTAGACTTACTATAAGTTATGTTAAGTTTAAGTTAAGTCTGCTGCAACTGCATTATGGACCGTGCCAATCCTGAATGTATTGGATTTGTGACCATTAGGCTCATTTGCCTTCAAGTAGCAGTAAAGCTCTGCTGGGTGAAATATTATTTGCCTCTGGTCTATTTTTTGGGAATCCTGCAACATGGTTCAAGTTTTTACTCTGCTAACTATACGTTGGAATCTACTCTGGATCAATATTGAGTAGAATTCCACGACACTAAAAGCATGTATTTAAGATGATGTGTTTTATACTGTATTTTATGCTGTTTTTTGTTGCATCAATTGTTTTAAATTTGTTGTTAGCTGCCCTGAGCCCGATTTTCTGAACTGGGAAGGGCGGGGTATAAATAAAATTTATTATTATTTATTATTAACAGCGCATGTCTTGTCTTGCAGGTGCCATGCAGCCCGATTGCTGTGGTGGCCAGAGCTGAAGGCCATGGCTAGAATTCTTTAGGACACACATCCTGGACGACATCACACAATAAGCCATCTCAGAGAGCACCTTGCCTGGGAGAAGAAGCTGCTCTTGCCAAGGACAGTTGCCCAGCTGCCATGGCTAGCAAAAGGAAATCGACCACTCCATGTATGGTTCGAGCACCTGAGGCTGAGGAAGCTCTCAAGGACTGTAGTGTGGGAAGGGAAGCAACCGGCACTCCAGAGCAGGATGCGAGCAATGGTTTGGTGGCCGGTAAGGAGAGCTGCGAAAACGACTGTGAGGTGATCGAAGGGAAATCCTCCCCGGCCAACCCGGCCAGGAAACCCCTCGGAGGCTACGAATGTAAGTACTGCCCCTATTCCACGCAGAATCTCAACGAGTTCACGGAGCACATAGACACCCAGCACCCCAACGTCATCCTCAACCCCCTGTACGTGTGCGCCGAGTGCAACTTCACAACCAAAAAGTACGATTCCTTATCCGAACACAACGCCAAACTCCACCCGGGAGAGAACAACTTCAAGCTCAAGTTGATCAAGCTCAACAACCAGACCGTCCTAGAGCAATCCATTGAGGCGGCGAGCAGCTCAGTTGCCGTGGAAACCCCTGAAATCGAGGTGGTTCCTGTCGGGCCTAGTGGTACAAGCAAGACCACCCCAGCGATTAACGTTGGGAAGCCTAAAGTCGAAGCCAGGAAAGTTTCTTTAGAGAACCACCTGGATGGGATCCCTCACCTGATTACGGAGGCCACAGAGCCTATCACATGCATTAACGGAGCAGAGCTCCTCCACGATATCCTGGCCCATGTGATGCCCTCTGTGCAGCTCCCGCCGAACATCAGCCTGGTTCCCAAGGTCCCCGTGCCGCTGAACAGTACCAAATACAATTCCGCACTGGACACCAACACAACCATGATCAGCTCCTTCAACAAGTTTCCTTACCCGACGCAGGCGGAGTTGTCGTGGTTGACGGCCGCATCCAAGCACCCTGAGGAGCAGATCCGGATTTGGTTTGCCACCCAGCGTCTGAAGCATGGCATCAGCTGGTCTCCGGAAGAGGTGGAGGAGGCAAGGAAGAAGATGTTCAACGGCACTATCCAACCAGCGGCCCAGACCATTGCCGTTCTGCCCGCTCACGTCGCCGCTGCAAAAATGCCACAGCCGATGATCCAGACGGCTGTGCCTTGCCAGATACTTAGCCAGACCGGCCTGGTTTTGACACAAGTCTCAAACGGGTCCAATGTTTCCCCCATTGCCCTTGCCGTGGCGGCCAACCAAGGGCAGAAACGGAGCATGCAGGCCCAGAAGGCGGTCCCGGAAGTCAAGCGCCCGCACGTCGTCGCCGCGGAGGTCTTGTCCAAACAGATCGCCCCTGCTGCTCCGACGAGCACGACCGCAGTGCCCTTGTCTCCTGTGCTGCTGGCGAATGATCGCAAGAAGACTAAGGAGCAAATAGCAGCCCTGAAGGCGAGTTTTATTGTCAGCCAGTTCCCCGATAACGCGGAAGTGTACAGGCTGATAGAAGTCACGGGCCTCTCCCGAAGCGAGATCAAGAAATGGTTCAGCGACCACCGATACCGGAGCCAGCGAGGGATTGTCCACATCACGAGCGAGTCGCTAGCCAAGGACCAGGTGGCTCTTGTGGCTGCAAGGCAGGCGCGGAACTATAATCCATACCCGGACTTCGCTTTCCAGAAGTTCAAAGGAAAATCCAGAGAACAGCTGGCAGTCCTGGAAGAAAGCTTTATCAAGAGTTCTTTTCCAACCCAAAGCGAGTTGGAAAGGCTCCGGAACGAAGCCTGCATGACTAGTCGAGAGGTTGAGGCCTGGTTCTCCGAGCGCAGAAAGCTCAGGGATAATATGGAACAAGCCATCTTGGACTCGATGGGGCCGAGCGTAAAGAATAAGGAGGAAGGGGCTTCCAATGGTGCCATCGGTCCGACAGAGCAGTTTGACGTCTCCCAGGCACAGACCTCTTTGTCCAGGTGCTCGACTGCATTTGCCTCAAGTAGCCAAGAGCAGGCGCACTTGTTGAAGAGCACATTTGCAAGGACGCAGTGGCCAACTCCACAGGAGTATGACGAGTTGGCGGCTCAGACGGGGCTCACAAGGACTGAAATAGTGCGTTGGTTCAAAGAGAACAGGAGCTGCCTACGAACCGGGACGCTAAAATGGCTGGACCAATACCAGCAGCAGTATGCAGTCGATGGATATGACGAGGCAAAAGGACCAGCAGCCACCGAGACGGCGGGTAGCAGTAGCGAGGGTGTTCAGCAACCCAGTAAAGAGCATCTGAAGCCAGAGAAGCAGGACATAGAGGGCATGGAGAAGTCTGAATGCAGTGATCGAGGTAGTCAAGGCGAGAACAAGGGAAATGTAAGTTGGGTGGAAGTCACCATCGACGATGACGATGATGCTTCGGACTGTATGGACAGCTGGGGTCAAGCAGTGCCGGGAAGCAAAGCAGGTTTTGATTCTGAAAGTATACCTGGCGATACCTCTCACACCTAAGACAGGTAATGATGGGGATTGTTTGTTGACCTAACACTGGCCATGGTCCTCCTTGGCTCAGCGTTCTAATTCAAGGGTTGCATCCAGCTATAGCAGCTTCCACTTGTGCAGCGGGACTTCCTCCTCCCTACCCCGCACAGTTCCCAAATCTGCTCTGAAGTGTTAGAGGAACATCAACACACTTGCAGACAGTGGTGTGCAGTCAGTGGACATGGGGAACTAGGCTTGCCCCCAAAATGTTCCTGGTAAATTAGAGTACAGTCATATCCCTTGTTACGTTTGCTTCATGTTATGTTTTTTCAGGTTGTGTTCCGCGGTGACCCGGAAGTACTGGAAAGGGTTACTTCCGGGTTTCGCTGCTCGCGCATGCGCAGACACTCAAAATGACGTCATGCGCAGACGCAGCAGATTGTAACCCGTGCGTGTGCAGATGCACCGCTGTGGATTGCGTTCCTTTCATGTTGCGAACGGGCCTCCGGAATGGATCCTGTTCACAACCAGGGGTACCACTGTATTAAAGTGTTAAAGCCTGGCACCTCCTTCCCAAAGCCTGGGAAGCTTCTGTGTGATGCTTTGACGGGGTCGAAGAGCCCTTCCGCCACCTCCCCAAAGCCTGTCCTGCTTTGGGAAGGAGGCAGCCGGGTTGCAGCATCTTGTCAGAGGCCTGGCACCTCTTTCCCAAAGCCCAGGAAGCCCCTTCCCAACTTAGGGAGGGAGAAGTGATGCTCACGCATGCGATGTCAACACGCCTGGCAAATTTCGAACACTGCATGTATTTGGCTCTAGATTGGAATCGAGAAAAATACTGACCTGTTTTATATGCTTAGGAGACAGCAGCCTCTGCATGCTTTTCAGATCCACCTTAACTGATTAACCATAATCCAAGGAGTCTCCCAATTCTCTGTGTGTATTTTGATTTCATTTATCTGCCCCTGGCTTAAGTGCCTTTTTAAACACTCCTCATTGCTGAAAACGCAAGCTTAGGCCCTCTAGTGGGAAAAACATACAAACTCTGACATGCTTATTAACATGGTCTCATCATGCTTTCGGGACACCATCCAGCAAAGAATTGGTAACACTTAAAGTCAGCGGGTTTGCTATTGAAAATATTGTATTGTATTGTTTGTAAGCTGGGGTCAGGTACTAAAGATTTCTTTTTGATTGTAGGGTATCTTAACGCAGTTGCCACAAGAACTGCACACAGTGGAGCCCTGTAAAGGGCTGCTTAGTACCAGACAGAAATCTGAAAAATTAATTTGGTTAGCTTCAGCATTCTCCTTACTATTTCTGTTAGTAAAATTGGGAGTTTTCTATGCCCAGGTGGGCACAGTATGGCTTAATAAGGCAAGCACAGAAAGCAGGGAATGAGAGGTGACAGATGCGGATCACATGCAATACACCAGGTGTGTTGCGCAGGCCTATCCTTTGGCAAGCATTTGGCATCCAGGTAACTTACTGGGGGCGAGAAGAGATGTTGTCTCTTACAAATACAGTCATACCTCGGGTTACAGACACTTCAGGTTGTGCTTTTTCAGGTTACGGACACGCCGAAACCCGGAAGTACCGGAACGGGTTACTTCTGGGTTTTGGCAGTCGCGTATGCGCAGAAGCGCTAAATTGTGCTTTGCAGATGCACCAAATTGCAACCCGGACGTGCACAGACGCGACGCTGCGGGTTGCGAACGTGCCTCCCGCACGGATCACGTTCGCAACCCGAGCGTCCACTGTACACTCCTCTGCAAGCTTGCTCAGAAATAAGCCTTGCTGAGTCCAACAGGGATTTAATTCCCAGGTAAGTGTGTGTAGATTTGCAGCCAGGCAGAGCAACCCAGTAAGGGAGAATGAAGATGAGCTGGGACGACTTCTTTTTACGGTAGCTTTTTATGGGCTGCAGCCCTTGTTTGTTTGTTTTTAAATCCTTACCACTGGTCTTGGTGCAAGGGGAAATTGAAGTATGTCACTTCCAGGGCTGGCATACACCCTCCCCTGCAAAAATAAATAAATTTATGGGCATGTCTAAATGAATCCAGCCACTCCAAAGCCTTCCCCTACACACACAGCTATATTTGTTTCAAACCAGGTAAGAAGATCCATTGAATTTCATGCACCTGAATTAGTGCCCCACAGCCAAAAAGCACAAAGGAGGGTTGTTGCTGGTGTGCAAACTATGTTCCGTTTTGCAAAATAATAACCGTATTCCATGCACTCATTTGTTTATCTGTCTTAGGCATATCATTCAGCTTTCTAGACCTATCTTTCCACTCTTTGGGAGTACGCCGTCACTGACCCTGGGAGCAAGCAGGATCTTCGGAAGCAGGGAAATCTGACGGGTTTTGCCTCCCGGTTCAAGGCACGTGGGTACAGTTGCGGTGGAGAAAGGACAGTCCTGTGGAGCATTGCTACAGATCTCACGGTGCCAGATTTCCACCAGGGGGCTTTTCCAACAAGGGTCCTTGTACATAGGTTTTTCCCCGCAGCGTCCAACTTGCTTGCCTCCCATTGTAACTTCCCATGTACAACGTGGAGACGTCTCGCTGCCTTTCCTGGCTGGTGCGTACGCTGTGGATTCTCATTGCCATCTCAAGGTCGCGATTTGGCTTATCGGTTTTCTTGAAAATTAGTTACCGCTGCGTCTACATCCATGACGACTTGGAAACCTTTTTGGCCTCCTGCACATGTTTCTAAAGATGTGTTTCTATTTTCGCAGAGAGAGTTTACCCACCTCAACACATTTTTACCTGTTCAGTCTAGGGCTAGCTGCTCGTTGTGACTTTCTCAAGAGCCTTTTATTTGCAATTGGCTCCCTCTTGTTCCTCTGCATGCAGGAAAAGCAGCAAAAACATTTGTCTGGGAGAGACAGCCGATCTCTTTAACACATCCTGCATTTCACCGTTTGCCAAAACATCTGGATTATGGAGCTCCAGAGTTGTTGACAGTACGCCTTTGCTTGTTGCAAGCACCTTTTTCTACTACATGTAGTACAATCCTTTTTTTAAAAAAAAAGACTTTACAATGGAGGGCTTAAGCTTCTTAATAACTGAACTTGCTCACAATTCTTTGTTTGGTGCAAATACAGAGACTTATTTTTGTCAGCCTTAGGTGCTCTAGTGCACAACGTGGTTTCTTGAACCCTCAGCCACTACATCTTTCATTTGTTTCTAGGTCCTCAGAATGCACTTTTCTTCTCCAAATAACTGCTGAGAGAGGGGACGAACTGTCACATTGGGTACAGGTCAAATGGTGAAGTTGCTTTGGTTTGGAGAGACGGATCCATTTCCTATCCCAACATACACTGCACAAATCTAATTGCTAGGGAGTTTGAATTAAAACAAAACACTTTTCTAACTTTTTGCTTGTTTGTTGTAACTCAGTAAAACAAAGGCTTTAATGTTTTTGGTAAGCTTTTCCTCTTGTGTCTCTTTCTTTTAAATGCAACATCTTCCTCACGCTGCTAAGTAGCTTTTAAATACAGCATAGCGTGCCTGCTCTTGAATGCTGAGTGGCAGCTTAAAGGAAGTTATCCGGGAAGAAGCAAGGCCTACTGTCATTCACAGCCATTATTTTGCCAGCTGGATTCAGAGACACTGAAATCCCACTGCTGTCATTCTCTATAGTCAGAGGGAAGAACCTTTTTTCCCTCTCTCGGGCTTCCATTGCCTTGGGAGAAAATGGGCAGGGATGGAAAATGGATGTGCCCACACCCTTAAAATAGACACACACACACACCCTTAAGTGCACAAACACCAAGTTTCCAATCGGATGACGAATGAGGAAGGACCAATTTTCACCCTCAGTCTAGCATGCAGGGAGGTCTCAACTTCGTCACCCAGCATGCAGCAAGCAGGGTGAAATTTAGGGTGCGGACTGGCGCTTGGACAGGTGATGAGGTCTGGCAAGGCCAGAAGTTTCCCAGGCATGTTTTGCATCGTGGATGGGGAACCTCAGGCAAAAGGGCCAAATGGAGGCTTCCACTCCTGTCTGGCCCTATCTCTGGGTCATGTACTCTCCCCTTGCCCTGCTTTGCACCCTCTTGAGAGTCTCTGCCTGGTTAGAATATTTCCTTAAACACTGGTGGTGCTTCTTGCTTGCCTGAATGGAAGGTAGAGGAGCATGTGAAGAAACTAGCCTACTATATGAAGGTACATCCTTAGAATCATAGAATCATAGAGTTGGAAGAGACCACAAGGGCCATCGAGTCCAACCCCCTGCCAAGCAGGAAACACCATCAGAGCACTCCTGACATATGGTTGTCAAGCCTCTGCTTAAAGACCTCCAAAGAAGGAGACTCCACCACACTCCTTGGCAGCAAATTCCACTGTCTTACTGTCAGGAAGTTCTTCCTAATGTTTAGGTGGAATCTTCTTTCTTGTAGTTTGGATCCATTGCTCCGTGTCCGCTTCTCTGGAGCAGCAGAAAACAACCTTTCTCCCTCCTCTATGTGACATCCTTTATATATTTGAACATGGCTATCATATCACCCCTTAACCTCCTCTTCTCCAGGCTAAACATGCCCAGCTCTCTTAGCCGTTCCTCATAAGGCATCGTTTCCAGGCCTTTGACCATTTTGGTTGCCCTCCTCTGGACACGTTCCAGTTTGTCAGTGTCCTTCCAGTTTGTCAGTGTCCTTATTTTGCTCCCGCCCAGGATTGGGAGCGGGCACAGAAAAGGATGCTGCATTGCACCTGTGGAAGGAATTCTATGGATACTGCCACATGCCCTCTCATCCATAGGCTTGGCACGAGGAAGGGTTTTTCTCACAGCCTACAGATGGGACACGGGTGGCGCTGTGGGTTAAACCACAGAGCCTAGGACTTGCCCATCAGAAGGTCAGCGGTTCGAATCCCTGCGACGGGGTGAGCTCTCGTTGTTCAGTCCCTGCTCCTGCCAACCTAGCAGTTCAAAAGCACATCAAAGTGCAAGTAGATAAATAAGTACCGTTCCGGTGGGAAGGTAAACGGCGTTTCCGTGCGCTGCTCTGGTTCACCAGAAGCAGCTTAGTCATGCTGGCCACATGACCCGGAAGCTGTACGCTGGCTCCCTCGGCCAGTAAAGCGAGATGAGTGCTGCAACCCCTGAGTCGGGCACGACTGGACCTAATGGTCAGGGGTCCCTTTATCTTTACAGATGGAGCAATGCCGGAATTGCTCATAGATGGCCTTAGACAATGCATCTTTTAATGACCCGATATTACTACTCTGCTACATAGGACGTTTTGCAAGGTTGACCAAGACACAATGTAGGAAGAGCTCCCCGAGAAGTCGGCAATAATAATCTACTGCCCTGTGGGGAATTTTTACCGCTTTGTGATAACAGCAGTATTCAATTTACGTCTGGGGGAGCACCTACAAAGCTCTCTTGAGGTTGCACAGTGAAGTCAAAGGCATGCAAAGCAGAAACAAATTCAGTGTCAGACAGGTTTCTAGAGTTTTACATCTTTAATTTAAAACTTTGCCACGAACCAAAAAAAAAAAAATGGTTACAAAAAGAGAAATTATCTACAAAAAGAAGTACTCATTTCATAACAGAAGCTGCCAGTGGCAGTTTGAGAGGGGGAAGGGGAAAGTGCTTCGGGTGAACAAAAACCAAAGTAGTGCGAAGTGCCCAAAAGTGAGCTTTTAACATCCAGGAAAGGCACATGGTATTGATCTAGGATGGACACCAGGCTTGGATATGCACCAGTTGCATGTGGACGGCTAACATGCTAGTGAGAAGGCAGGCTAGAAGTCTTCCTGCTGTGTTCCCCATGTGCAGAGATGCAGGGACACATTCTGATAGCCAAATCCAGCTTTGAGAAGAACTGGTCTTCCACGAGACTAGACCACTGCAAAAATCAACATGGGGTCGGGGGGAGGGGGAGGAGAATGTCACTGGCTTAGGTGTTCACTAACCAAGCCACCTCTCGCATGCACTGCAACATGGTACAATTGCTGTACCATATGCCCTTCCTGAATATTTGACTTTAAGATTATGGTGCAGACATAAATTTCAGACACCGAATCTGCCCCCTTCTCTGCTCCTCTGGTGTGTTTTCTACTTGTAAAAGGGGTGGAAATCATTGCTCCGTTCAGGATGACCTAGCAGCTTCCTGCAGAACTAGGAGCTTGGGTTGGTAGGACAGCGATCCTCATGGCTTAGAGCCAAGCTACAGGTTCCCTTTAAAAACATGCTTGGTTCTTTGAGCCTCAGCAACCGCTGAAAGCAGATGAGGGGTGTTGATTTCCTCTTTCTGCTACCTGGGTTCAAGTGAGAAGCTGTGCAATGCAGGCTTAATAATGGTCCTTGTTGGCTACACAAGATTGTCAGGTCTCCTGATGCCATTGTCAGATGCCATTCAGCATCGGGGGAATGAATATGCTAAAACAATGTAAGAGATCTCTTAAATTAGAGCCAAGCAACACCATTTAGAAGTAGTAGTATTTCCAACAGAGGCGGAGAACTGAATGAGTGGATTCCTCCACCTGCACAAGGACCCCAAAATATCCCTGGCTTTGGAATGCTAGCTTGCCAAGGAGCAATTATTAAAGCTATGGAAAGCTATTCTTACTCCCTGTTCCCCTTCATGGAGTACTTCCTACATAAGAACATATTCAGAGCTGCGATTTCCCACCTACATTATGAAGTTGGCTGCACCTCGGGCTTAAAATGGATGCGTTGATTAGCTCTATGATCAGTATAGCTATGGGGTTGTAGCCAATTAGATTTGACTCAGAGTAGACTCATCAGAATTAATGGACCCAAATTAGTCATGTCTGTTCATGGATTTCAGTTTGGTTGTAATCCAATGTTCCATTCTACAGAATGGTCTTTGGGAGAAACTCAGCTTTTTCTACAGATCAACCACAATACCTCAAGCAATACAGAGACCAATTTCCCCTAGAATGCAGAGAAGACAAAATCCCAATCCTTAGAAGTATTCACAATGAGATCCTGTTTTTAGAACCTGGGTTGGGGTAACATTCAAAATTTACACAGTATGAAAAGAGAACAAGCAGCCTTGGGCAAAGAACTGCATACACAGCTGAAACTCTTGCTTTCTGGTTTCGGTACAACTGTCCCCACTGCTGAAGAGGCAAGCCTAGAGTGCAATGTTAAGAAGCTGCTTGACTCTTTGCCAGTGGAACCTGTTGTGTGAATGAACAGCAAGCAAAGCTGTACTGTCACCGTGCACATGGGGACAGCCAATTCACAAAACCACCAGGATTAATTCATGACAATATGCTATAGGACTTTGGGTTCCCAAGTGCTACAAGCCAGAATTAATGACAAATCTATTCTGGCCTTGGGGAAATGCCATCTTTTTTATTACAAATATGTATTTGTAAATCAAGCAAGAGCCACCGGAAGGTTTACTACCATGAGGACACTGCTAAATGATTTCTTAATATATACGTTTTCCCACTATCAAGACACATAATTGCAAGGTTTCTGCTTTCCTCAATGAAGACTGCCGCAGTGGGTTCACACCTCTGGGAAAGCGAAATCTGGTGAAAATACCGCTCTCACCAACCCCACCCCACCCCAGTTGAGTATACAAATATACGCAGAGCAAGGCTAGACAACACAGTTCCCTCCAAATGCAGTTGGCCCTGATGATGGTCCGACAACATCTCGAGGGTGCCCCATTGGCTACACCTTTGATGCATGGAGAAATATCAGTAGCAATTGCAACCCAAAGCATTCATAATCACTTCTACAGCACTTTCCATGTTTGCACTGCTATGGAAAGAGTGCCTACTTTGCGCAGCTGGGTGAAATGTTTTGCAGTCCCATTTTGCAGGTGGGAACACAGGTAAGCACAACCTGGTGTGGTTTGCTTGGGGATGGGGGAGAGAGGAGGAGGAAGAGGAACAAACCAGCGGATTGGGAGGACAAGGTTAGGTCTGCTTTCTCCTCCCTCTATCCAAATATCTCCAGTGTCACCCCACATAAAACAAGTCATCAGTCGTTTGATACCCATTACTCGTATTATAATCGAGCAGCTTAACTTGCAATGAAGGTTACTACTGAACATTCGCAGGTACCCAAATTTTCTTCCAGGATGAGAAATGTTGAAGCACCGGTTGGTCGGGAGTCTTGTTTGAAAACACAAAATAATTTTTGCTAACTCTCCAACTTTGTTTTTCACGGCTTGCCTTCCCCTTTACAAGATACAAACCCAAGCGTGATTACCTTACAGATTCCAAAGAACTGAGTTTTGTCTCGGTCCTATGCATGTTATTTACTCGGAAGTAAGCCCCACCAAGTGAGTGTGTGCACAGGACTGGCATTAAAGTGCCCCCAATCTACAGCTGAAGAGGCAGAGGCATTTAGATGGCCGCAGCAAAAATTTCCCACGAGAGAGCTAGCGCTCTGCCTGTGGCCTAGGTTCGCATCTCCTCCAGTCAAAACACATATCTGATGCCTTACACAGGAAATTTTAGGCTCCGATCCTGCTAAATAAATACCAACATAGTTATCAATACCCGAAGAGCTCCTGCTAGTTAGTATTACAGCAAACTCTGAAGTAACCCTTTTTACCACCAGTTACTGTGTTGGACAATTCTCTGACCCAAGGAGTAGATTCTTACTGGACTGTAGGGCTCTTACGCAAAGAAAGGCGTGAAATTCAGATGCAACAACATAAAATTCACCTGAGGAGAGGTTGGTAAAAGAAAATACACTGTGCTAGACAATATTAAAAATGTGTGTTCTTTTTTTTTTTTTTAATGGCAGCACTGAGTTGAGCACTATTCAACAGCCTGGAGTAAAATCTATCTTGTGCCTTCCGTTGTGTCATCTTCCACCAGGAACGAAAAGAAAAAGTTAAGATTTCTTAATGGGCCAGACCCAATTGCCCTCGAGCAAACCCAGTTCTTGAGTACACTCCTCAGTAGGAGCCATTCCCGTGAATGGTTAAAGATGTCCCGCACACAAAAAGGAAAAAAAGAAGAAGAGAAAAAGGAGGAAGTTCTTTCACTGATCGCCCAGCCGGAAACCCTGGCCCCAGTTGTGTCTCCCTTCGCCCTGGCGGTTCTCTGCAGGCCTGCGCATGCTGGCGGGGGGCACCCCAAATCCAGAGACTCCTCCTCTCCTGTTCGGCAGCCAGTGGTACCTGGGGGCCAAGCGAAAGAGCCGTTCAAATATGCCTGGTCTTTCTGAAATCAGGACTAGTTCCAGCTTTGTGGCATTGTGCATGTAGAATCTACACAGTAAGAGCTATAAACTGGCCAAACAGCAAAATGATTGGATGACATATGGCTAAGATACTGTTCAATCCCACCCTGCCCCTTTGAGTGCAGTTTTAACCTAATTGGAACTGTTTTGGCAGACCCCCTAACAAGTCTGAAGTTCTTTTGTCAGTTTTCATTCTTTTATCAAACACTCAGGGATATCTCAAAAGCATTGCCCTTCCTAGTTTAGTGGGAGGGAAAGCATTGCATATTAATACATAAAAGGTAAAGGTAAAGGGACCCCTGACCATTAGGTCCAGTCGTGACTGACTCTGGAGTTGCGGCGCTCATCTCGCTTTATTGGCCGAGGGAGCCGGCGTACAGCTTCCGGGTCATGTGGCCAGCATGACTAAGCCACTTCTGGCGAACCAGAGCAGCGCACGGAAATGCCGTTTACCTTCCTGCCGGAGCGGTACCTATTTATCTACTTGCACTTTGACGTGCCTTCGAACTGCTAGGTTGGCAGGAGCAGGGACCGAGCAACTGGAGCTCACCCCGTCGCGGGGATTCGAATCGCCAACCTTCTGATCGGCAAGTCCTAGGCTCTGTGGTTTAGACCACAGCGCCACCCGTGTCCCTTATTAATACATTAAGAAGTGTTAAATGCCCCAGTTTAAAAACGGACGATCTGTCACATTTGGCAGGATCTGCAAATGTGTCACCTATGGGTTACAGGAAGTGTTAGGCAGCTCTCTTAAGAGATACAGCAATTATTTCTCCCCTCGAAACAGTGTGGGTGTATCTCACTCTTTGGCTTTGAACTGGGATAGAACCAGTATGTTTTCTGAGAGAGAGATTGTGAGTATGTGTGCTTGCATCGAGGACTGGGCAAGATCTGGTTTTCAGCATTGTGATATATCAACAGCTAAATATTGATATATGCTGATATATCACGATGTCTGAAATGTATCTCTGCTGCTGCTTCCTCCCCACGTTAATTCAAAAAGACATTTTTGAGTAAGCATGCGTAAGCCAGTTTAAGTTGAATTACTTGTTTTCAAACTTCATTTTACAAGTCTATTGTCATCTTCCTCTTTGATTCATGGCTTCTAAAAGTTTCAGTTGAAAAGCTCTCCTTATTGGTTTCGCTGTCAGAGATGCATGCTCTGATAAATGTGGAAGACCCCATCATAGATCCAGCAAACTGGAAAAGCTTGCTTGGGTCACCTAAATTCTCTAGTTATCACTGTTATAAACCCTTTTATTCAAATAGGATAACTCAAATGTTTCCTAATAAGCAACCTGATTTTCCTTTTAAAAACGGAGAAAACCTTATAAAACAACTTACAGGAACTGAGGCGTTGATAGGAAATTTCTTCCTCCCAAGTCTATTGGATATTTAAACATTAAGAAAAAGTACAGGTGGCCAACCAGGTTGCCAATCAGCTCATTGATGATACTGCAGGGAGAAGAGAATGGGATCAGCGTTGAACAATTCTGTAGTAAAGCATTTTCTGCTGCCGACCTGAAGGCAATCTATACACACTGAACCTGTGAGGAGAACCTGAGCTTACAGGGTTAAACAGCTCAGAGTGTACGCCCTGCCTACTATTTGGGAGGGGGGAGATTCTGCGTCATATCTGAGAGTCTCCAGCCTTTGTTTCTTTCTCTACTTTCGTTTTTGAGGAGAGTGGATGTGTTTTTCACGATGCTGTTTGACAATGGATAGTCTGCTGTAAATAAAACTGCTTTTCGCTGCTAAGATCCTGAGTGGACTTTATTTAAGCACACTGAAGAAAGCACTGAAGTTTGCAGCTTTCTCTTACCGCTGCTTAACTCTGCGTTTGCTCAGAGCATCGGAATGTGGCCCTTTGAAGTGCGGAGGCCTGGCCGGTAGCTGCGCAGCCGAAGCGGGCTGGACGCCAGGACTTACCTGAGCAATAAATCATCTTGGTGGCCCCAACATACAGCCAAGGAGGCTAAGCTGGGGCTGGAGGGAGGGGCAGCCTTGGGCTCCTATCCCTAAGAGGAGGAGGAGTTTGGATTTGATACCCCGCTTTTTCACTACCCTAAGGAGTCTCAAAGCGGCTAACAATCTCCTTTCCCTTCCTCCCCCAAAACAAACACTCTGTGAGGTGAGTGGGGCTGAGAGACTTCAGAGAAGTGTGACTAGCCCAAGGTCACCCAGCAGCTGCATGTGGAGGAGCGGAGACACGAACCCAGTTCAACAGATTACGAGTCCACCGCTCTTAACCACTACACCACGTTGACTCTCCTGTATAGCAGCAAAATACTCCTATATTGCTATACTCCTATATGGCAGCAAAAAATGTACCATACATGCCCAAAGCTACAACTCCTAGCAGTTACCATGCTCAAAGGACAGGCTAAAAAATAAGGCAGACGGAAGAGTCAAACGGGCACAGGAAGTTCCTTTCCTTCCTGCATTCACTTTTTCTTTTGGAGAGAGAAGAGCACAGGAGCCTGCTGCTCGTGCAGGAGCAACTGCAGCTTGAGCAGGGCTGGTACGATGGCTGGGACCTTTCGCCATGGAAATTGCTCACTGAGAAACCCGCCAGTGAAGATCTGGAGGTTGGGTCAGTGGAATTGCTGGGCAATGCAAGGGAAAGAGCATCTCCTTGCCACTGCAAAAAAAAAAGGCCACTGCATTCACACACATTCCTCTTAATTATCCAGACGTTTCAGATGTCCTTCGGGGTATGGAGGTAAGCCACATGTTACTCTAAGGACTGTATTTACTGTAATACAAAACAGGTATTTGGGGATACTTACGAGCCTCCGATGATATAGTTGAATCCCAGAATAACCCACGGTAGATAGCATGCCTAGGACAAGAAGAGCACATGCAAACTTGCTGTGAACAAGGAAACTGAAGAGCACAGTTTAGTCTCCACCTGCTTCAGAATTCTCCAAATACAAGTCCCTGACGGAAATATAGCTAGCTAAATACATTATTGAGCATTTAATGTACAGGGGTTGCATCCAATGTTGATGACTTCCACTTGCACAACAGAGCTCATCTCCATTTGCTCATCTCTGAAGCCCACTGCACACCCTGAAAATCTGCTCCAGAGGGTTGGGGTCCATTTTGGAGCATATTTGAGGAGCAGAGAAAGGCAAAGTCAGTGGCTGGCTGGCCCCTGAGAGAGCAGGCTGCTGGACTAGGTGGGCTATTAGGCTGATCCAGCGGGCTCCAGTTGGATCAAACAGAGCTCCGCTCGCATCACTGGAAACAACCCCATGGTTATTTCATGACATCATCATCAACATCATCATAATTTATTATTTGTACCCCGCCCATCTGGCTGGGTTTCCCCAGCCACTCTGGGTGGCTTCCAACAAAGATTAAAAATACATTAAAATACCACACATTAAAACTTTCCCTGAACAGGGCTGCCTTCAGATGTCTTCTAAATGTTAGGTAGTTGTTTATCTCTTTGACATCTGATGGGAGGGCGTTCCATAGGGCGGGTGCCACTACCGAGAAGGCCCTCTGCCTGGTTCCCTGTAGCTTTGCTTCTCACAATGAGGGAACCGCCAGAAGGCCCTCGGCGCTGGACCTCAGTTTTCAGGTAGAACGATGGGGGTGAAGACGCTCCTTCAGGTATACTGGGCCGAGGTCATTTAGGGATTTAAATGGTCTCGGCGGCCGCTCCCAGTCTAGCTGATATAGACGTTTCCCCCCCCCCCCCCAACTATGGAGGTTTTGCTCTAGCTAGTCGGTGACATGTAATTCACATTTTAGAAGTACAGTACCTCTCCCTGGGTTGCAACATGCTATCAGGACACCCAAGTTGCAGTTAAATCCCCTTCAGCTTTTTTGCTCCATCCCTTGCCTCTGCTGGCATAAAATCCCTCTCCCGACTCTGCCTTTCCCTCCCATCCTGCACTGCCTTTGCCAATATTTTCCTTGTCTGTACACCTCCTCATTGCATACCGGACAAGGATGACAAATCCCCTTCTCCAATCCTAACATTCCATGATAGCATAGCCCCCACAACTACGTATCTGGCAGCCAAGAGAAAGCATGGCGATCTGACATGAGGTGGCTAGTAGCATCAGGGAGGTGGGTAAAGGTCAAGGCGCTCTGCTACAGGCCCCTGCCTGGCTGGAGCATCGCAAGGTGTTTCTAGAGCATACAATGTAGTATAAAGACATTGCCATCTCACACATAGGTCGACGTCTATTGTGGCCAAGGCACATGATATCAACTCCGAGGCTACCCTGCAGAAAGGCTTGGAAGTGAAACACCTTCAGAGGCAGCAAAAGAGATCCTCTGATGCCAGTATCCCTTTAAGAATCTGGAAGGGACAAGTAGTCACGGGGGGGGGGCTGCCTCCCTTCCCCAGTGAGTGAGCAAAGTTCCTTTGATATGGGCAGAAGGCTTGAGGAAAGGGGAAAGCCCTTTGGCCTTACCTTAAACCGTGTCCCAAACCAAAATGTCACTATCATGTCTCTGTTCAGCTGGGCCCAAACGTAAAGTACGGACATGATCAAGGGAATCATCAGCAGCTACAAGGGAAGCAAGAGAATGAAGAGAGAAAAAGATTGAGATTCAGTACAGGAGACCTAAGCAACTGCAGAAGGTTCACAATAAAAAAAAACGCAGAGGCCTGTTTAGTGTTCTCTCCAATTTGCACATAACTTCAAACCTGGACTTAGTATTATGGAAACAAGACTCTGGCGCGTGTCTCCTCCCCACTCCTGACATGGTTGCACAGGGGAGTTTGAAATCTCTGCCTTTTGTTTTTGATTAACTGCAGCATGTCACTTGAATCTGAGAACTGGCTATAACCTTGAGTTGTTATCACTAACTATAGTTACAATTATCCATAGCTTAGAGTTCAGCCAACACACTAAGCTGTGGTTCATATAAAACAGATGAAAAAGTTTCTGGTCTTCTAACAGCTGTGCCAGAGCAAGCAGGAGAGAGAGCACAGAAGCCCAAAGCTTGCTGTGGCTCTTTAATGGATGCCTGCCACAGAGAGGTCTCTCCACACCTGACAGCACATCGTCATTGAAAAAATGTTTTAGAAAGGCGTTTTCCCTCTTTGCCCCAGGTTCCCTAATTTGAGATCTGCCAAGCAGAAAGCAGCCTATCACCAAACAGGACAGCATGCCGGGGCGCGAGAAATCTGGTTTTGCTGCCTGTCCCAGATAGCAAATACAAAGGCCTGTTGTCAAGATCGGTCAAACCACAATACATGGCTTGTGGGCTGCCTTCAGCTTAGTGGGTCACAAGTGATGAAGGATTGGTGCACAGAGAAATACTTGGTTCCTAGCCTTGTTTATTCCTAGAATTAAGTCCCACTGATTTTGCCACCATCTCACCAAGTGTATTTTCCATGGAAATATACCTCAGATTGCAGCCCTTGAGATTACAGGAGTCTGCTCAAATTATAGAAATAAAAATAGACTTAAAAATTAAGTCCAGCGATCCCCTCCTGATTCTGCACTGACGGAACTGAGCACAAACAGGGGGATTGCAGGTTTTTAGGCCTCCTTATTCATAACATCCGTGTTGGTTCTTGCGTAATGAGTTCCATCGCAAGAAAAAATGGTGTTGATTTACTTTCAACAAGATCTTTTTTAAAAAGCTAATGTGACTGAGAGATGTGATTGTGCGATTGGCAAGGACAGTTTGACAGAGGTGTCAGCACCAGGCTTGCTTAATTACCTGAAAGTTAGATTACACACACACACATATCTTAAACAATTGGGGCTGACTGGCTATTTTAGATGCAAAGTTAAATACGATTCTTCTCTGCGGTGCAAAATGATGCATGCATTTGGGAGAACTGGGCACGAGTGGCCTAGAAGGGCCTGAGATGGAAACCCTCAGAGAGAGTAGGGAGAGGTTGGGCCCAATGCAGCTGGCAAGGAGTTCACGGATACAATCCCAAGAGGTGCTCTTATGAAACTCCCAGGAAATGGTTTCAGCCTCAAAGTCTCACAGTAGAGACGTAATCAAAAGCAGGAATGTACACCTCTCCCTCTTTCTGGAAATCAAAAGGTCTTATAGCTCCTAGAGCCCAAATATGGGAGTCTGAGTTTGAGAAGAACAGGGTGCAGTTGGAAACTCTGCCTGAAGCTCCAGGCGCGTCTCAGAAGTTCTCCTTCCTACAAAGGGCAAAGGCTTTATGGCAGCTTCAGCTGAAAAGGAATGCACCTACGGCACACTCACTGTTGACATTGGTAAGACTGCTTATCACCTGCATAGAATGCATTCAAGGGGTATGATGTGGTTTATCATCATTACACCAGCGATGGAAAACTGGCAGTTTCCACATATTGCTGGACTCCCCAACTCCCATCAGTCACAGTCAGCACAGGCAATGATCAGGGACAATGCGGGTTGTAGTCATCTGGGTGGTCAGAGGTTCCCCAACCCTACATTACGTGAATAAGCCTTAAGCCTAATTTCTCCTTCCAAAGCATGCCTGTGGGAAGATCAGAAGCCCTGGCCCCTATTTTCACTGTCCAATGCCTACTCTGCGGTCAGCTTCCTAAACCTGCTTCTTTCGGTCACACCACAGAGAAAGCACAATACACCCTGTGTGGACACGATGCAAAATTGCAGTTGGATAAGAACAGAAGGGAAAGCTTCCAATCTCTCCTCCTTGCAGCTGCGTGAGAGGAGCAGGGGAGCCGAAGAGACACGTCCACAGAACAGTATCGACTAATGTAAAATTTACCTTTGCACAGTAGACAAAACACCCACCCACACCCTTTTCTCTGTCCTCCAGGCAAACATGAAACATTATCAGAGTTCAAGGGCACCTTTCAATGCAAAGCAAGGCCAATCGTGTGAGAGACAGACAGACAGACTTGGGGAGGGTGTGGTTGGGGAATGTTCTGAGAGACATGGAGGGTCGCAGCAAGGTATTGTTAAAACCTGAATGCAGCCATTTTCTCTCAAGGTTATTTCTCCTACAGTTTTGCACTTGGGTATCACCAGAAAATTCACACCAAACTTGCTGGACAGGAATGCGGAGTGTTTTGCTTGGTGCTTTCAGGTGTTCAGAAACACAAACTGACCCTTTTTCTCCCTGCCAGCACACTGGTTTAGATGGGAGAGTATTGAATACACAGTACACATAATCCACTCTGATCTGATCTGGCCCACATGAATTCTGTACAAGTGGCACGAAAGACCTGGCACTTTAGAAGCCAGGTCGCTTTGAAAACAGACATGCTTACCTGCATATTCATTGCCAAACCAGTAATCTTTCATTGTTTCACTAAGGAAAACCAAACTAAAACAGAAGACAAGAAGCGCAACCTTGTGATGAGGCACATTTAACTCAAGGGACTAAAAGAGATGGACAGAATCTGTCTGGAAACCCACAGCATGGCTTTGAAACAGCCTGTGGAAATATTGCTGGTGAGAGAGCAAGTGAATCAGATTCAACACAGTACAGTGCAGAAGAAAAAGTTCTGTTAGCCGGACATACTAGACACTGCCATTACTGTTCTGCAGGCAAGCTTCAATGGACTCAAGTGCAACCAAGGATGTGCCTGCTCCCCTCTCACCTCTCCTCCAGCAGGACCAGGAGGAAGACTTCTACAAAGTTTAGTTCTGCTTTCAAAGAATCTCATCTTAGCATTAGGTACGAATGAGGTATCCTGGTGTAACACAGTTGCCAAATTTGAAGCTGCCACTGTTAAACCATTAGTCATTTTAAGCCAGGAGTACTGTTTTTTTACGGAATGCGAAGCCAAGATTCCTCGAAAGCTAAACTCAACTTGGCAGAAGTCCTTCCCCTAGCTACACAAGAAGCAGACAGGCACAGGCCCAACACTTCACTCTGAGCTCATTAAGGCTCAGCCACTCAATCAGGGTTTAGGACAGGGCCAGTGATGCCCTATTATAAAACTATTTATACAGCATCTTTCTGAGGTTTTTTTACCTGCAATCCTTACAACAATTCCTACACGTACAGTCAAACACAAAGCCACCAGATATCAAGGAGATAAAGAACTACACAACATTTAGAAGACATCTGAAGGCAGCCCTGTATCAGGAGCTTTTTAATGCCTGACGTTTTACTATGTTTTTATATGTGCTGGAAACTGCCCAGAGTGGCTGTGGAAACCCAGCCAGGTGGATGGGGTATAAATAATAAAATTATTATGAATAATTATTAACAAGACATCATAGTACAAAAGGGGCAGAAAGGAGTGAAGCAGATTAACTTGACTAAATGCTGGCTTTGACCTGTAAAGCCTTAAACGGTTCAGGACCACAATAGCTCAAGAACCGCCTCTCTCCATATGAACCAACCTGTGGTCATCACCTGAGGCCCTTCTTCATGTGCCCTCTCCACAAGAGGTCCACTACACGAGAATGGGCCTTTTCTGCGGTGGCTCCCCATTTGTGGAATGCTACCCCAAGGGAGGCTCATTTGGCGCTGCCAGGCAAAAATATCACTCTTCGGCTGATTAAACAATCTATGGCCTTTTGAATGTGTTTGTGGGGGGGGCGGTATTGGGTTCTGTTTTTTATTATATATTTAGTGTTCTCGTTTTGTATTTTTACGTTATGAACCGCCCTGTGATCTTCAGATGAAGGGTGGTATACAAATTTAATAAATACTACTGCAACTACTGGAGGATCGCAGGTGGCGCTGTGGGTTAAACCACAGAGCCTAGGACTTGCTGATCAGAAGGTCGGCGGTTCGAATCCCTGCGACGGGGTGAGCTCCCGTTGCTCAGTCCCAGCTCCTGCCAACCTAGCAGTTTGAAAGCACGTCAAAGTGCAAGTAGATAAATAGGTCCGGCGGGAAGGTAAACGGAGTTTCCATGTGCTGCTCTGGTTCGCCAGAAGTGGCTTAGTCCTGCTGGCCACATGACCCAGAAGCAGTACGCCAGCTCCCTCGGCCAATAAAGTGAGATGAGCGTCGCAACCCCAGAGTCGGTCACGACTGGACCTAATGGTCAGGGGTCCCTTTACCTTTACTTTACTTTACTTTACTACAACTACTAAGGCCATGCAGTGGATATGTGACTGAACACAGTTGAGGACCACACAACAGACTCCCACCCCTCTGCAGAACTCAAACATGCCAAAACGTTGGTGTAGCAAATAAAAAAGGATACAACTATGCAGATCCAATTAAAGAGAAGCATGAACATATAGTCGGCGGGTCTTCCATCGAAAGCGCCTGTGAACAAAAGAGTGGCGTTAGAGCGAGCTGAAACCTTGGCAGTTGTTTTGCATTGTTCCCCCCAGAGACACTGGGTGGATCTTAAGGGCTATGATTATATTGCACGACACAACTGTGGCTTTCGTTCAGAGGAAGAAACGAGAGGCTGATCCATTTCAGGAGCCCGCAGGAAGAGTCAGGGAAGGTTTTTCTTCCAGTTAAGAAATGCTTGGGGGGAAAACTGGCTGTTTTAATAGACACGAAATATATCATCTCCACATTTGGGGAGAGGAAAGCCTCTTTATTTAATATGGGTACCAGCTTTGGATCTAGCATTATTTCTCTGCAAAAAATACAGGAAACAACGCTGCAGTGCATCTTTGAGGTACGGTCATGCCTTGGAAGTCAAACGGAATCCATTCGACTTCCAAAACGTTCAAAAACCAAATCGAGGCTTCCGGTTGGCTACAGGAAGCTCCTGCAGCCAATTGGAAGCCATGGAAGCCCCATCGGACGTTTCCAAAAGAACGCTAAAAAACAATCACTTCCAGGTTTGCGGCGTTCGGGAGCTAGGAGGCAGCGCTAAGGGCTGCATGAAGAATATGCAGAAGTTTGGATGCAACCCTGTGAGTTCTGCATCTTAGCAAGATGAGATTCTCACAGCTCCATTGACAGAGCCCCTGCCTCGCATGCATAGGGTCACAGACTCAATGCCTGGCATCTCCAGGTAGGACTGGGAGAGTCCCTCTGTTTTAAATCCTGGACAGCCACTGCCAGTCAGTGCAGACAGTACTGAGCTTGATGGACTAATGCCTTGACTCAGTATAGGGCAACTTCTTATGTTCTTATATATGCATCCGAATTAGCATCTATGGCCACAAGAAGATTATAAAAGAAAATGGAAGGTAACTAGTGCCACTGAATGTGAAAACTAAATAGTATGTTATATATTCAATGTTACATTACCTGTTTCTAATCGTGATGAATACTGATACAAAAAATATAAGTTCACCAGGTAAAGAAACCCCGTTCCTGGGCCGACTGGAAAATAGAAGGTTGCTGTGATTGGCCTCCAGATCTGTTCAAACATTTTAAAGAGAGAGTATGAATTCAGAGGTTTATTACAGTGAAACAACCGAGAGTCTTGTGGCACCTTAACTACTGACAAATTTATTATGGCATAAGCTTAGCAACTCCACATGATGCATGGTATGTAAGCCTCACTTGACTAGCAGATGGGAGAGAAATGTAGGGGGGTGAAGTCAGAGTAACAATCATTTAAGACAAGAGCTTTCCAAACTGTGTGCTGCAACATGTTAGTATGTCGGCTGCAGTTTGTACATGTGTTGTGCGAATGCTCCCCATGCTCCTCCTGAGGCTGGAAAGGGGTTAGTTAAACCTCCAGCTTGCTTGTAAAACTGAATTACTGTGTTGCAAAATGATGCACGTCGAAAAAGTATGTCAGCGAGATGAAAAGTTTGGAAAGCTCTGATCCAAGAGCATGGCAGTACACAAGTAACTTCTCCTTGGAGGACCCAAATTTATACATGCTATAGAAATGAAGTATAGTGGTGCCTCGGGTTACATACACTTCAGGTTACAGACTCCACTAACCCAGAAATATTACCTCGGGTTAAGAACTTTGCTTCAGGATGAGAACAGAAATCGTGCTCCAGCGGCGCAGCAGCAGCAGCAGGAGGCCCCATTAGCTAAAGTGGTGCTTCAGGTTAAGAACAGTTTCAGGTTAAGAACGAATTAAGTTCTTAACCTGAGGTACCACTGTAATGTATTTCTATGAGGGTGGTTTATTTCATATATATAACAGCATTTAAATAACACTTAATATTTCAAAAATCTCCAAGCAGTAGGTGGCTACGTCCCCAGTGCTATATTGTAGGACTTGCACAAGCATCGCCTGTCTTTACACAAAAAATAGAGCACATTCCACCTGTTCTAGCGAACTCCCTGCCTATGTCATTTCCAGCCCTGCTAACTCTGAGTAGCAGCAGCCACAAAAAATTGCCTTGCCACAAGGGGCTGATCATGCTTGCATTTCTGACACAGAAAGAAGTCATCCACTTACAGTGAGGGGGGAAAGTATTTGATCCCCTGCTAAATTTGCCCTCTGACGAAGAAATGACCAGTCCATAATTTTAATGGTAGGTTCATTGTAGCTGTGAGAGACAAAATAACAACAGGAAAACCCCCAGAAACCCAGAAGACAAAAGTCAGAGATTGATGTGCATTATAATGAGTGAAATAAGTATTTGATCCCTTTGCAAAAGATGACTTAGTACTTGGTGGCAAAGCCCTTGTTGGAAATTACAGGTCAGACGTTTCTTGTAGGTGGCCACCAGGTTTGCACACATCTCAGGAGGTATTTTGTCCCACTCCTCTTTGCAGATCCTCTCCAAGTCAGTAAGATTTTGAGGCTGATGTGTAGCTACTCGAACATTCAGCTCCCTCCACAGATTTTCGATGGGATTAAGATCTGGAGACTGGCTAAGCCACTCCAGGACCTTAATGTGCTTCTTCTTGAGCCACTCCTTTGTTGCCTTGGCCGTGTGCTTTGGGTCATTGTCATGCTGGAATACCCATCCTCGACCCATTTTCAATGCCCTGGCTGAGGGAAGGAGGTGCTCACCCAAAATTTGACGATACATGGTCCTGTTCATTGTCTCTTCGATGCAGTGAAGGTGTCCTGTCCCCTTAGCAGAAAAACACCCCCAAAGCATAATATGTGCCCCTCCATGTTTGACGGTGGGGGTGGTGTTCTTGGGGTCGTAGGCAGCACTCCTCCTCCTCCAAACACAGCGAGTTGAGTTGATGCCAAAGAGCTCGATTTTGGTCTCATCTGACCACAACACTTTCACCCAGTTCTCCTCTGGGTAATTCAGATGTGCATTGGCAAACTGCAGACGGGCCTGTACATGTGCTGTCTTGAGCCAGGGGACCTTGCGGGCTCTGCAAGATCTCAGTCCTTCACGGCTTAGAGTGTTACCAACTGTTTTCATGGTGAGTATGGTCCCAGCTGCCTTGAGATCACTGACAACTTCCCCCTTGGACAGCTCTTTGGTCTCGGTCATGGTGGCTACTTTGAAATCTGCTGGATTGATTGCTTCTGTCGACAGGTGTCTTTTGTACAGGTACTGTAACGAGCTGGGATTACAGATAAGACCTCTCCCTTACAGCTGGTACTTCTAATCTCAGCTCGTTACATCCAGTGAAGATACCAGGTAGCCTGACATCTGGCTGGTTGATAGGGGATCAAATACTTATTTCACTCATTATAATGCACATCAGTCTCTGACTTTTGTCTTCTGGGTTTCTGGGGGTTTTCCTGTTGTTATCCTGTCTATGACATTCCTTCTTTTGGATGCCTCCTTGAGCTCCTTCTCTTCTCAAGATCTTCCTGAGCATTTTGATCAGGGGGGTGATAGAAGGTCCCCAGTACTAAATTATTCTTGGGGTCCAATATCACCACCTAACAATTCTGTGGTGGAGTCTGTCCCTTTTGGGATTTCAATCTCACGGGACTCTGTGTCCTCTTTGACATGCAGAGCAACACCACCTCTAGAACACCCTTCTCTGTCCTTCCTATAGTCCAGATGCGGAGACAACTGTGTGCTACCATTGCCCACTATGCCCAATACATCTACTCTCTCTTTTAAAACCAAGCATTCCAGTTCATCCACTCAGAGGCTTCTATAATTAACAAATGAACATCTATTCATGATCTCTGTTTCCAAACGGATCTGGCACATACATTTTATCCTACTTTACTTTGGCCTCTTTGAATTCCTATAATGTCCCCCTTGCACGATACAACATGTTCATCCTCGCATATTCCAAACCAGCTGTTCCTCCAGTGACCAACTTAAAAGCTGCTCTGTTACAATGCTAATTTTAAGAACCGAGTTCTTCCCTGGTTCAATAAAGCCTGTCCCTTTATTGGAAGCCTATATAGTTCCATAATGTTTCCTCAGTGCCTAACAAATCCAGATTCTTGTCTCACAAACACATTGAGAATGTTTAGCTGGCTATGCATGTAGCATTTCAGAGAACACCACCTTGAAGGTGTTCTATTTATGGCTGCTTTACTGCTTTACTGCTTTCTGAAGGTCCTGTAGGCCTAGCAAGGTCCAGAAGGAAACCTATTCTGCCCTGGCCTCCTCACCCTATTAATGGAGCTGTTACCTTAACATTTCAATACTAGGGTAAAGACATTTTGTTAGCCCAGGCTCCTCCTCACTTGTAGAGCAAGCGCTGCGCACATGAATAAGCATCACATGCCTGCTTTACTCCTACCATCTTGGAAGGAAAAAACAACAACCTAACAAACAAACCAGAAAGCCTTCCATCATAGTTCCTTATTATATGCAAACCAGAAAATGATTAAGCATAATGGTTTCTGAACAAACCAAGATGCTGACACAAAGCACTTGGCTTCATATACAGTCATACCTCAGGATATTTATGCTTCAGGATAAGTATTTTTGGGTTGCGCTCCGCGGCAATCCGGAAGTAACGGAGCGCGTTACTTCCGGGTTTCGCCGCTCGTGCATGCGCAGACGGTGAAAATGACATCACTCGCATGCGCGAAAGCGGCGAAACGTGACCCATGCACATGCGTCTTACGTTCTATTCAGGATGCAAACGGGGCTCCGGAACGGATCCCGTTCGCATCCTAAGGTACCACTGTACTGTATCATTCACTCATCTGCACAAAAGGAGGAGATAAAGTGGCTGCACACAAAGTAACAATGTTTGATTTTGAGATATCGATGATGATGATGTTCAAGCTTCCAGATGCGGCGAATGAGTTTCAGGACTTACTGTGGGAATTTGAACCCACGATGGTAAAGACCTAAACATTCCCCACTAAAGCGTGGTAGTGTGCTTTGCTTTCAGAAAAGAGGGAGGAAGTCCTGGGCTCAAAACAAGGCACCTTTACAAGGGGTGTCCCGTCCCCCCAACAGGTGGCCATGACACAGCACTGACACTTCCCGCCTGTCTCCCTCGGGTGGCACAAGGCGTCAGTGCGCCTGGCTGTCAACCAGAAAGTCGCTGGTTCGAGCCCACCCAGGGACGGCGGTAGGCAGCTGTCCTGCATCGCAGGGAGGGGGCTGGGCGAGATGAACCCTGGGGGTCCCTTCCAACTCCCTGCGATCCATTGACAACCAGCGCTGCCGAGCCCCACGCCGACTCCCAATAAATGAACTACAACTCCCGGCAGGCACAGCGCAGCGCCGCCGGGTGATTCTTAAGCGCCAGGCTCGCGCCGAGCATGCCGGGAGTTGCAGTCCGCCCACTCGCTTACCTGGAAGCGGTTGATGAAGGCCTCGGGCCACAGGAAGAGGTAGAAGGGGCTGACGAGGCCTAGCTTGCCGACGAGAGGGACCGCGATGGCGCCGGCGAACCAGTAGCGGGTGATGAGCGGGATGCTCCGGAACCACTCGCCGAGGTCCGACATCTCCCCTCCGCCGCCGGTCTAGCCGCTGCGAGGCCTGGGCGCCTGGGGCCTTCCGCTGCCCGACGCGCTCGCCGGAGCCGCTCCTATGACAGCGAAGCCGCGGGAGGTGGGGCGGTGGGAGGGGCCCGCCTTCCTCCGACGTGGCCGCGCCGAATTCGGCCGAGCAACGGCCGCTTCCGGTTTCCGCCTCTCTCTCTCTCTCTCTCTCTCTCTCTCTCTCTGAGGAGGGGCGGGGCGGAAGGAGCGTCGCCGGAAGTTCCGGCTCTTAAAGGGACAGCGGGCGCTGTTTCTCACCCCTGTTTACCCATACACGTGGGAGCGAGTTGGGGGGGGAGTAGAAACGCGGAAGTAAACATACAGAGGCTTGAATTTATTTTTTTAACTGTTTATCCTGATCCCAACTCATCCCTGTTTGCTGCAAGATGCGGCACGAATGTTCAATAAGTGCGCTTTATTTAAATGCCAATTTCAAGCATATACGGTAATTTCCCAGACTGGCTTACTAGTATCAGAGGGAACAAAATAATAATAATAAAAAATTCCTTTCCGTAGCACCTTAGGGACCAACTATCTTAGTTATTGGTATGAGCTTTCGTGTGCATGTTACTTGAAGGAATTTTTAAATTTAATTTAATTTGTTTTGTTTTGTTTCAACTACGGCAGACCAACACGGCTACCTACCTGTAACTAGTATCAGATGGGTGTGTGACACTTTAGTTGTAGTGCATTAGTTTGTCTCTCTCTTCTCTAAGCCGATCTGGATGAATATAAATATTTAAAACATTTTGAGGGTGTGTGTGTGTGTGTGTGTGTGTGTGTATGTGTGTATACATATATGTATATGTATATATACATATAGATATATATATATATATACACACATATACATATTATCCAGAGCTTATTATACATATACATATTATACATATATTATACATATATATATTATACGTATATTATACATATATGTATTATACATATATTATAGATATATATATTATCCAGAGCTTACATGACACTTAACCGCAAATCTAGGGTTGCCATATTTCAAAAAGTGTAATTCCTGACTCCCGCAGAGTTGACCTTTTTTTAAGGAAACCACCAACGTTGTTGAGCTTTTGGGGAGAAACCTCAATTACAAATACAGTACTGTAGTGGTTTTAAGCTTCTGGAGCTGTTCCCACTGCTTTTTCCACCACATTGTAATACTTCTGGGTTTTCCCTGACATTTTTCCGATTCTGCAACATTTCCCCAACCCCATTTTTACCCCGAAAGGCAGGGAAGGCATGTCAGGATTTTTCCTGACGTATGGCAAGCCTAGGAAATCTCTACCTCTGCGTGGGTACTGGGAAGCTGCCCCTCTTGAATGTCTACCTACCACAATGCATTTTTTTTTAAAGGCGCATGAACAGACTTCCAAGTGAGATGGTGGACTCTCCTTGCTTGGTGGGAGGATTATCGGTTTGGTTTGTTCTTGGTCTTGTTATGCATTTTCTGTTTTTGTTTTGTATTCTTTATGCTGTGAACCGCCCAGAGATCTTTGGATGAAGGGTGGTATACAGATTTAATAAACAATAATAATTTTAAGCAGAGGTTGCATGGCCATCAGTCATGTATGCATTTGATGATATTCCTGCATTGCAGGGGGGTTGGACAAGATGACCGTGGAATCCATTCCGATCGATTATTCTTGCACCATGAGATGCCTTCTAATTACGGTGGGAGGTTATGTCCACTTTATTTTTAAAGCAAATGATATTATTATGTATTTATTTATTATTAATGTTGCAATACATATATGAAATCTTTACTTAATGATACATATACATTATATGTGTAAATTCATATTTTCACATTATGTACCAACATTTATCCATTTCTTATTTCTTGCCCTGTGTCTTCCCTCCACTTGTGCGTGACTTTCTTATTATTTTATAACTTTATTACTGAGATTGTATTTTTGTATCTTAATAATGAAACATTCAGCCTTATGTATCTGCTGAGCTTAACTTAACTTTGTGAAATCATTGTATACATATCAATAAGTGATATTATTATTATTATGACTGTATTATCATTTAATAAATTTATACACCGCCCTACACCCGCAAATCTCAAGGCGGTTCACAGGATAAAATCAGAACATATAAACGCAGAATGCATACATTTAAATCGGTTTGTACCACAAAGAGGAGGAATAATGAGAACCCAAGACAACCTTGCAGCTAAACAATAAAAACAAACTTTAAAGCCTCCTGAATCTAACCCCACAGCCCTGGCCGTTTACACCTGAACCTGCCCGCCTGCTCCCAACGCCTCCCAAGCCCAGTTTCCACCTGTGCGGGTAGAAAAGGAAACCACAACTCCCGGCATTCAACGGGGTGGATTGGCCCACCCTGAGAAGGAAGCGTGGGGGGGAGAGATAGAAGTCTCTCCTGCCTTTTGGCGTTCGGGAACCCTCAAAGAAGGGGAGGGAGGCCTAAACCCCCCCGCGGCGGGATTTTGGTGCCTTCCGAAGTAGGCGGGGCCACGGAAGGCGAGCGGCGGTTGGCGCGGGGCGGGGCCAGGGCGGTTGGAACCTTTTCGAGCGGGAGGCGGCGGCGGCGGCGGCTTCGCCTCAGTTCCCCGTCAGGATGCAGAGCTCGGACCTGGGGAGTCGGGAGGACGGGAAGATTTGGCACCGCAAGCCCTCCCCGGCCATGCAGCAGGGGTAAACCGTGCGGGGAAACGGGCTTTAGGGTGATGTGGGGTTTTTTTGGGGGGGGGGACCCTGTCCTTGGGTGTCATCAGTGGAGCTCCCATGTCCAAGAGCAGGCTACCCTTTCGGTTCCAATGCAGTCCCTACTGAATTGGCCTTTCCTTCTTTTTTAAAATAATTTTTTATTAATTTTCAGCATATCATTTTCCACAGTGATAAAACATATACAGTGTTACATACGCTTCAGGTTACATACACTTCAGGTTACAGACTCCGCTAACCCAGAAATAGTACCTCAGGTTAAGAACCTTGCTTCAGGATGAGAACAGAAATTGTTCTCTGGTGGTACGGCGGCAGCAGGAGGCTCCATTAGCTAAAGTGGTGCTTCAGGTTAAGAACAGTTTCAGGTTAAGAACAGACCTCCAGAACGAATTAAGTACTTAACCCGAGGTACCACTGTATTGACATCTTATACACATTTTTTTGATTTGCAAAAAACGAAGATCATGGCCACTGGTCCCATCACCTCCTGGCAAATAGAAGGGGAAGAAATGGAGGCAGTGAGAGATTTTACTTTCTTGGGCTCCATGATCACTGCAGATGGTGACAGCAGTCACGAAATTGAAAGACGCTTGCTCCTTGGGAGAAATGCAAACCTAGACAGCATCTTAAAAAGCAGGGTAGGGGAAGGAGCTCTCACCACTTCATAACACCATGCTGTTGACACCTTCTTGTTTTCAGAGTCATCGTAAATATTATTCACAGTGCCACAGGCTATCATTCCAAGACCATTCGCTTTTTGAATGTGGCTTTTGACAGTTCCGGAGATGCACTGCTTTCTGGAGATCATCAAGGGAATATCTATGTTTTTGACTTGGTGGGCAACAGGCAAGTGCTGCTTCTTTGTCTCTTATCTTTTGATGTGCTCTGATTAAAAATATATAAACCGTGGGTCAGTAGAGGGATACATACACTAGCACAGTTTTAAGCATGAAGTAGAGAGGTTAGCTCTTTCTAGATTACCCCTCCTGGCCCCAGTAAGTTCCTACCCAGTTGTTTATATACTCAAAAAACTGGGCTGATTTCTCCGTAACTCTAAAACATAGTTTAGTATTGCAAAAGCAAGCCTAAGGAAGCCTTATCTCAAACACTGCCCACCCTGTTGCCAAGAACAGGCGCAAATAGCAGTTTGGAAGCTTTTGCTTCTGGTTTTTGCTAACCATGGTTTATTGTGTTGTTTCAACCTCACAAACTTTGGTTGATTTTAACAACTGTTATTTTGGCTACTATATAGCCTGTGATATAATCACAAAGGCTGTATTTGATTTATGGCTGCAATGAGTTTTCCTTGTCCTCTGAAGTAATAATTTTGATTTGTACAAATAGGTTCAAACTGGTGCAACGAACAATGCAAGCTTGTACTGCTCTGGCGTTTAATCTCCGCAGGAAAACAGAATTCCTTGTGGCTTTGGCTGATTATTCCATTAAATGCTTCGATACAGGTACTGAGCACGGTTAACAAAACCTGTGTTCCTTATATGTGACTGCTTCTCAATGTCTATTTCATCTCATGTGTGTGATGATAAAACTAGAGCTGCGGTTTTCAACTTCTTTTTCTCACCGAAAATCCAAAACACTTGTAAATTGTTGAGGATCTTGGTGGACCACTTAATGGCTTTTCTGCCTGTTGTAGCAGTTGTAATGTGGTGATCTAGATGCTGTGTGATTTTTAGTTGTTTTATTTTAAAAACAACAATCATACAGCAGTTAAAAAGCAATATTAATGTTTAATGCAAGAGGTGTCCCATCTCTTGTCTTCAGTCACAAATCCTCTAATACACCATGGACTCCCAGATTGACCCTCGTAGACCACTGGAGGTCCATGGACTAGTTTATAAACCTCAGAACTGGAGTATTATTATCTTTGATCAAACCAGGAGTACGGAACCCTTTTCATCCTGAGGGCAGGATCCAGAACTGACCCAGCCTCCACTGCTCTCCTTTTTAAAACAACAACACATTTTTATTAATAAGCCGAAGATAAAGAACATAACAAAATATGTGCTATGATAGTATTTCCACTGGTTGTTTTTGACACCGGGGGGGGGGGCACCCGCTTATCATCTGACAGGTGATTTACCTTTCAGGCTGGAAGTGAATCTGGGTGGAAACGCTGCCTTTGAACCATCTCTGCCAGAGTCAACTCTCATATGGCTTCCCCTGTTTGCACCGGACACCGCTGAGACTTCCCCCAGAAGCTTGAATTAGACTGTGTGCTAGAAGGTCCCACCACGGTCTTATCTCTTTGCTCATCTTTCCTTAGATACCAAAGAACTTGTTAGTTGGATGAGAGGACATGAATCTTCGGTGTCCTCCATCTCCGTTCATGGTTCCGGTAGATATGCCATCACGTCGTCTACCGACACAGCCCAGCTTTGGGATCTCGACACTTTTCAGAGGAAAAGAAAGCTGCAAGTCCGGCAGTCTGTGGGCATTCAGAAGGTCAGTCCAAAGAAACATTTCCTTTGCCCAGGTTGCCAACCTTTTTGACACTTTCAGAGAGGCTTAGACAGTACCACATGGCCCGCTCCAGCCATTGTTGCGAAGTATTTGCTTTCCTCCTTTTGCATTTCCTCCTTTTGCCAGAGCTTGATTGTGCTGCACAAATTCAAGCCTGACTTCCCCCATTTCCCAGGTTCTCCTGGAGTCCTAGTGCTTGGGTACCTCAAAGCTCATGTGGTCCTATCCCATTACAGAAGTGTAAGAGATTAAACAGTTGAAATCTGGAAGCGCATATTTTAGAATCCTGTACCTTGGAGGTATTTCCTGCTCAATGCATGGACTCTTTCCAAGTCTTCCTCCCTGTGATTTCAGGTTTTCTTTCTTCCACTAAGTAACACCATCCTCAGCTGCTTTAAAGATAACTCTATTTTTGCCTGGGAGTTTGATACCCTTCACTGCAAGTTTCAGCTGCCTTCGCCCGTTGAAGGATCTTCGTTGAGCTACAAAGTTTTTGCTGTTACAAGGTAATTCACACTACAACCATGCAGAAGTCCTAGGTAATGCTGAGTTATGGTTAGATTATCTGGCATCCATGTGTCTTGAGAGACAATAGATTGTGCCTTTGGTGGTGAAGTCAAACTGTTGGAAGGTTACAGTTCGTACTATGACTGTAGAGACTGATATGGAGAGGGGGAGGCGGCCTATAGGAAGGAAGTTGAGCAGTTGGGGGAGTGGTGCGGTAAAAACAACTTACTCCTTAACTTAAAGGCCTGATGAAGAGAGCACAGTAGAGGTTATATTTTCTGAGAATCATCCAGAAAAATAATCTCTCAGAGGACCTGTTGATGGCATTTTACCATTGTACTGTTGAGAGTGTATTAAGTTATGGTCTGTGTGTGTGGTTTGGGAGTTGAACAGTCAGGGAGAAAACAATGCTGTCCAGGGTTGTAAAGACTGCGGAGAGAATAATTGGGTGCACTCTTCCCACCTTGGATCAAATCTACGCTTCCAGGTCTCATAAGAAAGCTGCAGAGATAGCGCAGGATAGTGCGCTCCCCAGAAATGATCTCTTTCAGCTTCTGCCTTCTGGAAGAAGGTACAGGGTTATAAAGACTAGGACTAGCCGTCTGAGAAACAGTTTTTATCCAAATGTGATTTTTGTTTTAAGTGCAGTGTAAGGTAGTCTCTGTGAGAGTATATTGTATTTAATTATAGGGTATCAGAGTTTTTAGGGGGTTAACCAGGCTGGGATAGCAGGCTTGTTGGTTTTTGAATGATGTAGATTTTTTCAATTTCGTTGTTCTGTATGGGACAATGACAATAAAGATTATCGTATCGTATGGGAGAGATCTGTTTTATTCCAGCTGGGGCAGATGAAGGCATTTGGTTTTGCTGGTACAGGTGTACCATGGGGATTCTTCTCTCTGCACTCTTCCCAGCAGTCATTCCACCTCTGGTCAGTGTCTCATCCCTTTTGACTTATTTTTCCTCTGCTGTTGGACAGAGGTGCTTGCCTCCAATCAGCTGGCAGAGCCAGGTGCTTTTTACTGAGTCAGACTGTTGGTCCACTTGGCTTGGTATCAGCTACCCAGACTAGCAGCGGTTATCCAGACAGTCAGGTGGAAGACATCCACACCTTCTGGATGCAAAGCAGGTGTTCTACCACTGCGCTGTAACCCTTCCCCTCCATTCACATCAACTGTGTCTTGTTTTGGGGTGCAGAGACGGCCGTGTCCTTGCAGCGGGGGGCAAATCAAACCACCTTCACTTGTGGTGCTTGGAGTCCAAGCAGCTGCTTCGGATCATCCAGATGCCCACCAAAGTGCGAGCCGTTCGCCACCTCGAATTCCTCCCAGACAGCTTTGACGGTGGTTCTAATCAGGTGGGTGGCAGAGTTCGAAACAGAATGGTGTTCACTAAGCTCCTGATAGCTGGCACATACCATATTTTTCCATGTATAAGACGCCCCCGTGTATAAGACAAGCCCTATTTTTTAAAACCCATAATTAAGAAATTAAATTGTTTAGCTTTTGGGGGGGGGGGGGGAGGTCACTTCCACCAATCGCTTGCCCTAGCCACTGCCAATCACACAGCTTGCCACAGCCACCAATTGCCTGCCCACCCACTGCCACCAACAGCTCACCCGCCCACTTGCCCCAGCCACCAATCACCTGCCCAATCACCGCTGCCAATCTCCTGCTTGCTGCTGCCATTAATTGCATGACCCCACTTTGCATTCGCTATCTGTGTATAAGACGACGCCCAATTTTTGCATAATTTTTTTTTTAGCAAAAAAGCATCATCTTATACAGTGGTACCTCGGGTTATAGACGCTTCAGTTTACACGTTTTCGGGCTGCGCACCCAAGCGTCAAAGCCAGGGCACACTATATCAGCAGAGCGAACTGCGCCCACAGAATAGGCGTGAGGCTTGTGGAAGCATACTACAACTACAGATTTATTAATCATAAATCAGCACAAAGAAACATGTCGTCTCTCTCTTTGTCTTCTCAGAGAGACGGGGAAAAGCAAAGGCTATACACACAACGGAAGTTCCCAGCAAACTGTGCTGGAATGTAAACAGACATGTGACAACAGTTCCATGTCTGCATAATTTTTTTTAGAAAAACTGTTGCATTAGAGTCTGCATATGTAAATGAAAACCATTTTCCTGCCTGCAGAATATTACTGCATAATCTTACACATGCCTGCCCAGGTAGAAGTCCTACTTAGGATCACAGCATTGTTATGTCTCTTTGCTTAATAAAGCAAATTAAGCTCTTTGTTCCACATTAGCTCTCTTACACTCTCTTCTTTGCCCTCTAGGTTCTTGGAGTGCTGAGTCAAGATAACATCATGAGAGTCATCAACATAAGGACATGCAAGCTACTCTTTGATGTCGGCAGCCACGAGGAGGGAATCAGCCTTGTCGCCGTGAGCCCTAATGGGAGGTACATTGCAGCGGTCATGGAGAACGGCAGCCTTAACATATATAGCATCCAGGCACTGACAAAAGAAGTAAACAAGGTACATCAGAAGGATCCTTTTGAATCAGACCAAAGGCCCATGCAGTCCAGCATTCTGTTCTGACAGATGCCTTTAGGAAGTCCCTGCCGACTGTTGCTTTGGGCCTGCAATTGAATGTGTTTTCCTCTGGTCTGAGTTGCTTCCAGTTCCAATGCTCTGCTGTGGGAGATCTATGGCTTCAGTGTGGGAGGAGGGGGTTGCAGTGGAAAATCAATGGGCAAGGGACCCTTCCTCTCAACCAGTGATTTTTTCTCCCCTGCAAGCAACACCTCATGTGTGTTACTTTAGCAAATATACATCTCAGAGTTCTGACTTCAAACCAGGTGAAGAGTTCTCCCTGGAGGATAATGGCTTTGAGTTGATTTATGATTTAAGGTGGGTAGGAAACTACTTGATTTAGTCTGCACATTGATATACGCCATTCTAATGAATCAAGGGGGAAAATAGCTACCTTAAAAGCTTAAAAACGATCAACCCAGATTTGAGTCTTTGGAAAACTGCCTTATCCACTAATGCCTCTTGTGAGTTATAGGGCAGAATTTAGACAGGCTTCTAGAATTAGATAACCTCTACATTTCTTACTCAGCAGCATATTGGTTTGTATTTAGGTAGTGATCAGGATTATTTAGATTTTTAGCTGGGTTTTACAGAATACATTCTATATTCTGGCGTTGAAAGGTTTTTAATGGATCTCCTTCCTGAATTTTCAGCCTCCCCCACCTCTGTTTAAAGTGATTGAAGAGTCGTCCAAAAGCAAATTTGACACTACCAAGCTGACAGTGAGAGTGACACCCGGCATCTCAGAGAGACCCTGGCAATCAAAAAGGGGAAAGATCCAAACCAAAGTGTTAAAACCACAGCCAGATGTGTCACATGAGGATAAAGAGGTAAGAACCTTTGACAGGGCAGGGCCAAGATCTGATTCCTGAAGTAGAAAATCCACACACACTACCGTGAGTTTCTTAGGGTGGAATTAATAAATAAAATAATAAGAAATAGAAGGTTGCCACTACTGTGACTGACTGTATGGAACAGCCTTCCCTACCATTGATGCCCTCTAGATGTGCTGTTGTTTTCCTAAACTACGACTCACGTCTTCCCTGACTATTGGCTATGCTGGTTGGGGCCAATGTGAGTTGGAGTCCAACATCTGGAGGCCACCAGGGTGGAGGAGGCTATTTCCTCCTCGGAAATAGCGCACCCAGGGTTCGAATTTCTGCTACGACCACTAAGGGACGCAGGTGGCACTGTGGGTTAAACCACAGAGCCTAGGACTTGCCAGTCAGAAGGTTGGCGGTTCGAATCCCCGCAACGGGGTGGGCTCCCATTGCTCAGTCCCTGCTCCTGCCAACCTAGCAGTTCGAAAGCACGTCAAAGTGCAAGTAGATAAATAGGTACCGCTCCGGCGGGAAGGTAAACGGCATTTCCGTGCACTGCTCTGGTTTGCCAGAAGCGGCTTAGTCATGCTGGCCACATGACCCGGAAGCTGTACGCCGGCTCCCTCAGCCAATAAAGCAAGATGAGCGTCACAACCCCAGAGTTGGCCACAACTGGACCTAATGGTCAGGGGTCCCTTTACCTTTACTTTACGACCACTAAAGCCAAGGCAGGATCTCCTCCCCAATATGTTTCTGAGCTAAAAAAAATTGGAAGATACATGTTTCATTCCACATTTTGTTCCTTCCCAGTTCCCAACACTTTCTCCCTTACAACTTGGCTGAGATGAGTTCTGCCAGAGAGATGCAAACATCCCAGTCTGGGAATACCCCTCTCGCCAAACATCTGGTGATTTTGCACGGTTGACTCAAAAGTTGTGCCTCTCAGGGTAGCCGCTCTAAGGCAGCACCCAGCTGGTTTTGAAAATCAATAGATGGCATTTCAAGGTGCAAAGGACAGAAAAGAAGGGCAGCTTGGTCATAACGAGGACCTGCAGTAGAGACTGCAAGGTGCAGAATTCAAAACGGAGGAAAGAGGTTAGAGAGGAGAGACAGGAAGGGCGGGAAAAGGCCATCTCAGTGCAATAAATAATTTGTGGCTCCTGTTCCAGAATGAGCTGCCCGATGGATTGAACAAGAAGCGGCTGCGAACCTTGCTGAAAGGATTTGGGGAGTATCCTGCAAAATACAGGTGCGTGGGGTGCAAACCTGATGTCTTTCCTTCTACCAAAAGTGGAGCCACTACACCAGCCCCACAGCAGGGGGGTTGCTGCTGCTTACTGCAAGTGGGGAAGCCAGCGTGGTGCATATGCTCTGGTGGAGACACTCCTGCCGATGCATTTGCACCCTGCTGACCTCTCCACTGCCTCATCCTTCGCAGTAAGCAACTGTGACTACACCTGTTGGGAAGCTAGCATCATGGCTCTGCTGCTTCTGCACAAACTGGCCTGTGTCTGCAAATCTCCCTTGTCGTTACAGGATGTTTGTTTGGCGGTCCTTACTTCATCTCCCAGAAAACCACTTGGCCTTTAGCAGCCTGTTGGATAAAGGGACCCATTCGGCTTTTGTGCACCTTCAGAATGAATACCCTATTAAAAGCAGGAAACTCTTGAGAGTCCTACAAAGGTAAATATGGACATGTTTTCAGGTGGGAAGGAAGGGAAGATGAGCCCCAGCTAGCTCAGCCACACTGACTAGGGCTGATGGGAGTTATACTCCAACCATCCGAAGGGTGCAAGCTTGGTTAAGGCTGATTTTAACTCTTCACTAAATGAGATTCTTCTCGGCCAACGTTTTTCTGAGCACTTGCTTCTTCTGTCCATGCACAGGACCTTATCTGCTCTAGCTCACTGGTCTGCCATCTTTGGCGAGATGCCCTACGTCCCTCTGTTGGCCTTCCCTTTTGTCAAACTCTTCCAGAACAATCAGCTCATCTGCTTTGAAGTGGTTGCCACTGTAATAGGTAAGGCAGGAGCGCTCTTGAATGATGACACACTTCCTATACTGTGGGCTGTCTTTGAATAATTATATGTTGGTTCCGTTAAGCCAGGGTTTCCCAGACTTGAGTCTCCAGCTGTTTTTTAGACTACAACTCCCATCATCCATAACCATCAGGTCTAGTGGTCAGCAATGATGGGTATTGTAGTCCAAAAACAGACGGAGACACAAGTTTGGGAAACACTGCAATTAAGCCAAGCTACGATTGTCCAAGCACAAGCACTGCCTTCCAAGAGACCGCTTGCAAATAGCAGAGAGCTGTGGATTGCTGGCGCAGCTATGGAGTCCAGCATCCACTCGATTTCCACAGTAAAGAATGTGTGAGTCCATTAAAGGGGGAAATTGTTTACCAGCTAGCAAAATGCCCCTTGTTGTGATGGCTGGTATGCTGAGGACTTCTGTGGGATGTGCAGCATACCTCTGTGTGCCCCGAACACAGGCACATTCAACCCCCAAGAGGCCCTCTGTCAATAAGGTTTGGGCTACCGAATATTAGGAAGGGGTGGGAGAGGTTTTGCGCTGCTCAGAAGTGTCCCCAATCACAGCATGTAGCTTTTCCCAATAAGATTGAATGACGTCTATTCACATGCTAGCAGGAGCTGCATCAAAATGTCACAGCATGTAATGCTGTCATTGAAAAATGTCAAATGGGAGGCACATTTGGGAGAAAGATTCAATATCACTGCCCCCTTGTTGCATCCACCAACTTTTGAGTTAGTCATTCGTGGGACCAAAACTGCAGATGAAATTGCATTTGTGTGCTGCTGTTAGGGCAATGAGCTGTTTCTGTTCCTTTTCTTTTTAGTTAATTGGTGTCAGCACTGGTTCGAGTTTTTCCCCAACCCTCCAATCAACATCCTCGGCATGGTGGAAAACATATTAGCACACCATGACAAAGAGCTGCTTCAGCATTTCATGAGCTACAATATAACATCACAGGTTAAAAATAAATACATATTCAACCTTCGCATGGAACAATATTAGCATGAGATTGTTCAATGTGTTGTGCTTAGGTGACCATTAATTGTCTTTGCCACCTGACACCAGGTTTACGCCTGGCCTCTTCTGGAAACCATGTTCTCGGAGGTTCTGACAAGGGAGGAATGGCTGAAAATGTTCGATAACATCTTCTCCAACCACCCTTCCTACTTTCTGATGGTGGTTGCTGCTTACATCATCTCTTCCAGAGCTCCTTTGCTTCACTGCAATCAGAAGGAAGACTTTGAGGTGAGCATCTTGCTGCTGGGTCTGCGTGTCTATTCATGGGGCCTAACTCTGTTCGCTTGGGAGCCTAGATCTTACTGCACGACCCAGTCCACACTAGTAGATAACTAAGCTCTATATCAGGGTGACTAACCTGTGACCCTCAAGATGTTGTTGAACTATAGTTACTATAATCTCTAGCCAATGGCCATGCTGGTTGGAGCTGATTGGAGGCATAGTGGAGCAACATCTGGAGTAGGGAATGTGGGAGGAATCCATCAAATTGGTACTCAAAAGCATACTCGCCTGACTCGATCAGGGTGGATCACAACCTGTATCAGATCGCGGATCCACTTCACAATCTGCAGTCTTGCCAGAGTCTTTACAAGGTAGGCTGATGGCTGCAGCACTGCCTCTGTTCTGATAAAAGGTATTTCTCACATTTTTCAAAAATGAGGTCGCCCAGCCACTCCCAGACTGTAGATAGGCAGATAAACTGTTTTTATAACCTCCTAAAAGGCAAGAAGGGACGCGGGTGGCGCTGTGGTCTAAACCACTGAGCCTAGGGCTTGCCGGTTGGAAGGTCAGCGGTTCGAATCCCCACAACGGGGTGAGCTCCCGTTGCTCTGTCCCAGCTCCTGCCCACCTAGCAGTTCGAAAGCACGTCAGAGTACAAATAGATAAATAGGTACCACTCCAGCGGGAAGATAAACGGTGTTTCCGTGCACTGCTCTGGTTTCACCAGAAGCGGCTTAGTCATGGTGGCCACATGACCTGGAAAAACTGCGGACAAATGTTGGCTCCCTCGGCCAGTAAAGCGAGATGAGCGCCGCAACCCCAGAGTCGTTTGCGACTGGACTTAACTGGCTGGGGTCCTTTACCTCTTAAAAGGCAAGAAATAGCTCTGCAGCCCTCAGACCATTATATAAGCCCTATTTGTTCTTTCTTCATTGCCTTTATGTTTCTGTGCAGATTTCTTAAGGATTTTCCTTTCAGAATCTGCTCAGCATTGGAGTGGAACAGGCTCGGTCCCCTCACCAGGCAGAACTGGGACAGACCAGATCCTAATTTGTCTACCCATCCCTAATCTGGAGAGACCCAGGTTAACCACCCTTGCTCTCAACCGGCATTCTTCAGCCTTGGGTCCCCAGATGTTGTAGGGCTAAAACTCCCATCATCCCCAGCCAGCTTAGTCCAGCGGTCAGGGATAATGGGAGTTGTAGTCTAACAATATCTGAGTACCGAGGGCTGAAGATCACTGCTCTAGGTGAAAGTCAGTGCCCCTTGGCATGAAGGGGGTCCCAACTGACAGCAAATCCCGAGCAGAAGAGGTGTCACCTCTTACCCTGTTATTCGCGTCATTGACAGAAGGTGGTAGCCCTGGAGGAAGGATTGAAATCTGCTAAATAAATGTAAATGAGAAGGACAGGACCCCACGTGGTGACTCTTTTGAGAGGGAGAGATGTTGCAGTTTCCCCCCCTCTTCTGTTGATTTGCACCCTCATGCATCTCTTAAAGGCATGGGACAGGGCCTTTGTGAGGGAAAACAGGAAATTTATTGGGACAGTGTGACTTTTGCAGCTGCAAAACAATGAACCAGGGATGGAGTAATGGAGAACTTCTGAAACAACAGTGGGACACAAACGCCACCCAAGGCATGCTGGAGAACAGCAACAACTGACAAAAGATAGATATATTACAAGGACAGGAAGAAACACTACGGACAGAATAATTGTCACACACAGGAAAGAGAGAGTTTGAATGCTTCATCTGTAGGCGTAGAAATCCTTTAATGTGTCAATACGAATAGAAGTCGTTGAAACGGCAGTTGCGATATAAGGGATTGGTATTTTGACTGCAGCGTAATTGAAATTTGTAAGATTTTGGAACACAGAAACAAAATAAATCATCAAACCATCAATTCTAGCACGCACGGGGGGGGCAACAAAATTGTATAATTTCTTAATGCCTTTGGTGCAGGTTCTGTCAGGTTCAAGGCGGGGAGACCTTTGGCCCTCCAGATGTTGTTGGACTCCACCTCCCATCAGCCTCGTTGGCAGTTGGGGATGATGGGAGTTGTAGTTCAGCAGCGCCTGGAGGACTGAGGTCCAGTTGCCATAATCTCAGGAAAGTTGAGCCAGCTCTGAATAGGATCCTCCCCGTATTTATTTCTGTCCTAAACCAAAGGCCACCTTCGTTGCAGTATTTCTTCCACCATCGGAACAACCTCGACGTCGGCGCCGTGCTGAAAGAGGCCTACCACCTCATGGAATGCACCCCGGCCGACATCCACCCGCGCCGCATGCTGGAGGACTTTGTGCCACTGACCAAGGGCCAGTACCCCGTCTTTAACAAGTACCCCAAGTTCATTGTGGATTATCAGGCTCAGGAGCGAGAGCGAATCCGACAGGATGAGATTGAGTACCTGAGAGAGAGGTATTGAACGGGTGGCAGCGGGGAATTAGTTGGGCGGCCTGTTTCGCAGATCCAATGGAAAGATGACTAGCAACTCAGGGGGGCGGGATGGGAAACTGGACTGCCCTTCAAGAGGACCATGTAGCCCAATCTTGTAAAGCAGATCTTGGACCATCTTGGTTGGAGATCAGTTGCATTAGAAGATCCTGCAGTCCTACAGTGGTACCTCCGGTTACGAACTTACTGTATTTTTCCGTGTATAAGACTAGGTTTTTTCCCTTTAAAATGTGGAGGCGTCTTATACACGGAGGCCATCTCCCCCCATTTTCTTAAACTGAAGTCCCCCAAAATAGGGGGCGTCTTATACGGGGGGGGGGGGTGCGTCTTATAGATGGAAAAATACAGTAATTCATTCCGGAGCTCCATTCTGAAGCCGAAACCGTTCTTAACATGAGACGCGCTTTTGCTAATGGCGCCTCCTGCCGCCAGCGTGCGACTTCCGCTCGCGTCCCGGGGCAAAGTTCGCAACTGGGAGCATCTACTTCCGGGTTAGCGGAGCTCGTAACCCGAAGCGTTCACAAGGAGGACGGTACGTAACACGAGGTACCAATGTATTTATCTGTGGCTCCGGACTAGAAGCAGTGGGTGGAAATTGCAGGGAAAGCAGATTTTGGCTAAACATTTAGGTGGCGCTTCCTACTGGCAAGAACAGTTTGACCGTGGAACAGCCTGCCCTTTGGAAGTAGTGAGGTCTGCTTTGCAAAGGTCGGGTGGCTATTTGACTGAAAGGGGAGGAGATGCAGGCACCATTGATGAGTGACACTTGCAAATCACTGTTCCTTAGCCCATGTGGTTTGATTTCTAACTATGTGGGCAATGACATCCTTGTGTCATTTTGACAGGCAGGTGCCCCTGTGAAAGGGAAGAACTGAACATTTGAAGAGAAAAATATCTTGGGTTTTTGGACTTGCCCATCTATTGCCAGTACAGTTGTACCTCAGGCGTCGAACGCCTTGCAAGTCGAACATTTTGGCTCCTGAACGCAGCCAACCCGGAAGTGAGTGTTCCGGTTTGCAAACGTTCTTTTGGAACCCAAACGTCTGGCTCGGATTCTGATTGGTGCAGGAGCTTCCTGCAGCCATCTGGAAGCCGCGCCTTGGTTTCCAAACATTTTGGAAGTCAGGTGGACTTCTGGAATGGATTCCGTTCGATTTCCAAGGTGCAACTGTAGATAAATGTATAGCCTTTGGAACAATGGGGTTGTTTTTTAATGTACAACAAACTTTTTTTCCCTTTTCAGCCTGCATTGCTTTATAATCTAGGCCAGTCTATAGTGATCTATACTGCCTACGTATAGTATTTGAGATTAAAAACTATTTTGTACTTGGAACTGAAAGCATGATGGACTTGCTTGAACTCTTGCTTCATTAAACTGTCAAGTTTGAAATTAATAATAATAATAATAATAATAATAATAATAATAATAGTTTTGTTTTATTTTTTGGATCCTGTCCACTTCACTGTGTTACCCCACGCATTGTGGGCGGCTTCCAACAAATGTAACATCAAAATGAAACATCAAGCATTTGAAAACTTCCCTGTGATTGTTCTCTGCAGACAATTGGTCCAGGAGATAGAAGCCAAAGCAGCTGAGCGCAGAGTGGAAGATGAAACTTGGTATCGGAAGCAAGAACTGCTTCAGGAGGCTGAGGAGCAAAGGAGGAAGATTCTGCTTAAGGAAGAGGAGAAACTAGCAGAGCAAAGGCGGAGGTATTTTCCATTTTAGCATCCCTGGTACTGACCACAGGAATATTACTGGAAGAACTGCTCTTCCGCAGATGGACTTGTTTTGCAAAAAAAGTAATGTTTCATCTTGCAAAATATCATTTCCCTGTTTAGATTACATCTGTAAAAAGCTCTACATTATTGGGTCACAGAGCAGGATGGATTTGATTTAAATCAAATCAATTTAAATCACAAGTCAGTAAGACTTGGTTTAAATCATTTTTTTAACAGACAGACTCACTCTTGCTGGTATAATAATATTTACAACCAGATGAAGGTTTCATTTTTGGAATAATAAATTTTCAGAGTAGTTTTTACAGTTACATCAAAAATTACTGATTTGGCTACACTGTTAGAAATACACAGATAATTATGAAATTATTGTGAGGTTTAATAAGTTAACTTTATATTTGGACAACTTTTCTGCCATAATTTATTGGAAGGATGAAAATAATCCTTTCCTTAATAACAATTTAAACAATTTTTGTAACTAAAACAATAACATTATAGCATATGTATCCATGTTTGTTAACTGATGTGGTTAAACAATTAAAAAAAACAAAAAACCTTAGAGTTTTAGCACACATGAAAAACTTAAAACAAATCCTTATTTACTGATGCATAGTCTTTGGACTACAGTGGTACCTTGGTTCTTGAACAGCCTAGTTCACAGACAACTTAGAACCCGAAAGTCGCAAACTCGGAAGTGAGCATTCTGGTTCTCGATATATTTTTTTGGAAGTCGGACGTGTCCTGAGCTTCTGGTTTTAATGTTTCACTTCCGTTTTAGAGAGATCGCACTGATTGGGCTGGTGAGGAGAAGTGTCCTGGCAGCGCTCTGAAGCCCAGCTGCTTTGACGAGAGAGAGATTGAAAGATCGTGCTGACTGGGGCATTGGGGAAAAGTGTCCCGGCAGCATTCTGCAGCTCAGCTGCTTTGACAAGGGGGCTGGCTGGCTTGGGGGGCAAAGAGAACTTTTGCCTCCCTTTCCTCCCCACCCCACTGAAACTCTCCTCTCCTGCATCCAGTAAGCCACCTCCTTCCCCACACACACCCATGCGTGCACTTCGTCCCTCCAGTTTGAGTGTTTCCACACACACACACACACCCCTTAAACTCCCCCTTCCCTTCTCATCCCTCCAATGGCAATGGGTAGATCACTACCAGTTTTTGATACTGGGTAGTAGATTGCAGCCTGGTTTATTGCTTTCATTTTCTGGATCAGTGGTCTCATTAGATAGTAAAATTCATGTTGAATTGCTGTTTTAGGGGTTGTTTTTAATTGTCTGGAACGGATTAAACCATTTTGCCTTGCTTTCTATGGCAAAGCGCGCCTTGGTTTAAGAACGCTTTGTTTTTGTTGTTTTTTAAATCATTTTTATTGATTTTCCAATAAAAAACATCCAATTAAAATATAAAACTAAAATAAAAAAGACCAAATTATAGTCCAAATTATATTGATTAAATTTTCGGAGCTCCCCACGGTCTGGATCTCTGAAGCATATCTCCACATCTTAGTTTCTCAATCATGTCAAACATCATGTACTTTCATAACTATATTTGTTAATATATAAGAACGCTTTGGTTTTGGAACAGACTTCCAGGACGGGTTAAGTTTGAAAACCAAGGTACCACTGTGCAATGTAACTTAAATAGAAAACTATCTTTAGAAAGATTTTTCCTCCAGAAGCGTTTTATTTTAAAAATCCGATTTAAATTTTAAAAATCTGTTGTATTTTTTAAACAATCTTTGATTTTCATCCCTGTCATAGAGTGAGAATTGCTACAGTAGGCAGCTGGAAGCTGCTTCCAGAATTTCACACTGCGTCAGTTTTTGGCTACACTTCCCATTATCCCTGGCACTGGTAGCTGGGGCTGATGGCCGGCTGCTTAGAAAAGGCTACTAATGCCCAGTGTCACTTCTGTATCACAAGAGGGTCACTTGTTCCTGTCCTCCTTGATTCCTCTCTCTTTGTTTGCATTTTGAAGACTCGCGGCTGTGAAGCGAGAGCTGAAAGTGAAGGAGCTGCAGTTACTGGAAGCCGCAAGGAGGCGTTTCCTGAAGTACCAGCAAGATCAGCGGGAAATGGAGCTCAAACGGCTTGATGACGAAATTGCAAGAAAGGTAAAGCTCTGTCCAGCAGCAACACTGGGAAGGGCCAAAGGCTCCCCATCTCAGCTTTACGCTTCTGCCTTTAAATGCCTCTCCTGCGTCTTTCTCCTGCTTGGGTGTGGACCAAGCCGAAAGTGGATTGCAGAAACCAGCAGGTGTCGCTACTTTGAGGGCTTTTGGAGCACTCTCTCATTTCCCAGGGCCAACTAACAGCTTTCTTGAGTTGGGTGAGCTGGTCTCTCTATGGCCAAGTAGCCATCGTTTGAGTGTGTGGATCCAGCCCCAAACAACTTCACTATGGGGTTGGGTTCACCAAGACCTGAAAAGTTAGACCCTGCTGGTCTAGATCCAAGTAGGAAAACTGTAAGGCAGCGGTTCTCAACCTGTGGGTCCCCAGTTGTTGTTGGACTACAACTCCCATCATCCCTGAGCTCTGGCCTTGCTAGCTAGGGGTGATGGGAGTTGTAGTTCAACAACATCTGGGGACCCACAGGGTGAGAAAGGCTGCTGTAAGGGGAGGCTGAGAGGTGGAAGATGCCTTTTTACAAGAAGCTGTATTGGTTAATGATACCGCTTCCCTCCACCCTGGTGTGTGGGTGGGTGTGTTGTTGTTATTTATTTATATATACAGTTGTACCTTGGTACTCGACCATTTTGGCTCCCAAATGCCACAAATGGTCTGGTTTGCAAACGTTTTTTGGAAGCCGAACATCCGACGCGGCTTCCGATTGAGTGCAGGAAGCTCCTGCAGCCAATCGGAAGCCACGCCTTGGTTTTTGAACCGTTTAGTTCGAGAACCAAGGTACCACTGTATACGGAGATGCTGGCAACAAAAGGAGGACACCCGTGCTCTTCTGGGCTAACAATCTCCTTCTGTCCTAGGCGTCTATGAGAGAGCAAGAAACTGCTGCTACAGTTCAGGATGCAGAAGTGCGGCAGATGGAGCTCACAGCACAAAGGCGGCTTTTTGAGCAGGTTTGTGCGCTTCGCTTGCTGGGACCCTGCAGTCGTATCTCATCTGAAGGCAGCCCTGTTTAGGGAGGTTTTTAATGTTTGAGGTTTTATTGTGCTTTTAATTCTGTTGGGAGCCACTCAGAGTGGAAGGGGAAACCCAGCCAGATGGGCAGGGTATAAGTAAATTATTATTATTATAAATTGTTGTTGTTGTTGTTTGGACTATGCCTTGCCCTTGTTATTTCACTGTGGTTCGGTAGACATTTGATGCATCTCTACAATTGGTTAGAGCTTTATCCTCTTCACTGTCAAAGCTGAGATTGGATGCAGATGGAAATCTGAGTGGCTTGGAAAGTTTACTATGTTGGAGAGGGACTGAAGAGGTTGGATGGCCATCTGTTATGTATGATTTAGTTAAGATTCCTGCATTGCAGGGGGCCAGACACGATGACCCTCAGGGATTACTTCCAACTCTGTGATTCTGTGCTGCCCGATCTGATTTTCAAATTGGCAACAGGCTAGAAATCCGGCTGCTCTAACCTGCAGAATCACTCCGGCTCCTCTTGTTCGGCATGGCAGTTCAGTCCTTTTTGTACCTTTTGAAGATGCATCCCTGTTAGTGCTTCTGATACAAAACAAACTCCAGCTGATAAAAAACACTCTTCCACACCATCCTTGTTTCTGACCAAAGTTTCTACCTCGGCAGAAACTACTCAAAGAGCAGGAAAGTGTGGCTCAGGAAGTGAAAGGGGAGCTGGACGTGAGCCGGGCAAAAGCTGATCACGAAGACCTTTTCCTTCAGAGGCTGATTGAAATTGAGCAGGACGGAGAATCGAACGCAAAGCAAGTAAGAGCAGAAATCGTGGTAGCTCCTGATTTTTAACCTTGTGTTGAAACATAATTTCCCATAATTCATAATCAATATTGTGACCCACATCTTGTGCCCACCTTGCCCCACACTATCTCAGTGAATGGTAGTGACGCTACTGTTGGGGAGTGTGACTCTGTGCCCCCAAACCAGGCCAGTCTCTCCTGGCTTCACATGCCTCTTCATCTCTAGATGTCTTTTAAGCAAAGCAAGCTACTGTACTTTCAGGGTTACACAGAAAGTTCACAAAAGGTCTGTTCCACTTACCCAAATACCGTATACCCATTTATTATTGATTTGCGGATAATGGCGGGAGGGGGGATTCCTTTTTGCAAAGCCTCCTTTTTTGATCGCCTGCCGACAATTGTCACCCTTCATAGGCAAGCAATGAGGCTCTTCTTACAAACCTGGTACATTCCTCGAGGGAACGGACTCAAAGCCTGTCTCCCTGATGCACATGGTATCTTTTCTTTTTTTCTTTTCTTTTCTTCTTTTTTTTTTGAGGTGGTTGAAGAATGCTTGGCCAAAGCCGATCAAGAGCACATTAACACGGACTGGCGGACTCAGGTCCTGCGCAAGCAACGAAGCGGCGACCTGGATCGTGACCTGCGATATCGAGAGCTGGCCAGGCACCTCCGTAACAACAGAATGGCGGAGTCAGAGCTGTTTGGGGCAATGAAAGAGGAGGAAGCCAGAAAAGTGAGTGCTGAGAGGTTGGCCAGAGTTGTTTGTGCCTCTGGTGGTGGACACGGTTGGGTCACAGGGCACGGGGAGGGACCACTTCTGTGACTGATGAACCGCACATTCAGTTCACCTCTTGCGTGGCTCTGGTTGGGCGACTTACAGTGTGTGGCTTCCTGTTTCTTCAAAATGCAGCAGCCCGTTTGCTCCCTCGCTGCAGTCCCAACTGTTGCGTTCCAAAGGCAAGGAAGGATTGGACCCTGATTAATAAAATACACACGAGGCTTGGCCAGCAAGACTCTGGGAGGAAGTGCGTATAATAATCTGTCACACCCTGGCCCAGGTCCCTTTTATTAACAAAAGAACTTATAACCCAGTGCTGCAAAAACCAATCAGATGTCCTCTGAGCATTTCAAAAACATCCCCATGTGGGACAAAGTTAGATCAGAGAAATCCTTTTAACTACAAAGAAACTATTTCCTACTTGAGCATGCATACATAGTTCAGAGTAAATAAAATAGGAATCAAGGAGGAATGCTTTTAGCAAACCCCAGAGGTCATAAATAGCAGTAAACAGGAGAGGAAGGACAGGTAGTATTTACCATCTCCTTGTGAACTCTCTTCCTGAACTCTCTTCCTGGCCCTAAGATTAACAAAACTAACGAAAGCTATATCAAAAGCTGCCTTCTATATTTATGGCCCAGGATGCCTGGTGAAGCAACTGGCCTGTGTAATATGCTATACATGACTGTCAGGCAGAGAGAATGGACAGTAGAGAAAATGGGCAGAGATGCAGAGGCTCGTGGGATTTGATCAGAAATTATTGTCAATGAATCAAGCCCAGTCAAAGCAATGCTTTCATCGCTGACCCAATGGCGTGCTCCATTTTTCATAATTCCTCATAGCAATCCCACCTGACCCCCACACCAACTGGGATCCCTGCACTTATGCCTCTTTCCATCGCCTTCGTAGAAAGCTCTGCAGGAATTCGAGGCCGGGGTAGGAGACGCGGGTGGCACTGTGGGTTAAACCACAGAGCCTAGGACTTGCCGATCAGAAGGTCGGCGGTTCAAATCCCTGCAACGGGATGAGCTCCCGTTGCTCGGTCCCTGCTCCTGCCAACCTAGCAGTTCAAAAGCACACCAGTACAAGTAGAGAAATAGGTACCACTCCAGCGGGAAGGTAAATGGTGTTTCTGTGCGCTGCTCTGGTTCGTCATTCTGGCCACATGACCCATAAGCTGTCCGCCGGCTCCCTCGGCCAATAAAGCGAGATGAGCATCGCAACCCCAGAGTCGGTCACGACTGGACCTAATGGTCAGGGGTCCCTTTACCTTTACCTGAGTGCTGGTCCCTGATGCTGCTGCCTCCTTCTTCAACTGCTCTCTCTCCCTTTTTCAATACAGCATCTTCTCTGTGCCTGTTTTCTTTCAGTGGGAGGAACTCCTGGAAAAGCAAGAGCAGCTAGCAGCAGAGCAGGCTGTGACTGCTGCTTTGGATGCCAACAGGAAGCGCTTTCTAGAACGGGAAATGAACGATGCTGTAGAATTGGCTGAGAAGCTCCAAGACGAAGACAGCTATTTTGGTGAGTGCTTAAGCCTCCTGCATGCAGTCCACGTGTTTTGTTCATTTACTTCAGGCATTTCTGTAAAACGCACACACCCCCTTAATACTACCTCAAACATCAAAGTTGAAGCACATGGTAACATTTGTGGTCCATTTGAAAGCTAGTGTGCTTATATCATGGATACGATAAGTGTGAGCATCCTGTGGCCGTCCAAATCTCCTTGGGCAACAGATCGCATAATCCCTGACCATTGGCAGTGCTGGCTGAGGCTGATGGGAGCCGATTTTTAACATTTATATGCCACCTGTATCTTCCAAGGATCTCAAGGTGGCGTTTATGGTTCCCCTCCTCCCCCTTTCATCCTCGCAAAGAACCCTGCGAGGTAGGTCAGACTAAGAGATGGTGACTGGCCCAAGGGACACCCAGTGAGCTTCATAGCTGAGTGGGGATTTGAACCCTGAACTCCCAGATCGTAGTCCAGCTGTCTTAACTACAGTGGTACCTCGGTTTAAGAACAGTCCTGTTTACGAACGATTCGGTTTATGAACTCCGCAAAACCAGAAGCAGTGTCCCGGTTTGCAAACTTTACCTCGGTCTAAGAACGGAATCCGAACAGTGGAAGGGCACCGGCGGTGGGAGGCCTCATTAGGGAAAGTGTGCCTCGATTTAAGATTGGTTTCAGTTTAAGAACGGACTTCTGGAACGGATTAAGTTCATAAACCGAGGTACCACTGTATTACACATCAGGATAGTCACAAGTTTTGACCTTGGTCCAGGCACTTGTGATCCCCTCTGTCCTAAGTTACCTTGAGCCCAGATTCAAACTTCCTAAATGATTCTGTCAGGGTTAGAATGAAAATAAAATGGGATAACCCCCATTCACACCACCTTGAGCTCCTTGGAGAACGAAGGGGATTTCATAACAGTAGTACACTGGAATCATGCTGATAATATGTTCAGTGTGTTCAGTTTATCAATCTCTCCATCATTACTTCATTGTGTACAGACCAGGGGCTGGATAATCCTTGTGGACTGTCCTTCCCTGGAGGATTTTAAGCAGAGGTTGGGTGGCCATCTACCATGGATGCTTTAGTTGAGATTCCTGCATTGCAGAAGGTTGGACGAGATGACACTTCGTGTCCCTTTCAGTTCGTATGATTTGATGATTCCTGGGTCATGCTGCTTCACAGATAACCTAGACTAGCTCTGTATTTCTGTGAGCCTTGAGGCTAGACTGACATGATGGAGTTGCTCTTGAAGATTGTTCTAAGGTCTTGGCTAGTGTAGGAATGAACCAAGGCGGCATATGAAAGCCTGTATTCAGTGTCCTGATAGTGTTCAAAACACAATTTCGGATAACACATGGGCAGGGTATAAAATTATTATTATTATTCAGATAATACGTTCCATGAACAAATGAAGTGCTTTTGTATGACAGCTCCAAGAATGGCATCGTTTTCATCATGATTCAGGGTATAACGCTGAGGTGGCTTTGGTGTAAAATTGATAAAATACATTGGCTCAAAGTGTGCCTGTAACTTAGCAAGAACTTCCTGGGTCCCGCCTGTCCCCTTTCTGCAGAGAGACTGCGCGACTTGAGAGCCTCCCAGACCCGAAAGAGTTCAGAATCCCTCATGTCACCCAGCAAGACTCAATCACAGCCTGGCAACGTCTGCTTAAACGATTCGCCGGCAGGAGAAGCATCAAAACACTGTAAGTGGCTAGGCAAAGTCTTTTGGGCTCCTTCCAAACAAACAAATAGCTTGTTCTCCATCCTATGGATGAGATTAGCTGGGGACGAAATGGTTTGTTCTGATCTCTCCCCCAGCAATAAAGATGTGGCGATCCAGCTTGATTTGCAGGAGCTTGGCCAGTTTGTTTTATGAACTTTGTGCACCTTCTGTGTCTCAGCACTCTTGAGGCCAAAGGCGGGAGACGGATCCAAGCAGTTAGAACTTTTTCTGTCTAGTCCTGGATTCTCTATAGGATAATAAGAGGACACTCAGCACAACATCTCTCGTCAGGTTTCATTCGTAGCCTTTGGCAAGGGACTTTGTCAAAACATTTTGAGAATTCAGTTGTATAATGTTTTCCCCCTACTTACCTGCTTACTGGCAGAATAAGTTTGTTAAGGGGTGGCTTATTTTCAAGAAGCCAAGTGATTTAAACTTTTAAAATCAGGGCCGGAGGAACCCTTGGCTAACTAGCTGTTGCTGGTCTGAAACTCATGCATACATAATTTCATTTGTATCTTGCCTTTCTGCAATTCAAACCATGTTCAAGGAGGCTCACATCATGAAGAAAAGACCTAACTACAACATAACAAAAGTAGTCGTAAACAATGAATGAAACATGCAAAACCAAACTTAACAATTTTCACATAAATCACAACGAAATCTAAAATAAAGATACAGAAAAGCAACAGCAGCACACACCCACACACCCCGAGCAGCAAGTTGGGATAGCTCAGTCGGTAGCATGTAAGATTCTGAATCTCAGGGTTGTGGGTTCGAATCCACTGTTGCAGGGAGATGAACTAGATGACTCTCATGGTCCCTTCTAACTCTACAATTATACGAACCCCAGCCCCAACACCATTGGCCATAGTGGTTGGGGTAGGTGAGGACTACAGGTTCCCATGCCTCTGTTAAAATACAGTAGTACCTCAGGTTACAGACACTTCAGGTTACAGACGCTTCAGGTTACAGACTCTGCTAACCCAGAAATAGTACCTTGGGTTAAGAACTTTGCTTCAGGATGAGAACAGAAATTGTGCAGTAGTGGTGTGGCAGCAGCAGGAGGCCCCATTAGCTAAAGTGGTGCTTCAGGTTAAGAACAGACCTCCGGAACGAATTAAGTTCTTAACCCGAAGTACCACTGTATAATCTTCTACCTCCACTGTTGGAGGCATTATGCCTCTGAATACCAGTTACCAGGAATCACCAGTGGGGAGAGAGCTGTGGGTACTCGGGTTCTGCTTGCATCTGGCTGGCCACTGAGAGAGGTAGAAAGGTAAAGGACCCCTGGACGGTTAAGTCCAGTCAAAGGCGACTATGGGGTTGCGGTCATCTTGCTTGCAGGCCAAGGGAGCCGGCGTTTGTCCACAGACAGCTTTCCGGGTCACGTGGCCAGCATGACTAGACTGCTTCTGGTGCAATGAAATACCATGATGGAAGCCAGAACGCACAGAAACGCCATTTACCTTCCTGCCACAGCTGTACCTATTTATCTACTTGCACTGGTGTGCTTTCAAACTGCTAGGTTGGCAGGAGCTGGGACCGAGCAACGGGAGCACACTCCGTCGCGGGGATTAGAACCACCAACCTTCTGATCGGCAAGCCCAAGAGGCTCAGTGGTTTAGACCACAGCGCCACCCGCATCCCGTCCACTGAGAGAACACAATGCTGGACTAGGTGCCCAATCCTGCACACTTGTCTTATGTTCTTTTCACTTTCCAGATAAAACATGACTTTGTGCTGCTTTGATCTCCAAAAAGTTACTGTTCCACACTCGTAATCGGAGAAGGAAGGCTCTTAATTCTCATCTTTCCTTTTTTTGTTAGTTTCTTTAGACAGAGGACGGCAAGAGCTGGAATCCAGAGAGCAGGAGTTGCTGGTGGAAGTTAGACAGCTCAGGCGAAAGGTCATGTCACAGGCTCGTGGAAAGCAAGCCCCACCAACAGATGCACAGTGGAGCAGCTGAAGGGACAACATCTGCCTGCAGATGGACTTTTTCCACTTAGGAGCTGCATTTAAGAGATCAAAGGGACTGATTTTTTTTAGACCATTTTTATTCTCAATGCCTTTAGAAATATTTTTGTACATAAAAATAAAATACCAAACGAAAGGTGTAGCTGTTTTCTAAAGCAAATCTCTAAAGTAAAGACACAAGTATTTTCAAATAAAACATCAGCAATACATGGTGCATAAAAGCATGCAGCTCAGTATCCCTATCAGAAATAGGTCTGGTGACATATTTCGACCAAATCGTCAATACTGTAGTGCTTAGATACAAGCTTATTTGGCCCCACTGATTGTATAAAGAGGACTAAATCTGCACAAATTCCAGTAACCCACCGTAATGGAATCTATGTGCAATCTCTTATATTACTGACAAAAATTGATGTTCACTGATGCCAAACAGAAGCATGTCACATAATGAGAAAACACATTGTTTCAGCCCCATAACACGTGGGGCGGGATGTGGGTGGGTGTGGTTTGAATGTTCTCAAGTTCTCTCTTCCTCTAGAAACTTGCATGCCATAGAAGATAAAACCAGATCGGAAAATACAATACTCACTGCTTAAAAACAAGAAATATAGACTGCACTGCCGCCATACAAAGCCATTTATAAATTTATTTGCTGGCCAGCTTTTAAGGCACAGCCTACCTAAGAGGGGCAGATTTAGGGCTGCCATATTTCAAACAATGAAAATCCGGACAGAAAAGTTGTTGAGCTGCTTTTTTTTTCTTTTTAAAAAACAGAACATGGGCTGCCATGTATCCGGACTGTCCTGATTTCCACCTGGACACTGCTGCCAATTGCAGTTTTCCAAATCTACAGTATGGCAACCCTAGGCAGCTTGCATCTCATAAAAGCAAACTGATTTTGAAAACCAACCATTTAAAACCCAGCAATGCCACAAGTGTATTAAAACAGAAAAGCCAGCTTAAAAATGACTGGGAACTGCAAATAGATGGGTTCAAAGAACAGGTTAACAGAGGTGGCTCAAACTTAAAAAGTTTTCTGGGTTTGTTCTTTTAACCTCACTTAAAAATTTGAAGAGTTTGGGCCAGCCACACCTCCATAGGGAGGGGATTCCTTAATCTTGAAGGAGGGAGGGGGACACAGCAGAAAAGGCCCCGTTTCTCCTGCCCATCAACATACAGTGGGGTGGGGGGGAGGAAATTCCTAAATGCATGGCTTGGTTTTGTGTTTTGAGAGGGTAAGTGCAAGGATGTGTGGGAGGCGAATGAGAAAAGTTTAGGAGCTGCTTGTCTGAAGGACTGATGAGCACTGGGTGCTTAAACAGTGGGCAGTGGCATTTTAAATTATGCTGATTTCTCCAAAGCCAAAGAAGACAGTATCCAATAAACCTAGGAAACAGCAGGCTTCTTACTCATCAGATGCATGGGGCTTACTTTTGAGCAGGGTGGATAAAAATCAATGATTTTTAATATATCTATCTATCTGATATTTTAAATTTAAATTGGGTTTTTTAAAATTAAAATTGGATTTTTAAAATAAAGTGCCTTTGGAGGGAAAATCTTTCTAAAGATAGTTTTCTATTTGTTACATTATAGTCCAAAGGTATTCATCAGTTATTTGTTTTAAGTTTTTCATGTGTGCTAAAACTCAGTCTAAGGTGTGTTTTTAAAAAAAAAAAAATGTTTAACCAGATCAGTTAACAAACATGGATACATATGCTATAATGTAATTGTTTTAGTTACAAAAATTGTTTAAATTGTTATTAAGGAAATGGTTATTTTTCTCCTTCCAATAAGGTACAGCAGAAAAGTTGTCCAAATATAAACAGTGAACTTATTAAGCCTCACAATAATTTCATAATTATCTGTATATATTTCTAATAGTATGACCAAATCAGTAATTTTTGACATAACTGTAAAAACAACTCTGAAAATTTATTATTCCAAAAATGAAACCTTCATCTGGTTGTAAATATTAAGATCATACCAGCAAGAAGGAGTCTTTCTGTAAAAATAAATAAAAATGATTTAAATCAAGCCTTACTGACTAGCAATTTAAATCGATTTGATTTAAATCAAATCCACCCTGCTTTTGAGTGAGCATGCATAAAGCGGCTGACATATTGCAAGAGAGGATCCTGCACATGTCTACTCGGAAGTAAGCCGCATTGGGTGCAATGGCGCTCGCTCCCAGGCAAAAGGGGTGCGGAGGTGTTGCAAACGTCAATTTTAAATGCATCCTCCATAATGAATACTTTCTGGGGAGTCCCTTTGATCTCAGTGGGATTTCTTCAGTGCACGTGCCCAGGATCCGGCCTGCAGGGATCCAACCAAATGTGAGTTGATTAAATAAACGAATGAAAAAAAACATGCTCTCGTCTAAAACCGTCCAAGCAGTTTGCTTGGATTTCCGCCCCTGTAGTTTGCATACCGTGCAATCTAGGTCAGTTTTGGTGCAGGCGAGGAGCTTCACGGGCGACCCTAGAAGAGGAAATTTGGGGGGGCAAAGTGCTGCAGCGAAAGCGTTGCAAGGGTTGGGGTTTTGTGTGTTTTTTTAAGGGTTCAGAAAAAAGTGCCGCCGTTGCCCCGTGTGAGGCTCGAACTCACGACCTTCAGATTATGAGACTGACGCGCTGCCTACTGCGCTAACGAGGCGCTCGGAGCGGTGTTTCTGCAAATCTCCATGTGAAACGGGGAAACACCCTCGACGTCAGCTGATCCTTCCTGCCCTGTAAGGTGGGGAGGGGGCGGGGACAGTGAGGTTTGCAGCTTCTGATCTTTGCAAGCTACAAAGAGTAGGGCTCTCTCCCTTCCCACCCTCTCTCTCCCCCACTGGTTTCAGATAAAATAAAATGCAAAACTAAAAGGATGGCCCTGAAATAAACAAATGCATTATGTTGCAAAAGAGCTGCCAATTCCTTGCTGCTCCAAATCGTTGCTTAGCAAAAATAGTTCCAGATCAGGCAGATCTGCAAAGGAGCATGCTGTTGTTGTTGCTTAGTTGTGTCCCACTCTTTGTGACCCCAGGCACTCCTGTCTTCCACTGCCTCCTGCAGTTTGGTCAAACTCATGCTGGTAGCGTCGAGAACACTGCCCAACCATCTCGTCCTCTGTCGTCCCCTTCTCCTTGTGCCCTCCATCTTTCCCAGCATCAGGGTCTTTTCCAAGGAGTCTTCTCTTCTCATGAGGTGGCCAAAGTATTGGAGCCTCAGCTTCAGGATCTGTCCTTCCAGTGAGCACTCAGGGCTGATTTCCTTCAGAATGGATAGGTTTGATCTTCTTGCAGCCCATGGGACTCTCAAGAGTCTCCTCCAGCACCATAATTCAAAAGCATCAATTCTTCGGCGATCAGCCTTCTTTATCGTCCAGCTCTCACTTCCATACATCACTACTGGGGAAACCATAGCTTTAACTATATGGACCTTTGTCGGCAAGGTGATGTCTCTGCTCGGGTTAAGTACTTAATTCGTTCCGGAGGTCCGTTCTTAACCTGAAACTGTTCTTAACCTGAAGCACCATTTTAGCTATTGGGGCCTCCTGCTGCTGCTGCGCCACCGGAGCACAATTTCTGTTCTCATCCTGAAGCAAAGTTCTTAACCCGAGGTGCTATTTCTGGGTTAGCGGAGTCTGTAACCTGAAGCATATGTAACCTGAAGCGTATGTAACCTGAGGTACCACTGTAATTCAAAAGCATCAATTCTTCAGCGATCAGCCTTCTTTATGGTCCAGCTCTCACTTCCATACATCACTACTGGGAAAACCAGAGGTTTAACCGTACGGACCTTTGTCAGCAAGGTGATGTTAGCATACCTAATGGCTTTGTATCCATGACCAGAAGCTGCCAGGGAGTCCACGAGCCAGGACGTGCTTGTCCTCCCTCCCATTGGAACCCGGAGGTAGACTGCTCCTGAGCGGGAGGCTCCATTGAGCCAAGAATCAGGGACAACCTTCTCTTCCACGGCTTTGCTCTTCGCCTCCCCCTCCTCCCTTTTAAAGTCAGTTACATACCTTGTGAGAATGAGCGACTTGCACCTTGTGTGGAATATTTTATTTTGCTGGTTCTGAATGCATAGTGGATGGAGCCCAGTTCTTGTAGGATATATGCAAGAGAGAGAAAAATGATTCCACTATCCAATTATGTCAAATGCTTTCAGAAGATCTCAATGATTTGCATGGCTTTAGATGTCCTTAATGTTTTAAAAATTTAAAAAATTTTAAATTTCGTTTTTGTTTAATTGCATTTTTAATTTTTTTGTTCCTTTGGGAAGAAGGGCTAGGATAGAAACTTAATATAACTACATCAGCAATAATACATCAGCAATTATTATTAATGGCTGCTGGCCATTAATGCTGAGAGGAACTTTTGAAAAGCTTTTGTAGGATCTGTGGGGGACACTCAGTGCTGGATTTATGTATAACTAAATAAGCTATAGTTTAGGGCCCCACTCTCTTGGGGGCCCCAAAAAAATTTAAAGGGGGGGGGACTGGATGTACATTTCCAAAATATAAGATAAAAAACAAATAAAATAAAACCTACATACAGCAACAGTGTTTTGTGTTGTGTAGGCTCCTATGATGTAAGTAATGGGCCCGCCGGCTAGCCTGCTCCCTAAAACATCACTGGTTTGTTCATATCTATATATAGGGTGCCTACATTCTGCATGGACTGGTTGCATGGCAACATGCGCAAATGGCTTTAGATACCTATTGGGTCCATAAATTACCATATAGCATATATTCAACGCAAAAAACAGCAACGATTTGTTCTTGACAAAGGACAGCTGGACATATAAAGGGCCCCATTCCCTTCAGTAGCTTAGGGCCTCATCAAACCTAAATCCGATCCTGGTGACTCTAATTGGAAAAGGACCACCCCCAGACCTTCAAGCAAGGGAAGGGGGAATTCAAATGTTCCTGAACGCAGAGCCCCATCAGGGGAAAGATTATGGGTCAGGGTGTGTGTGGAGAGCCTGTTTATAACAGTGCTGAGTTTTTGTTGTTGTTGCTGTTTTACTAACGTTAAAATTGTTTAATAGATTATCAATGCTGTATCGATTCGTTAATATGATATTTGCTTTAATTGTGATGTTTAGCTTATTTTTTTAATTGCTGCTTTGTTAGAAGTGTCTTATAGATTGAAATTGCTTCATTGGTGATTTATTGATTATTTTGTATTATTTATGTTGTACTGAAACTATGTTAAGGTAAAAGTAAAGGTACCCCTGCCCGTATGGGCCAGTCGTGTCCGACTCTAGGGTTGTGCGCTCATCTCACTTAAGAGGCCGGGAGCCAGCGCTGTCCGCAGACACTTCCAAGTCACGTGGCCAGCGTGACAAGCTGCATCTGGTGAGCCAGCACCAGCGCAGCACACGGAAACGCCGTTTACCTTCCCGCTAGTAAGCGGTCCCTATTTATCTACTTGCACCCGGGGGTGCTTTCGAACTGCTAGGTTGGCAGGCGCTGGGACCGAGCAACAGGAGCGCATTCGAACCGCCGACCTGACGATCGGCAAGTCCTAGGCGCTGAGGTTTTACCCTACTGAAACTAAGTTAGCATTGCACTATTGTCGACCATTTCCACACACTCAACTTTTCGTTCTTCTTCAGGACAAAATTCCATTTTCTATGCAGCTGGGGGTGGGGAGAAGCATTTGCTAACACAGCTGCTTTCTAGTCTCATGTCTTTTTTCCAATAGGTTTGCAACCTTCGAAGCATTTCTATGTATTTATCACAGACAGAGCCTCTAGGCTTTCCTTCAACAGCTGCATTACAGACAGCAATTGAACAGGCAAAGCATTTCCACCCCTGCCTTTCCATGCTGGGAAAATATTTAGCATTTGAATATTTGCCTTCCAGGCTCCTCTTAGGTGTAGGAAATGGGGGGAGCACACCTAGAAATTCATATCTACTTATGGCTTTTCATGGCTGAGCAATGCATGATAATACAGCCTGCATAATACAAAAGCATTTTAAAAGACCAAACAAGAAAAGGCCCCAGTAATTTAGGCATATGTCATACACTTTCACATTTCAGCTGGTCTGATACGAGCCGACAGGCCGCTATTTACCCATCCAGTTAATGATGCCAAATGACTCTCTCCCATGTAATTGCCTTTAGGAGGTTGCTGGCTAATTGCTTTTTTTGTTGTTCCTGGTGCAGCTGCAAGCAGATGTTGAGGGCAAAACTGTGGTTTCTTAATGTCAAGTTAACTAACTGGACCTCAAAGGCTGGTGCATGATTGAAAATGGCAGGGAAAGGATCTTTGTATATTGCTCCTCACATACACTTCTGCACTGGGACTTTCTGCTCAACGGTTTACAGCAGGCTGTGATAATTGCTAAATGCCTTTCCTGTTTAAAATTGGCCTGCACAGCCCACCCCCGTGTTGCTATTAATTACAATAACAATAAACTACTGACATATGTCAAACATAAATGCTCTTCATTAGAGAATAGACACATTTTCCTATAGTTTTATCCCTCCATGTGGTATAAAGGTAAAGGTAAAGGGACCCCTGACCATTAGGTCCAGTCGTGGCCGACTCTGGGGTCGCAGCGCTCATCTCGCTTTATTGGCCGAGGGAGCCAGCGTACCACTTCCGGGTCATGTGGCCAGCATGACTAAGCCGCTTCTGGCGAACCAGAGCAGCGCACGGAAACACCGTTTACCTTCCCGCCGCTGTTTATCTACTTGCACTTTGACGTGCTTTCGAACTCCTAGGTTGGCAGGAGCAGTGACCGAGCAACGGGAGCTCACCCTGTCGCGGGGATTCGAACCGCCGACCTTCTGATCGGCAAGTCCTAGGCTCTGTGGTTTAACCCACAGCGCCACCCATGTCCCTTCCATGTGGTATAACCTGGTTTAAAAAATAAAATCAAACCAGATCCCCTGTAAGCTTAATACCAAGCTTTTATGCAGACATGGGTATGTGTGGAATAAACTTGCAACCTTCGGTGATTTAGTCTGGCCGTCCCCAAACTGGTGCCCTCCAGATATTTTGGATGACATTGCTGTTGGATCCCTGGCAATTGGTTATGCTGACTGAGCGAGCTGTTATGGTCCAACACATCTGAAGAGCAGAAAGGCAAACACTGGATGAATCGAGAAGGCAGTGAGGGGTCTTCAAACTTTTCAGGAAACAAGTTTCCACATCCCTTGGTGATTCTCTAGCTGTGAACATCTTGCAAGGGAGCTGGACTAAACATGACCTGCACCACACCTCTTTAAATCTGTCTGTCAAGTCTGAGCTATTCCAATGTTATTCAGAAATGCTGCTTTTGCTTTCGCCTGAGCTCTGCCTTGCCTGACTGAATGACAGGAGAAAAGGAAATCAGTTGATGAAATCATAATTGGATAATGATCATCTGGTGGGTTGTGGTTTTCCCCCCTCCTTTCTTTCTTGGTCCACCCACCACCCACTTTCTTGGGCCCTGAGGAGAAGGTGTAGCTTTCTCAGATGAGCAGACGCATCAGCTTGGGACACCTGGAGCATAATTGTTACTGAAGTGCATCTGCTAAGCTTGCTCGACTTCTTCTCTTTAGAGAAACACCCGCACTGTGGAATCGAGAAGAGAGGTGGTTAGGACAATTCGCCTTAGGCGCTGAGGGTTTGTGGGTTTCTTCGCTAACAAATTATGCTCTTGACAAAAGAGAGTTTGCAACCCGGCACCTCCAGGTGTTGGATGTGGGACCCTACGCAGCTTGCAAGTGGTGTGTTGTTGTTTGCCTAAGCCAGTACCACGCCAGGCCAGACCGAATCCAGCCCTCTGTTCGAGCGCATGGGCCTGGTGAAGAACCATGAATCGATCAAGACACATGGGCAAGATCCGGAGGAGGCTGGAGGACGTCAAAAACTGGTCCTTCCGGCTGGCGAAACTGGATTTCAGTCACAACGAAAGTGTCCGGCTGGCCACGGACGCCCTCTTAGATGGCGGTCTCCAGTCTTATCTCAAGGCCTTGGACGAAGAAGGAGAAGTGGACTTCTTGTCCACAGTGGAAGCTCAGTACATCAAGAGGAACGCGAGGGAGCCTTACTACGCCAGCGACACGCACCCAGATGGCGAAGCCGGGCCGAGGCAGAATAATGACACCAGGTCCCTCCAGTCAGGGACGTACTTCCCTCTGGTCTCAGAGAGCAGCGAACCGGCTCTTCTCCACACGTGGAGTGCGTCTGAGAAGCCCTACCTGAAGGAGAAGTCCAGCGCCACGGTGTATTTCCAGACGGATAAGAACAGCAATATCCGGGACCTCATCCGCCGCTGCATCAACAAGACCAGTCAGGTATGGCGGATGGGATTTGGGTGGGCAAATGGGCAAGCTTCAATATGCAGGCAGGCTAGGCCTGGAGAGGCAAGGCTCAAGGGCTGTGGTAGGTCAGGCAAGGAGACCCGGGTTCAAAGGTGCACTCAAGCTGTGAAGCTCACTAGGTGGCCTTGGGCCAGCCACAAACTCTAAGCCCAAGCTGGTTGTTGGGAAGATGATATGGAGAAAGGGAGAGCCATGTACGCAATCTCAGAGGAAAGGTGGGGTAGGAATGCAATAATAAAACATTAAATGAGCCAAACGAAATAATAATAAATAAGCCAGAAGCTGTGTCAGAGTCCAGAGCTATTGTATGGTTTCTGATGTGGTGAGAAGGATGGTAGATACTTCAGTCAGTAGAGCACAAGACTCTTAATCTCAGGCCTGTGGGTTTGAGCCCCATGCTGGGTGAAAGAATCCTGCATTGCAGGGGGTTGGACTAGATGACCCTCAGGGTCCCTTCCAACTCTACAATTTTTATAAGCACAACATGTCAGCAGCACAGTGGACATTGTACCCTCTGCAATGCCGCAGGTCATTTGGGATATTAACTTATGGTCTCTGTGTGTGGTTTGGGAGCTGCATGGTCAGGGAAAATACAATGCTGTCCAGGGTTGTAAAGACTGCGGAGAGAATAATTGGGTGCACTCTTCCCACCTTGGATCAAATCTAGGCTTCCAGGTCTCATAAGAAAGCTGCAGAGATAGTGCGCACCCTGGAAATGATCTCTTTCAGCTTCTGCCTTTTGGAAGAAGGTACAGTGTTATAAAGACTAGGACTAGCCACCTGAGAAACAGTTTCTATCCAAATGCGATTTTGGTTTTAAACGCAGTGTAAGGTAGTCTCTATGGCATAGCTGTCAACTTTTCCCTTTTCTTGCGAGGAATCCTATTTGGAATAAGGGAATTTCCCTTAAAAAAAGGGAAACGTTGACAGCTATGCTCTATGGGAGTACAGTGGTACCTCAGGTTAAGTACTTAATTCATTCCGGAGGTCCATACTTAACCTGAAACTGTTCTTAACCTGAAGCACCACTTTAGCTAATGGGGCCTTCTGCTGCTGCTGCGCCGCCGGAGCACGATTTCTGTTCTCATCCTGAAGCAAAGTGCTTAACCTGAAGCACTATTTCTGGGTTAACAGAGTCTGTAACCTGAAGCGTATGTAACCCGAAGCATATGTAACCCGAGGTACCACTGTATATTGTATTTAATTATGGGGTGTCAGAGTTTTTAGGGGGTTAACTAGGCTGGGATAGCTGGGATAGCCGGCGTGTTGGTTTTTGAATGTCTGATGTAGATTTTTCAATTTCGTTGTTCTCTATGGGACAGTGACAATAAAGATTATCGTATTGTATATAGGAAGAACCTTAAAATGAATCGTTGTCTTCTCTGATGGGCAGCAGCTCTCCAGGGTTTAAGGGAGGGGAAGGTCCCAGCTGCACCTAGAGATGTTGGGGATTGAATTTGGGACCTTCAGCTGCAAGGCAGATGTTCTACCTCTGAACTATGGTGTGCTCCGTTTGCATGGAAGCAGCGAAGTCCCCATCCTTCCTTGCTTAATATGTGGCTGGAGGGGACGGACGACGATAATCTTTGAGAAAACCTTGCTTTCAGATCTATGGTCATCTCCTCTTACATTTTAACCTGAATGAATACAGAGCTTCCTTTTGGCAGGGAAGGACCTGGTATTTGCCTTTTCAGGAGCTAGCTAGAAAGGCGGTGGGGAGAGCATTCTCTACAGCATTTTGCAAGGATTCCCGGGAGAAGGTTGTTTGCAAAGAATACGCATGATACCTTTGAAGCATACTTTGCAGGGCTGCTGGGAGGATGGCTAAGTTAAAGCTTGCTTTGAACGCTCAGCAAGTTCTGAATAAATACAGTGGTACCTTGGTTCTCAAATGCCTTGGTACTCAGACAACTTGGAACCCAAACACTGCAAACCCAGAAATAAGTGTTCTGGTTTGCGAACTTTTTCCGAAAGCCAAGCATGCTCTGTTTTGAGTGTTATGCTTCTGATCTGAGTACAGTGGTACCTTGGGTTAAGTATTTAATTCGTTCTGGAGGTCCGTATTTAATCTGAAACTGTTCTTAACATGAAGCACCACTTTAGCTAATGGGGCCTCCTGCTGCAGCCGCGCGATTTCTGTTCTCATCCTGAAGCAAAGTTCTTAACCTGAAGCACTATTCTGGGTTAGCGGAGTATGTAACCTGAAGCGTATGTAACCCGAGGTACCACTGTACCACACTTCCATTTTGAGTGTTGCCCTGAGATCTGTCTGTTTTTGCTTATTTATTTAATTTACGTTTCTGTTTTTGCGGCTCTTTTTTGTGTGAATGTGCAGAACCCGGTTCAGCTACTGATTGCTTGCTTGTGTGACAGCAGTACATTGCTCATTGCTTTCATTTTCTGTATCAATGGTCTTGTTAGATAGTAAAATTCATTTTGCATTACTTTCTATGGGAAAGCACGCCTTGGCTTTGGAAACGCTTTGGTTTTGGAACGGACTTCCGGAACGGATTAAGTTTGAGAACCAAAGTACCACTGTACTGCCACCGGTCTGCTTGGCAGGTACGATGTCCCCAGGTCTTCATAGTGTATTTCGGCTTGGCCTTCATCTGCCTCCCTCCCTTCCTCCTTCTGGACCCCATCCCAGGTACTGGCTATCCTGATGGATGTGTTCACTGACGCCGAGATATTCTGCGACGTCTTGGAAGCCGCAAACAAGCGGAGGGTGTTTGTCTACCTGCTGCTCGACCACAGCAACCTAAAGCTCTTCACCGAAATGTGCGACAAGCTCCATGTGGCTGAGGGTCACTTCAAGGTACTATTGCAGTCTCTTGCCCATCCTCCTCCCCAAGCCCCAACCAGCTTGAATCAAAACACAGCAATAGAAATGTTGTTTTGGTGCATGTGTGTTGTCTTGGCTTAGCTTGTTTTAAGTAAAGGAGTTGGGGGAAACCTCGTGCTTGTTATTTTCTGACGGCCACCAGCTTAGATGTCTTTAAAAGAAGAAGAGTTTGGATTTGATATCCCGCTTTATCACTACCCAAAGGAGTCTCAAAGCGCCTAACATTCTCCTTTCCCTTCCTCCCTCACAACAAACACTCTGTGAGGTGAGTGGGGCTGAGAGACTTCAGAGAAGTGTGACTGGCCCAAGGTCACCCAGCAGCTGCATGTGGAGGAGTGGGGAAGCGAACCCGGTTCACCAGATTACGAGTCTACAGCTCCTAACCACTACACCACACTGGCTCTCAGTGGACTTTTCCCCTCTAATTAATGGATAATCGGTGCAGGTCCACACCATGCTTTTAAAAGCACTTCGAACACATGTTTAAAGCCAAATAATCCTGGGAACCACAGTTTCCCCCTCACCGAACTGCAATTCCCAGCACCCTTAGCAAACTGCAGTTCCCAGGTTTCTCTGGGGGTTGCCATGTGCTGGCAAACATTTCTGACAGTAAGAGCTGTTTGACAGTCGAACGTACTCCCTCAGTAGGTTGTGGACTTCATTGGAGGTTTTTTGACGGAGTTTGGATGTCTACCTGTCGGGGATGCTTTGGTTGAGATTCCTGCATTGCAGGGGGTTGGACTAGATGATCCTTGAGGTCCCTTCCAATTCTACAATTCTATGTGCTTTAAAAGTGACGCGGGTGGTGCTGTGGGTTAAACCACAGAGCCTAGGGTTTGCCAATCAGACGGTCGACGGTTCGAATCCCCGTGACGGGGTGAGCTCCCGTTTCTCGGTCCCTGCTCCTGCCAACCTAGCAGTTCAAAAGCACGTCAAAATGCAAGTAGATAAATAGGTACCACTCCAGAGGGAAGGTAAACGGCATTTCCATGTGCTGCTCTGGTTCACCAGAAGCGGCTTAGTCATGCTGGCCACATGACCCGGAAGCTATACGCCGGCTCCCTCGGCCAATAAAGCGAGATGAGCGCTGCAACCCCAGAGTCGTCCGCAACTGGACCTAATGGTCAGGGGTCCCTTTACCTTTACCTTAGCTTATATTACAAACCCATCATATGTGTGCCGAAAGCCTGGGATAACCTGGCGTTTTGCTGCAGATCCCACTTGAAGGATAAAGCGTCAGGAGCTGGAATTTCACCTTCATACACCTGAAGGAACCTCAGATTTGTCGGGGAGATGGACGGTAGTGAGGTAGCAGAGGCAACTTGGAAAGCAACTTGGAAAATATCTGAGGGGCTCCACGTACTTTCATAATCCTCTGGCTGGAATGGGGCAGGTTTCTAGGGGAACTCAGTGCATCAGAATGCAAGTGGTATTATTTACAAGTATCTATACAAGAGCACAAATAAATAATGGAAAACAATTAATAACAGCTTCCAGAGAAACAGGCACACTAGTCCTTTCGTAGCAAAACCAACCCAGAATCTTGTGGCACCTTAACAATTTTTTTAAAAAAATGCATAAGTTTTTGTGGACTTTAGTCTGATTCGTGAGATGCACAGTAACCATCAATATTTATATGTCAACATTTTCCTCCAAGGAGCTGGTGGCTTTGCGTCATTTTAACCACGCAACAACCCTGTGTGGTAGATCAGGCCAAGAGATTGTTACTAACTTGTAGCATTTTTTATAACTTCCCAGAATATTTCCGTGAGGAGCGTCACAGGGGAGGTTTACTGCGCCAAATCGGGCCGAAAATTCTCTGGGCAAATCCAAGAAAAATTCATCATCTCAGACTGGAGATACGTTCTGTCTGGATCGTACAGGTAAGCTCAACTGCTACACCCATTCACCCCATTGCAAGAGGGTTGTTCTCACAGCTGTCTTCTGCGCTGAAGCTTGTAAGAAAGAATAACTTGACAGTTCATTTGCGCCGCTTGGCTGGTGAGAGGAACAATTTAAGCAGATGAGCAGCAGCAACTGCTGCCAGGTTACTACACCTCCCTTGCTGCTATATACATTTTTTTTTAAAAAATCTTCTATGTGACTATATCTGAAGCAAAAATATCTCTAATAAACATTAACTTACTAGGCTGCCAAATGCACAGGTTGGCCCGAGTGCTTCTGCGTATTTGGGTTGCCAACTTACTAAAATAATGTTTGAAGTTACAAGATGCATTTTAATCATGACGGGGACAACAGTTTTGAGTCCACTTCATGGGCAACCTTTCAGGAGAGCCCCCCCCCCCAAAAGCATATGCTGTATCAAACAAGTAGCCCCATCATATTCCTAAATGCATACTTGAAGCAACAGCACAGTTTAACATCATGTGTTGTTGTTTAGTCATTTAGTCGTGTCCGACTCTTCGTGACCCCATGGTCCAGAGCATGCCAGGCACTCCTGTCTCCCACTGCCTCCCGCAGTTTGGTCAAGCTCATGCTGGTAGCTTTGAGAACACTGTCCAACCATCTCATCCTCTGTCGTCCCCTTCTCCTTGTGCACTCCATCTTTCCCAACATCAGGGTCTTTTCTAGGGAGCCTTCTCTTCTCATGAGGTGGCCAAAGTATTGGAGCCTCAGCTTCAGGATCTGTCCTTCCAGTGAGCACTCAGGGCTGATTTCCTTCAGAATGGAGAGGTTTGATCTTCTTGCAGTCCATGGGACTCTCAAGAGTCTCCTCCAGCACCATAATTCAAAAGCATCAATTCTTCGGCGATCAGCCTTCTTTATGGTCCAGCTCTCACTTCCATACATCACTACTGGGAAAACCATAGCTTTAGCTATACGGACCTTTGTCGGCAAGAGGATGCCTCTGCTTTTTAAGATGCTGTTTAACATCATACAGTATTAAATTTGAACAGTTAACCCGGTGTTCCGACAGCCTTCATACAGGTGTCATTGTTTGTGCCTGAACTTTTGCAATCACTGCTCTTTTTGGGTAAAATAATAATGCAGTGCCAGTACTCATGAGAGAGGTACTGGTACTTTGTACCAGTGAGCACTGATAATAATAATAATAATAATAATAATAATAATAATAATAATAATAACAACAATCCCTGCTTGCAATCATAGGGGATTGAGGAATGTGATTTAGAGGTGTACTCTCTAAAACAAAGTCCCGCCTTATGCTGGTTCTTCTTTTCCCCATAAACCAACTTTAAACCAAACTATGCTAGCTTTGGGCTAGAAGAGATCTTCACACCCAATTAATTTTCTTACAAACACCCACAAATGCATCTGCCTCGTCATGACATTGATATGCGGCATTAAGCAATATCTGGCACACCTGCCTGTGTTTTAGCTATGCAAAGCTAAATTATGCAGAAACCTAAAATCTCCCCTCAAGCCCCCAAACGATGCATGTTGAAAAACAGCTGGTGACAGTAAGAAAACAAGCTGAAATCGGGATTTTCCTCCTTTGGTTAAGAATGGGCAGAGCCGGTTAGGGGATGGGAAGCAGGCAGGGAAAAACCCCTCAAGCTCTTGGGGATATTCCAGATCCCTTACAATTCTAGCCAGTTTTACTTGCAGAGGGGTAAAGAAAGCAACATTTATAAACCCATGCAAGCCATTTTTCCACCCAGTTGCTCAGCAAGAAGAAAACCTGGACACTTGGAACTTCTTTAGTCTAGTCAAAACACTTTTTCTTATATAGCTCAACTGGTAGAGCATGAGAATCTTGATCTCAGGGCCGTGGGTTTGAGCCCCGCCTTGGGCAAAAGATTCCTGCATTTCAGGGGGTTGGACTAGATGAACCTCGTGGTCCCTCCCAAATCTACGAGTCTATGACTGGACCGCTTTCCTACAGGCATCTGGTTGGCCACGGTGAAAGTAGAATGCTGAACTAGATGGGCTTACGTTCTTAAGTCCACATCAGTCCCTTGAGTTATGTGTAGAAGAGGCTATGTGTTGGTGCGGACCTTTAAAGTGTTGGTAAGGTAAAGGGACCCCTGACCATTAGGTCCAGTCATGACCGATTCTGGGGTTGCGCCGCTCATCTCGCTTTATTGGCCGAGGGAGCCGGCGTACAGCGTTTGTGTCATGTGGCCAGCATGACTAAGTTGCTTCTGGCGAACCAGAGCAGCGCACGGAAATGCCGTTTATCTTCCCGCCAGAGCAGTACCTGTTTATCTACTTGCACTTTGACGTGCTTTCGAACTGCTAGGTTGGCAGGAGCAGAGACTGAGCAACAGGAGCTCACCCCGTCGTAGGGATTCGAACCGCCGACTTTCTGATTGGCAAGCCCTAGTCTCTGTGGTTTAACCCACAGTGCCACCCGCGTCCCTAAAGTGTTGGTATTGACCTGTAAAACCCTAAATGACAACGGCCCAGTATACCTGAAGGAGCTTCTCCACCTCCATCATTGTGCCTAGACACCGAGGTCCAGCTCCGAGGGCCTTCTGGCTGTTCCCTCACTGCGAGAAGTGAGGTTACAGGGAACCTGACAGAGGGCCTTATCGGTAGTGGCGCCGGTCCTGTGGAACGCCCTTCCATCAAATGTCAAGGAATAAACAACTACAGTGGTACCTCTGGCTGCGAATGGGACCCGTTCTGGAGGCCCGTTCACAATATGAAAAGAACGCAACCCGTAGCGGCACATCTGCACATGCGCGGGTTGCCATTCACCACTTTTTGCGCTTCTGTGCATGTACGAGTGGCAAAACCTGGAAGTAACCCTTTCTGGTACTTCCGGGACGCCGCGGGACGTAACCTGAAAGAATGTAACATGAAACGGACGTAACAAGAGGTATGACTGTATCTGACTTTTAGAAGACATCTGAAGGCAGCCCTGTTTAGGGAAGTTTTTAATGTTTGATGTTTTATCATGTTTTTAATATTCTGTTGGGAGCTGCCCAGAGTGACTGGGGAAACCCAGCCAGATGAGCGGGGTATAAATAATAATAATTATTATTACTATGCCTTTCCAAGTTGTTAACCTGGATATTTTCCCCATCTTTTCCCCACTTTGCACCCAACCACCCACCTCCTCTTGCCTCCCAGCTTCACGTGGTTGTGCGGCCAAGTCCACCGCAACTTCCTCTCCAAGTTCACGGGCCAAGTGGTGGAGCTGTTCGACGAGGAGTTCCGGCACCTCTATGCCTTATCCAAGCCTGTGGCTGGGTTGAGACCTCCGTCGCACACGTCCCTCTTCCTGCTCAACAAGAGCACGGCAGCCACCCAAGGCAGCCTCACCAACAGCAGCAACCAGGGCAGCCTCCGCACCCCGTCTGACCCCTTCAGCTGCCCGTCGAACCACAGCGGCTCGCGAAGCAGGCAACCTCCCAAGGCTCCTGTCCGCAGCAGCCACCCGGCGTCACCGTCGCCTCTCAGCAGGGTCCATTCTTTCCACGGTTACACCACCTACATGAACCCGCAGCCAAACGGCATCCAGGTCAACTACTACCACCGGCAATACATCAGCGACTCGCCGGCGGTCCTTTACAACAAAGTCAACATCTACAGGCCTATGAGGATGAGGCAAGAGGATGTCAAAAGGGCACAGATGAACCCAGTCTGGAGGTGCCTTCACAATGCCAAGCTGATTGGATGACTTGACTGGGGCCAGGGCTTTGCTGTCCTTGTGGGATTGTTTAGGGAAGTTGGGGAGGATATATTGTCTAAGATATCCTATCCCAACTTGTCTTTACAAGTTCAACAAAATCAGCAGAGTTAACATTCCCCTTTTTTTAAACACACGCACAGCAGATAGCTTGCTCAGACTCGTTAGAGTCTCTGTAAATATTTCCTGGTATTTTCCCCGTTTAATCCCTCCTAAAATAAGACGCTACACAGTCTTCGGTAAAGTATAAAACGTTTACTCAAAAGTAATCATCTGTTCACACAAAGGTTCCCATCACAGAAGGCAGACTTAAAAGGTTAGAACATAGTTTAAATGTGGTGACTATCTCCTTATGGGAGAAAGCTCCCCCTTTCTTCTCTTGAACTGGAGCTAAGGGTGCATCTTAGTAGTGCTGTTGTTAAGATGGCATTGATAGAGACAAGATGGTCGCCAGCCTGTGGTTCTGGTTCTTTCTACTTCAGGAGAGGCCACGCCCATCTCAAATTACACATAGGAAGTTTCATGTCAGTCCTGGAAAGCAGGAAGATCCAGCTGGAGGACTGAGACAACCTTCATGTCTACTCTAGCAATGTTGTGTTTGACTGCACCTGATTTTTACATTCCACAGTCTTTTCATCGCGATGAGCGTGACTGGTTTGAGTACGGCGAAACAGTAGCCCGAAATTGTGACCCGGTTGCTCTTTCCGCAGGTTGAGAACCTCAGTTGTCTTTTTTTCCTTTAAGGTGAAAAGTGACAATCTCCAGGGTGGCTAAGCACCATGAGAAATACATTAGATGCAATGCTGTGATGGATAAAAATAATCCTAAAACTATACAGTGGTACCTTGGTTCTCAAACGTCTCCGTTGACGAATGTTTCGGAACCCGAACACTGAAAACCCGAAAGTAAATGCTTCTGTTTTTGAATGTGCCTCAGAAGTCAAACGACTTCCGCCGCATGTTTTTCAATTTTCTCAACTGAATTTGTAGACAGCCCTTTGCGCCTCAATTTCCGAACTCAAATGGTCTTCCAGAATGGATTACGTTTGAGAACCGAGGTACCACTTTAGTAGAAAGCTGATCAGGAAGAGTATGCAGTTCATGATTTTGAGGAGTCTGTGAAACCAAACGCTGAGTTCAGTTAGATGTAAACAGACTCCATATTCGTCAGTGGAGAATGAAATGCACCCTAAGAAAAAACCCAGAGCAGACCTTGTTCTTGCCAAACCCCGAAGATCAGTGTACAGGTCGAATTCATGTACACACAAACAAGTCCGTGCATGTGTGTGTGAGAAAGAATACAAGACCTTAAGATTGCATTTGAAAATAATCTTGAAGTCTGAAGTTTGTATCAAAGTTATATTCAGAGCGGAGCTATTTAAAATTAACGGATCCAAGTTTGTTGTGCCCACCACTTTCAATGGGTCTACTCTGAGTAGGACTAACACTGGGTGCAAATCACGGAGAACACATGAAATCTTAAAACTGCTCATGGACTGTACCACTTCAGATCAATGATGAGAGAATCAAATGAACGAATGCTCCTCAGTTTAAATTTTTATAATTAAAAATCCGTCTTTATAAACCAGTTGCCAGGGAGGAGTTCTAAACCTAGTCCTCTCCTGAATGTGTTAGCTTTGTAAAGGCCCCAGCCACCCCCAGCTCTGGTTACCCAGAGAAACATTTCAGAACCTCTTTGGACATCTGTGTGAACTAGGCCAGATCACTGTAAATACAATCAGATGCCTTTTTATTCAGAAGTCCTACACCTGGGTAAATATGCTTAGGGTTGCAGGATTAAGACTTCTTTACACAAAACCTAGGCTGAAGACGGTGCATTTTCTGCCCCTACGTATTCATCTATTCTGGGGGCTAGAGAAAAACATTGGGGAGGGGAAGCAGAGAGAACCTTGTTGCATTTCTAAGTGATGCTAATTTAGGCAAAACACCCACTCGCAAGATCTTTTTTCACCCACTCAAAAACCTGCAATCCCTGGTGCCGTATCCTTCTAGGTCGCTGGGGCTACGTATCCATGGCCTCTTCCTCATGTATACTGCTTTCATGTATATCTGCTCATTTGTACTTCGTGTTTCAGCATATGCAAAATTAAAAAACCTTGCAGGAAACATTTCCGCCCAGCAAGCTGGAAATTTTTGCTCAGATGGAACATTCGGCATTGAATTCCACCCTATATATGTTGTCGGCACCTGTCTGTCTTGAGAGATAATCGAGTGCACCTCCGGGGGTGAGGTCAAACTGCCGTATTAGCAGCCCTGAAGTGACCCCCTGGGGCGCAAGCCTGGGCATGTGTGTGTATCAAGGTCCTGGGCTGCCCAGACAACAAGACCCCCCTCTCCTTCTTGCTGATGTGGTCCAAAGATGTCTGGCACCAGCTTGGCTGCAGGAGTGGGAAGGCATACACGGTGCCATCCAACCATCTTAAGCAGGGGTCAGCAACTTAAGGGCCATGGGAGGTTGTTTGACTGGCCCACAAGCCGCCCCCAAACCGAGCTGCCCGCTCGTGCGCTGTGCTAAACCGGCGCAGCGCAGCGACTTGCTTCCGCGACGCCAGAAATCGTGTCTGCGCCTGCACAGACGCCAGAAATCGCAGGAGCACACACAATCCGGCCCATGGAGGGATCTCTGCAGGACCGATCCGGCCCAGGGAAGATAAACCTTGCTGACCCCTGGTCTTAAGAGACTCCATTCCGGATTTGTGTAGGGTTTAATTCTTAGCCGTTTCTTCTCCCAAATATATCCCACAAAGGCAGCGGAGGTTTAGGATCAGAGTTTTCTTTCTCCTAAATGGGCTCCTTTTCCAGGTTGACAAGCCCCAGCTGCCCCACACTTCCCTCTGCATTTATGTAATAACAATAGAAAATCATTAAAAACAGTGTCCACTAGCTGATAGGGAAACATTTTGGAAGGCAGCCTTTTGAGCCGCAGCCCTCAACCCGCCTGTTTTTACACTTCAGCTACACCCATGTTGGCACATGGCCCTGCACCTACCCTGAAAAAAAAGTGAGCCGCCCCCATTATTTTATTAGTATTATTTATTAAATTTGTATACCGCCCCTATACCTGTAGATCTCAGGGTGGTTAGGACATAAAATCACAATATAAAAACACAAAATACATAATAAAAACAAAAACAACCCAATAATCCCCTTTTCCACAACACATTTAAAAGGGCATTAGATGTCAATCAGCCAAAAGCCTGGTTAAAGAGGAACGTTTTTGCCCGATGCCTAATATATGAAAAGTTGTGATGTAGAATGTCAAGGTAACTGGATCTCCCCGTCACCTGTTACCTGACTGTTTAGCTGGAAAATAGGAGGGACTGAACTATTAACTATCTGGAATGTGGACTATTCTGAGGTGGGAAGCATAATACCGTATTGGCCCAGATATAAGATGCACCTGAATATAAGCCGCACCTTTAAAATTGGGGAGAGAGAAATTAACAGAATATAAGCCACTCACTTTCCTTGCTCTCTCCCTTCCCAGCCTTGGGGGAGAGGACAGGGGATTACGCATGGGGAGGGCACCACTTTGCTGTGCTCTTGGCTACTTACCATAAGGTTGCAAATATAAACCGCACCTTAATTTTTCATGATCAGAATTTGGGGAGAAAGTGAGGCTTATATTCAGGCCAATACGGTAGATGTTGTTTTTCCCCTGCTCTGATCTGGGGAATGACATGAAGCTGCTCACAAGAAGTTATACTTACAGAGAACCAACCTCTAAGAAGAGGATCGTAGCACATGCAAGAGACAAATGGGAGACATGCCCCTGTTCAAGATCCCCCAGGGTTACTTTCCCACATGGACATCCCTTTTGCAAATGGGCAGGGAAGTTTGTCAAACCTTATTTGAGGCCCGTGCTGCTCTGCTATCGTTTCACGAAGCAGATCCATGCACTGGGAGACACAAAAGTGAATGGGTCATGAACCAGCAGCATGGGAAATGGCTTGCTATGTTAGAATTCCTGCTCCATGATTGCAGTCATGGGATTGTTGTCTATCACATGACGGTGTATGTTTTGACTCCACAAAGTGGGAAGTGACGGAGACAGGATGTTTGTGTCACTGTGTTCCATGAAGTGGGACTATTGTCCTTTGTTCTTTTCTCTCTTTGCTGTCTGATGCTAGAGAGAGAGGGAGCCATGTTGCAGTGCTCCATGTGTGTTTATATGTAAATAAAGTAGATTAGCCAAAATGCTGAGTTGCTGAGGTCTGTCACGCAAGCTGTGCAAACTCTGCGGATCCCTAAGTGTGCTGATGTCTGTTGGCATCACTCGCTGTGGTGTTCGGGCTGAAGAAAGCTTATGAAGCTCCCGAACGAAAGACCAGGAGGGAGAGAACATGCCAGTCGGGCAAGTGTAGGCTGAACTCCTGACATGCCATTCATCAATCGCCTTGCCAAAAACAAGTTCATAACCTTCCCCATGCTGGCCAAGCCACTCTCATGTAACATTGAAGAGGGCAACCATCCCAGGCTCAGACAGATGGAATCAGTTTCAGAAGTGGAATTCTTCTCTGGCCAGCACAATCCTCTAGGCCAGGGGTCTGCAACCTTTAAGACAAAAAGAGCCACTTGGACCCGTTTCCGAAGAAAAAAAACTGGGAGCCGCAAAACCACTGCAACATTTAAAACAAATATATCTCCGGAGCCGCGATCTGACAGCGGGCGGGAAGGTGACGTCGGGACGGTGCGTGACTAACGCACGCACCGCCCCCATGCGACGTCACAGCCAGTACAGCGCCCGCCACAGTGGGGAGTGTCGGGGCGCACAATGCACCTCCTCCCCTCGCTAGTATCCGCCCCGGAGCCGTGGCAAAGGTGTAAAAGAGCCACATGCGGCTCCGGAGCCGCGGGTTGCAGACCCCTGCTCTAGGCACTTACATACAAATCATCTTGATAACCAGGAAAAACCAAAAATGCATCCAAGAATCTCTGTGCAGGCACGCTGTGCTATGTGTGACAGTCCAAGTGTGGCAACTGGTCTCTGAGCTTCTGAAACCACTTCCTTTCAAATTCCACGGCAGTCACAGTCATCATGGATGCCAAGGTTGAAGCACCTAAGCATTTCACCTCTCCCTGAGCATCCTCCTTGAGCTTTTCTGGGACAAGGTCCTCTCCCATGACCTGCAGGGAAGGGGGGAAAAGGCGGGGTACATTAGCATGTAAGAAGAACCTGCTAGATCAGGCCAATGGTCCATCTAGTCCAGCATCTTGTCTTCACAGTGGACAACTAGGTGTCCGTCAGAAACCTGCAAGCAGGACCTGAACACAAGAGCGCCCTCCCTTCCTGTGGTTTCCAGCAACTGGTATTCAGAAGGAAATGTGGCCCTCAGGCTGAAAAGGGGAAACCCAGCCAGATGGGTGGGTTATAAATAATAAATAATAATTATTATTATTCTATACATTCAGAGTGGCTTCTGACATTTTCTGGCAGGGGTGGGGAACCTGTGGCTCTCCAGATCTTGTTAGATCTTGAAGTCCTATCCGTTCCAGCTACCATGGCCAACGATCAGGGGTTATAGAGGCTGCAGTCTAGCCATAGCTGGAGGGCCACAGGTTGCCTAACCTGGCACAGAACTTCCACTCACCTCAGTCATCAAAAACAAGGCGTCGCCTTTCACGCCGAAGGATGTGATTTTGTCTTCAATTTCCTGCTGAGCCTTCAAGTTACGCTCTAACGCAAAGGAAGACTGATTCGACTGCATGAGCTGCAGCAAGAGCCTGGAGGAAAAGGAAAACTAAAGCTGAGTGAACACAGCGGAGTCGTAAGAGTTTTGACAGCCAAAATGAATACGTGACAACGTTGTTGAATTTAAAGATTTCACAGGATGAGTTCCCAATACGGGAAGTTTGAGTGTTTTGCAGCGGAGCTATTTCTTTACAAATGTCCAAGTTGAAAAGAGTGTTAAAGAAAAGGTTCAAATGTAACACCCAAACACGGTTTAACACAATATCAAAACCATAAAAGAAAGATAAAAGATTTCCAGGGTCATGTCTCTTTCACCCCTAAGATAGCAATATGGATGATTTCTCCTGTGAACAATGTAGAAACCTGGACCAAAATTTATCAGCCAGGGTCATATGTATCCCAGTATCATAAGGTGCTCTTGCTAATACTACATGATTTTGAGCCAGTTGAGGCTTTGATTTTTTTTTTTTAACTAATCACGTAAACCTTGTGTCTGTTGCAGAAGAAGTCAAGAGATGGCTTCACTCAACATCAACTTTTTTAAAAAGTAGGTAACCTTTAGAAATCTTTCAGCTGATTGCAGTGCCCCTCTTGGTTTCAAGCGTAGCTTGTTTCTAGGGTGTGCGATTTCCAGTGTGTATTTTAATAGGTTTTAGTTTCTAGTCTGACGTGTTTTCCTTTTATTGTGAGCCACCCTGAGCAATCTTCTGTTGGGAAGGTGGGATATAAATATTATTAATAAATATATGTCAAGAGGAGAACTGTATGTATTCTGCTAGAATGGGAAACAAAAGACGAGGAGGTCAAATCAGTCAAGATCAAATGGGCACAAGATATAGGACATAATATACAATTTGAGGACTGGGAAAAACTGTGGAAGGTAGGTCTGAAATTTACAGAATGTTCTTTTTTGAAAGAAAATTACATGAAAATGATGTACAGATGGTATACTACACCAGTACAAATAGCAAAAATGTACAAAACCGGGTCAAACACATGTTGGAAATGTAAAGAAAAAGAAGGTACTTTTTATCATATGTGATGGGAATGTAGAGAAGTTAACAATTTTTGGGAAATGATACATAACAAACTGGAAAAAATGTTTAAAATGACTTTTGTAAAAAAAAACCAGAAGTATTTCTATTAGGGATTGTAAGACAAGACCTGCCAAAAAAAACAAAGAACTTACTTATAACATGCAGAGAATAATATGTGCAAAGAAACCAGAGAGGGGAGCTGAGGGAAGTCCTGGGTGGGGCGGAGCGGGAGGGGGGGAAAGGGGAAAAAAATAATGTAACTGATTATTTGGATTGATAATTTGTATGTTGAAATTGTCTAATTTTATTTTTTTTTAAAAAAAGAGGAGAACTGTATGGAATATTTTGTACACACACAGTGATAATTTTATAGACAGTGTTGCACATTACCTTGCTCTGATGAAGGAAGCACATGCATATATCCAAAGATCTTTAGACCCTTCTTGTCCCGAGGAATCAGGTACAGCCGCCTTGGTCGCATGCAAAAGTGCCTTCGTCCTTCCCAAGGCACCAAAATGCCCCTTTTCTGTTTGGCGTTCCTCACAAGATCCAAAGCTGTTGTTTGTCCAGGGAGAAAACTGCAAAGAGGAACCCTTCCTCGAGCTGTCTTTTTGGCAGCACTGGGATCTGCATTCCTCTGCCGAAGCTTTGAGACAGTTGCCTGCAGTCAAGCGATCGGGTTGCAAGAGATCCGCCTCCGACAGAGACAATGGGGCTGGAAACTCCAAGAGTTTCGCATAAGCTTCAGCAAGCAGCTTCCAGTTCCCTGGGTGAAAGGGGTGCAACAAAATCAGCGGCTGTAAGCACCCAATTATTTCCTCGACACGCTCCAGAGTCTGGTAAATGGCCAGCTGCAGCCCTAGTACTGTTGTTATGTGGTCAGTGTTTGTTGCTCCTAGTCTCTGGCAAGAAAGAAAAGAAATTCGAGGATTAAAAGGATGCAGTACAGTGGTGCCTCGCAAGACGAAAAGAATCCGTTCTGTGAGTCTCTTCGTCTAGCGGTTTTTTCGTCTTGCGAAGCAAGCCCATTGACGGATTAGCGGATTAGCGCTATTAGCGGCTTATCGGCTTAGCGGATAAGCGGATAAGCGGCTTAGAAAAAGGGGGGGGAAAGGGAAAAAACCCCGCAGGAACTCGCAAGACATTTTCGTCTTGCGAAGCAAGCCCATAGGAGATTTGTTTTGCGAAGCACCTCCAAAACGGAAAACTCTTTCGTCTAGCGAGTTTTCCGTCTTGCGAGGCATTCGTCTTGCGGGGCACCACTGTATTGACTTTTTTTATTAGAATCTGGAAAGGTGGGGGGACACATTTTCTTGAATAAAGAAGTACGCACTCAGACGGCTTAAAAATATTATCCAAATTTAACAGGGCAAGAAGAAGCAACAGAGCTAACACCATGGCCATGATAGCACATAACGAAAAGCCAAAATTACTGCCTGAACAAGCTATTAGCTCACAGTGCCTCCTATTTCACTTGTTGCCTGGCAGAAGCATGGAAAGTGGAGACCTTAGGGTTATGTCCAAACCCAGCAAAGGCAAGATTTTGGCTTTTCTTTGCCTGAACAAACCATACCTGCGAACCAGCCTGAAACAATGGTTTGTAGTTGGCTTACCAATTGTGATTTGTTAGGGAGAAACGAACCACAACCCAAGCTTTGGGCACTGATGCTCAGCTATCCCTTTTCAGGCTTGTTTACCCATCTCCGCCGGGGAGAGCGAAGTGGGATTGATCAAGGTAGAGATACCAGCACACAGCATACTGTTACATACAGATGTGGCCTTAAAGGTAAAGGGACCGCTGACCATTAGGTCCAGTCGTGACCGACTCTGGGGTTGCAGCGCTCATCTCGCTTTACTGGCCAAGGGAGTCGGCATACAGCTTCCGGGTCATGTGGCCAGCATGACTGAGCCACTTCTGGTGAACCAGAGCAGCGCACGGAAACGCCATTTACCTTCCCACCGGAGCGGTACCTATTTATCTTTTGAACTGCTAGGTTGGGAGGAGCAGGGACCGAGGAGTGGGAGCTCACCCTGTCGCGGGGATTCGAACCGCCGACCTTCTGATTGGCAAGTCCTAGGTTCTGTGGTTTAACCCACAGCGCCACCTGCATCCCGATGTGGCCTTAGAAACCAGCTAAACCATCTTAAAACTGTTCCAGAGGACAGGTGCTATGCCCCATGTGTTAGGCACATGGAGCATGTGGTTTCCTCTACATGCCCACAAACATATATGGCATAGCACCAGTGGAAACACTTCTGGAGAAACAATGGGTGGGGAATAATGGCATTCTTCTGCAAACTAAGTGACAGTCATGAAACTCAGTAAAGGACCTTGGGCTATAGGAACTTAAGAGCCGCAGGATCAGGCCAGTGGCCCACCCAGTCCAGTATCCTGCTCTCACAGTGGTCAAGCAGATGCTGGTGGGAAACCAGCAAGCAGGATTCGAGCCCAAGAGAACTCATCATCATCATCATTGTCATCATCATCATCACTTTTAATCTGTTGTCTTTCTATCTTACAATACCCAAGGTGGTTTACAAGCTAAAGAAACAAAGAATATATACCTTATAACAATCTAATGCAATACAAAAATATGATAAGACATAACTTTAAAATAAGCAACCTGTCAGTATGCCTTTCAACCGATGTCAGTGACTGGGCTCAATAAATGGTTCTGCCCCGACTGGGCTAGGCGACTAGAGAACTTTCAGAGGCCTTCCAATTCTGGAAAACAGGTGCCAGTGCACTGGACCCACAAATGTGCATTGTGAGCACCAGACTCACGTAGAGTATAAATAAAGCGGAAGCTAGCTGTGAAGCATAATTCCTTTTATTTCTACAAACTAACGAACTACTGGCTTGCATGAGTGTTACAGCCCATTCAACAATCATTAGAATAATATAGAATAATATTAAATATCAGCATATAAAAATTAAACAGAAATCTACTCGTAACAATTACAATAAATAATTTCTAAATGACAACAACGGCAAGCCACGGTGCATAAACTATTACAATACAAATTGAGAAGCAGAGACTGGAGGGTGGGGCAAGGCAGATGGAAGAAGGCCTTGCCTGATGAAGTCTCTCCCCTCACTCTCCCCCTCCTGTGGTTTTCAGCAACACTGCTGCCTCCAGCTGTGGAGGCAAGAGCACAGCCATCATGGCTAGTAGCCACTGATAGCTTTTACCTCCATGAATGTGTCCAATCCTCTTTTAAAGCCACCCAGGTTAGTGGCCATAACTGTTAGAATTCCTGCTCCATGATTGCAGTCATGGGACTTTTGTCTATCACATGACGGTGTATGTTTTGACTCCACAGAGTGGGAAGTGACGGAGACAGGATGTTTGTGTTACCGTGTTCCGTGAAGTGGGACTATTGTCCTTGGTTCTTTTTCTCTTTGCTGTCTGATGCTAGAGAGAGAGGGAGCCATGTTGCAGTACTCCGTGTGTGTTTATATGTAAATAAAGTAGATTAGCCAAAATGCTGAGTTGCTGAGGTCTGTTACGCATGATGTGCAAACTCTGCGGATCCCTAAGTGTGCTGGTGTCGGTTGGCATCGGTCGCTGTGATGTTCAGGCTGAAGAAAGCTTATGAAGCTCCCGAACGATCGACCAGGAGGGAGAGAACATGCCAGTCGGGCATGTGTCTCTGCTAGGGTCCTACTCGAGTGTAGGCTGAACTCCTGACAACTGCCTCTTGTGGGAGTGAGTTCCAGAGTTTAATTATGCCCTGCATGAAGAAGTACTTTCTTCAGTTTGCCCTGCACCTTCCAATATTCAGCTTCATTGGGCGTCCACAAGTTGTGGTGTTATGAGAGAGGGAGAAAAGCTGTTTTCTATACACTTTCCTCCATGCTATGCATAAATGTCTCACCTTTTCTCTAGGCTAAAAAGTTCCAAATGCTGCAACCTTTCCTCACAGTGAAGTCACTCCTTTTTGAGGTAAGATGACTAGCACTGTACACAGTATTCCAAACACAGTCACACCACAGCATTACGATATTGGTAATCATATTTTCAGTTCCTTTCCTAATGATCCCCCAACAAGGATTTTGCCTTTTTCACACACTGGGCCGATGTCTTCATTGAACTGGCACTCCCCTAATGAGTACATGCCATAAATCTGAAGCAGATTATTACCCCCAAAGAATACCAGGAAGTGTAGTTTACCCCTCAGAGAGCTACAACCTCCAAGCTACACTTCCCACAATTCTTTCAGGGAAGTCATGAGCTTTAAATACATTGTGTGTATACTGCCTCAGTCTCCCTCGCAGCCTAACCTACCTCACAGGGTCGCTGTGATGATGAAAGCAGGGAGAGGGATAACAAGGTAGACCACCTTGAGCTCATTGGAGGAAAGATGGAATAGAATATATAATAATTTATAATTTATACCCTGCCCATCTGGCTGGGTTTCCCCAGCCACTCTGGGCAGCTTCCAACAAAATATTAAAATACAATAGTCTATTAAACATTAAAAGCTTCCCTAAACAGGGCTGCCTTCAGATGTCTTCTAAAAGTATGGTAGTTGTTTATTTCCTTAACATCTGGTGGGAGGGTGTTCCACAGGGCAGGTGCCACTACCAAGAAGGCCCTCTGCCTGGTTCCCTGTAACTTGGCTTCTCGCAGGGAGGATGGACCTCAGTGTCCGGGCAGAACGATGGGGGTGGAGACAATCCTTCAGGTATACTGGGCTGAGGCCGTTTAGGGCTATAAAGGTCAACACCAACACCTTGAATTGTGCTCGGAAACGTACTGGGAGCCAATGTAGGTATTTCAAGACCGGTGTTATGTGCAACAATAAAAAAAAAGAGGGGGGAAATGGGGAAACTACCAACCAGTGTTTCTGCGATCTCCAAGGCTTCCTTGTGTCTCCCCAGGTGAGCAAAGCAACGAGCCTGGCTCTCCTGCACATCTCTCCGCATGGCAGCGTTGCTGGGAGGCAGCAGCACGAGGCAGCCGGAATATTCACACAGAGCCTTCTGAAACGAGATTTTGCAAATACCGAGCTTGAACTTAGTGCGACTCAGGAAGACTGAGTGGCCTGAGATCTGTGCGCAATCATTAGGCATAAAGCAAGATCAAGGCCCAAGCTCTAGGGTAAGAAATACAACTTCAAAACCAGCCTTGAATATATGTGTTCCTCCTCGCACCTTCCATGTGCACCGACCATAATTAAACACAGTTAACCAGGTTTCAGGTGGCGCTGTGGGTTAAACCACAGGGCCTAGGACTTGCCGATCAGAAGGTCGGTGGTTTGAATCCCCACAAAGGGGTGAGCTCCCGTTGCTCAGTCCCTGCTCCTGCCAGCCTAGCAGTTCGAAAGCACGTCAAAGTGCAAGTAGATAAATAGGTACCGCTCCGGCGGGAAGGTAAATGGTGTTTCTGTGCGCTGCTCTGGTTCGCCATGCTGGCCACATGACCCAGAAGCTGTATGTCGGCTCCCTCGGCTGATAAAGCGAGATGAGCACCGCAACCCCAGAGTCAGTCACGACTGGACCTAACGGTCAGGGGTCCCTTTACCCTTTACCTTTAAGACTTGCGGGTTAGACAGAAAAGTGTGGAGTGTGGCATTTGGCCTCTGAGGTTCCTTGTTTAAATTCTAAAGTGTGCAGTCCTATACACCCTTACTTAGGTGCAGGTCCCACTGATGCGCACAGGATGTTGCTGTAGCACCAGGCTAGCACCCAGCAGGCATTCTGACATCTCCCTGTCACCTTGCCCTTTACCAAATTCCTAAGACCAATTGCAGTAACACCAAAATATAAAAATGAAAGTGGGCAAGATGCAAAATTTAAACGTACAATTAAAAAAAATCAAAGAAAAAACAGTGAGGGGAACCCTCTGATTTGAGTCATTATTTATTTAATTTTTCGTTCAAAAAAATGTCATCGGGATAAACAATATAAGCATGCTCTCATGTGCAAGATTCTATCATGTGCCTGAAAGATACACATTCAAATAATAGTATCCAGAATACCTTAAATTCTCGCTGCTTGTATGCCAAATCTCCTCTGAATTTTTTAATGTTGACACATTCGGCATCATCATCCCAGTCTGTTTCCTCACAAAACCACTGAGGGAGGAAAAGGGGAGAAAATCAGTTGTGTTGCTTGGGTTACCAATCGATTCCATAAATATCAATTGATTCTTGCATGCTGGATACACCCATCCATCAGACTGACAAAGCAGGCTCTTAGTTATGAAAACTCATGCCAAAAGAATAAACTGCCTACATTTTCAAAGTGGGGATTGGGAGACTGTGGTCTTCATTCCCATCAACTCCAGCCAGCAATAATCTGGTGAGCCACAGGTTCCACCATTCCTGCTGCAAAGAATTACAAGACTCTGATTTTACTCCCCCGCCCCCCACAACAGGCATACAAGGCTCTTTAAACAATTAGGAAGAGTCGAACGTTTTGCAAGAACTTTCTGAAGGTAAGAGCCGTTTGATGGACTGTTAGACTCTCCTTCATTTTTAAACAGAGTCATCTCTTGGGAATTCTTTGGCTACAATTCCTGCATTGCAGGGGGTTGGACTAGATAACTCTTGGGGGTCCCTTTACAATTTTGTGATACTGAGTTCCCCTCTACCTCATAAATCAGCCTTCCCCAACCTGGTCCTCTCCAGATAGGATTGCCACCTGTCCTGTATAATACAGCATTGTCCAGTATTTCAATGTAAAATGCTATGTCCTGTATTGATACAGTTTTGTCCTGTATTTCAGGTCGTCTTTTTCTCTCTCATTCTCTCTCTCGCTCTTCCTACCCCCCCCCCCCAAAAAAAGTTTGGGATCCTTTCCACATGCATATGTTTGAAAGGATGTGTGAAAGATCACATACTTAAGCTCTGGGTAGCCACAGGCAGGTTTACAAATTTGTGTGTGCATGTGACAAATTCCAGAGGGGACATCCTGTTAGGCTGCAATAAGTTGTAATGGATTGCTTTGAAGTCCCTTTGTTTTTAATATTTTGTTGGGAGCCGCCCAGAGTGGCTGGGGCAACCAGTCAGATGGGTAGCATAGTAATAATATTTACAATAATGATAATAATAAAATTTCAATAATAATAACAATAATAATAATAGCAATAATAATAATAATAATAATAATAATAGCAATAATAATAATAATAATAATAGCAATAATAATAACAATAATAATAATAATAGCAATAATAATAATAATAATAATGTAATATTAATAATAAAATAAAATTTGAAAAACACCAAATGGGGGGAAAACCACCCCCCAACCGCCTTGCCCCACATTTTGCCAGAACAAAGGCTGCAATCTCCAGATGTTTTGGATGACAATTCCAACCAGCTTCAGTCTGTTGGGAGTTTCAGTCCAAAGCAGCTGGTGGACACCAGGTCAGGGAAGGCAGAAGCATGGACAGAACCTGCCCTGGGAGCTGCGTGGTTCGACCAACACCCATTTAAAGCCCATTTACAGCTTCCCCCAATGAATCCTGGGAAATGTATCTCTGTGGGGGAGGGGTTAAAAACTACACTTCCCAGGATTCTATGGGGCCTCCTCCCATCCCACGCCCAGCCTTTGCTCTCTCTCTCACCTCGGGCTCACAGCACCGGGGGCTGTAGCCGAGGGAAGGAGAGGCGGAGCCTCGTCCCTTCCCCTCCCGGCAGCGCCCCTCGAAGACCGACTCCTCGAAGTCGAAAGGCAGCGCCATGCCGCCTTGGGAAGAGAGGCGAGCGAGCGCGCCGGAAGCCCACGCTCCTAGAGAGGGTCCCGTTTCCGGATCACAGAGGACGCCGCTGCGCCGCAAACTAGACAGGCCTGAGTCACGGGGCGGGCTTACGGAGACAACTCATAGACTTGTAAATGAAGTAGAGCCGTACGCAAGGTGCAAGCTTCCGGGTCGGCTTGGGAAGGCATTCCTCGTCCACTGGCGCTTGGAACGCGGTGCGGGCAAACGGAGGCGCGGCTTGCGCAGCATCGATTGCACAGCATCTGTGACGCCCTCGCCGCACTTACACCCCACTCTCTTTTTAGTGTTTCAGCACGTCAAGTGCGGATGGAGGAAGCCGGCTTGCATGCAAAGCCAAACTCTGGATTTAGTCCTCGCTGCCATCTGGAGGGTGCTTTGCATCTCCTCCTCTGCTCTCTTGGGGTAGCCTCGACTTTCCTTGATATGGCCGGGCTGTTGTGAACTGTGGTCCACCCTAATCTGGAATATAGGGAGAAGAGCTTTAGGATAGCATTGTTTAGCAGTGGCCCATTTATTCCGGCATCCTGTTCACATCGGCTGACCAGATGCTTGTAGGAAGCAGGCTGCAAGCAGCGCATGAGTGCCAAACCACTCTGCTGTGGGGGTTTTTAAGATGTTTCGTACACTGCCCTGACCTTTTATGACACGAGGGTACAGAAATAGTTTTACAACTTCTTGTTGTTTAGTCATTTAGTCGTGTCCAACTCTTCGTGACCCCATGGACCAGAGCACACCAGGAACTCCTGTCTCCCACTGCCTCCCGCAGTTTGGTCAAACTCATGCTGGTAGCTTCGAGAACACTGTCCAGCCATCTCATCCTCTGTTGTCCCCTTCTCCTTGTGCCCTCCATCTTTCCCAACATCAGGGTCTTTTCCAGGGAGTCTTCTCTTCTCATGAGGTGGCCAAAATATTGGAGCCTCAGCTTCAGGATCTGTCCTTCCAGTGAGCACTCAGGGCTAATTTCCTTAAGAATGGATGTGTTTGATCTTCTTGCAGTCCATGGGACTCTCAAGAGTCTCCTCCAGCACCATGATTCAAAAGCATCAATTCTTCGGTGATCAGCCTTCTTTATGGTCCAGCTCTCACTTCCATACATCACTACTGGGAAAACTATAGCTTTAACTATACGGACCTTTGTTGGCAAGGTGATGGCTCTGCTTTTTAAGATGCTGTCTAGGTTTGTCATTGCTTTTTACAACTGATATATATTAAATTGAAATATTGAAATTGAAATACTTTATTGTCACTTGTTCAACTTGTATACAGTGAGATTACACGTGCACCCCCCCAGCTCTTTTAGTCTTAATTCCCCTCGTTTACTGACGCACACCCACCAAACCCGAAAGTCAGTTGCCCTGTTGTTATCTTTTCTTTCAGCAGCCTAACAGCCCACAGACAGAAGCTGTTCTTTACCCTGTTGGTGCAACTAATCATGCTTCTATATCTTCTGCCCGAGGGCAGGAGATCAAGAAAGTGCCGGCCAGGGTGTGAATCATCCCTGAGAATTTTCCTCACTCTCCTGAGGCAACATTCTTCCGCTATTTCATCCAGTGGATTCACAGGACAGCCCATAATATCTTGTGCTGTGTTCACCACCCTCTGTAGGCACTTCCTGTCAGTTGATGTCAAACCAGCCCAAGGTCACCCAGCAGCTGCATGTGGAGGAGCAGAGACGCAAACCCAGTTCACCAGATTACGAGTCTACCACTCTTAACCACTACACCAGGTAACAAAAGCTAAGTGCCTGCTGTGAGTTCTTTTATACCAGGCTTCCTCAACCTCGGCCTTCCAGATGTTTTTGGCTTACAACTCCCATGATCCCTAACTAGCAGGACCAGTGGTCAGGGATGATGGGAATTGTAGTCTCAAAACATCTGAAGGACCGAGGTTGAGGAAGCTTGTCTTATACAGTGAGACACACAAGCTGGCCTTCAAAAAAATAATACCACCAACCTATCACCCATATAGCTGTTTCAGGAACATCACAGGTACTGACTCCATACTGTGATGTGCATCAAAAGTGTAAAGGCAGTTCCTGATAGTGAAAATGCCAGCAGGGATCCATAGCTAAGTAATGTCCAAAGCTACGGATTTGGATGGTAATGATGTTATCTTCTGAGGACTGGCCACTTTAGATTTCATTTGCATGGGAAGTAAGGAGCAGATGGGGCTCGTCCACCTGAGAAGGTAGCCCATCTAGGAGAAGGTAAATTCTGATCCTAAATATTATGTACTGAGTTGAATAGGATTCAGAATGCAGCAGTCCGATTGGTCCACAGGAGCCACCCAATCCAGCTCCAGGTGAATCTGCAACCTGACTGGCCTACAGGAGAATCCCAGAATTAGCCAATCAGGTGGGGCCCATTGTGTAAATAATGTATATAAAGCAGACATTCTGGGGGAACTTCCATTCCTCCTGAACACTATGAGCTGAATAAAGAGCATGAAATCCACTCTCGACTCCCAGTATATTTCACTAAACCTCCACAGCCTTGAGGGATAACTTCGGGAAAAGAAAAGGCGAAGGAGTAAACCCTACACAAACCTAGAGTGGAGTCCCTTAGATGGTTGGATGGTGCCTTGTACCAGCCTCCTTCTGGCAGCTCCTACAGCCAAGCTGGTGCCAAACGTATTGCTCTGCTTTCCTTTGGACCACATTAGCAAGGCCGAAAGGGAGTCTTCTCCGGTGCCCATCCCAGGACCTCCATACACACTACCCAGGCTTGCACCCCAAGGAGGTCACTTTGGGGCTAACAGATTTTTGACTTCACCCCTGGAGGTGCACTCCATTGTCTCTGGAAACAGACAGATGCCTACAAAGTTTTACATCAACCGACCCACAGAATTGCCACCTGAAGTCTTTAATACAATGTGTTCCCTTCTGGATAGGCAATGTGATTTTGCTGGTCTATGAAGGCATTCGTTGCCGCAATGAAGTGTGATTTTTCACTTAGAAATCAGTGGAACAGAATTGCTACGGGATGCTCACCTTTATTATGAAAAGGCGCAAATCAAATATGGGCTGATTCCCCTCCCCAATTAACTCATAGCTAGCAAACGTCAGCTCAGCACCCTGTAGAAAGAAATGCAGATGCAAAACTCTTTACAATGGCAGGTGGTTATTACAGCAGTGGAAATGGGTAATAATATATAAATGTGTTAAAGGGCCTCATTTTGCAGTATATGAAAACATGTCAAACAAACTTTTGAAGTACTGAAAATGTTGAGAATTGCAGACTGATCGAAGATCACAATTGGCCAAAAGAAAAAAGAAAATCCAAACACATTAAGATTATAAGAGGAACCATCATAGCGCATGGTGGAGTTTTTGTTTTAATTACAAGTATTCAATAGAACCTACCTGCCACCCTGTTGTAAACATACACAAAAACCAACTCAACCACCGAATAACAATTCAGTAGATACCCTGATCCTTAAAACGTGTTGCTGAAACATATTCCCATTGTTGAAACAATGGGGCCAGCACTAAACATATGAACAGTTTAGGGGGTGAAGCTTAACTTGGGAGGTGCTGGACTGTCACTCCCAACAAGACTCGTGGCAATTCTGGCTGAGGCTGATGGGCAGTTGAAGTCTCTCAACATCTGGGCAGTTACAGGTCTTTCCCCCTGATTTAGGGGCAGAATTTTGAGAAAATGCTGGTTAATGTTACAGTGATAGAAGGTATTCAGTGCGCCTTGCTAGGAAGACCATTCAATGGGCCACCAGCCCTTAGGCAATGGCTCCATTAAGAAACACATACCCCCAGTTAAAAATCAGTTGGCTGCAAGGTATGTACGAGTTTGTACATCCCAAGAACATGGTGGGAGGAATGCAAGGCTATCTGTTTGTATGAACATGCTTTCTGGCTCTGTCCTGCTTCCATCCTGGAGGGGACACACCACCAGCAAGCAGATATTATTTCTCTTTGTCAACGTATTTGGCGCAGACTTTTTATTATTCCTGTGGCTGCCTTTGGGCACTTCTTCCTGTGTTCTGAGCTGCCAGCCCTGTCGTGTCTTCTTCAGCTGTGTGGATCAAGGGAGGGTCCGGGTCTTTCCAAAATAATACAAATCTCTTAAAGCGACAGACATCCACTCTAGAAAACAGGCCGCACCTACATAATTCATTGCACTGCAGATGCTTGTGTATGAAAGTCCACTGCAACTTCCACCACTTTTAAAAAAACCACAAAAAACTGTATGTACGTACCTTTGTGGAAATCCTGATAAATGTTGGAAATGTAAAGAAACTGAAGGTACATTTTTTCACCTTTGGTGGACGTGCCCAAAGATTAAGGCTTTCTGGGAAATGATATATAATGAATTAAAAAAGGTATTTAAATATACCTTCTTGAAGAAACCAGAGGCCTTTCTCCTGGGCATAGTCGGCCAATCGGTGTTAAAAAAGGATAGAACTTTCTTTATGTACGCAACAACAGCAGCAAGAATACTCATCGCAAAGTATTGGAAGACACAAGAGCTACCCACACTGGAGGAATGGCAGATGAAACTGATGGACTATATGGAACTGGCGGAAATGACTGGTAGAATCCGTGACCAGGGAGAAGAGTCGGTGGAAGAAGATTGGAAGAAATTTAAAGATTACCTACAGAAACATTGCAAAATTAAAGAATGTTAGAGTGATGATGGATTGAAATTAAGTGGTTTCTAGCTGCACAGGCTTTAAAGTTATATACAGATTAAGATTAAGGATTAGGAATAAAAAGGTTAAAAGAACGGAAAATTGGCTATTAATAGATAAAATTTTAATGTTATACTATATTATATTAAGATTAAGGATTGGGATTAAAAAAGAGGCAAAGGAATTGCTGGACAAACAAACTGAATTGGAATACAAAAGAGGGAGGTATGAGGAGGTCCAGAAAATAAGTAAATTCAAAAGTGGTGATGAAAAGATGGAATTGTTTTTAACTGTTTTTTCTTTTGTTTTCTTTTTGTATTTTGTATTGTGTATTTTTGTATTGTGTATTTTTCTTTTTACTTTTAAATTCTTTTTTATTGATGTGTCTCTTTTTATCTGAAACTTTAATAAATATCATTAAA